TCAGCCTTTGGAACTGGCTGAAGCGGTTTGAAGACCAATCGGGAGACAAATTGGTATAGGCCTTGAGGTATACGGAATGCTGTTTTGGGCTTCGAGGCCTGGTCCAAGGGCAGTTGCCAAAATCCCAAAAATAAGTCCAATGTGGGAAAAAAAATTGCGCCTGACAATGCGTCTAATGAGTCGTCAATACGCTGGAGTGGATATGCATCAGCCAACGTAACCTTATTTAGATGGCGAAAATTGACACGTACAACAGCAATCCTCCCAAGGTCTGTAGGGAGAATTCCTGTTGTACGTGTCATTCACAGCCTGTTGCATGCGTAGTTTCTCTACGGGGCTCATGCGATAGGAATTTAGCTGAATATGGGGAGAATTTCCTTTTTTTAATGTGATGCACCACCAAGGACGTACGTACTCTGTCTTAGGTGGAAAAAGGACATTTTAACCACACTTATGTATATGTGCCTCAAAAGATAATGACTAGTCAAACTGAACACCAAGGTTTCTGACCTCCCGTGTGGGACTTACATCGTGACCATCAATCAACAAACGAGGTGAATAAATTTTAAAAAAATGCAGAGGGGAGCCGATTAATATGGCTTTAGTCTTGTTGACATTAGTAGCCAAAAAGTGTTGGCGGCAACCATGAATTCACCACTGTTAGTGATGCAGATAGCGCAAAAAGATGCTGTTGCATAGTCTGATCCAAATCAGATATAAATTTGAGTATCATCTGCATAGCAATGGTAGGATAAGCCAAAACCTTGGAACAGAATACCCAATGGTGCCATGTAGATGCTAAAAAGTGATGGCCAAGCACAGATCCCTGCGGAACACCACAGAAAAAACCGGTCTAATTTGTGACTTGAACCCATCCTTGTAACGAAGTACCTACGTTTCTTTAAGTAAGAGTGGAACCACAGCAAAGCTATGCCAGAGATCCCCATTGAAACTTCCAGTTGCTCAAGGAGAACCCCGTGATCAATGGAATCAAATACCACGCTTAGATCTAGCAGAATGAGGAGGCTGAGAAAGCCTTTATCTGCTGACAAAAGTATATCATTGACACCCTTACCAGAGCAGTTTCGGTGCTATGCGCAGGTCTGAACCCTGATTGAAAGTGGAAAAATAGATCGTTGAGGCCAGATGATGATGTAAAACAAGTGACCACAGCTCGTTCAGAATTTTATACATATACCGAAGGCTGGATATTGGGCGAAACATTTCCAGAAGCTCGGGATCAAGACCCTGCTTTTTTAAACCAATATGGGTCCCGTCAAGACAAGCTCCCAATTTTTTTATTGTGTATCGATTTGGCCTATGATTCCCATCTTACCCCCATTCACCGCTACATATGTACTGGTGACTGGTGTCAAGAGGCAGCTACTGGGCGGTAACATATCAAATATGAAGTTAGAAATAACATTGGCTGACGCCCCCGTATCAATCAGAGTGCGTACCTCTATCCCTCCGATCGAGCCCACTACCCACTATCAACGAGGTACCTGCGGCTGTGGCTACGACTCGCCAAGCCAGCTTCCTCCACTAGGTGCTCGACTCGGGCCACCAGTGGAGAAGCAAGTCCTGACCTTCCCTTGTGGCTTTTATAACCCCGTGATCAACGACACCCCCAATACAGATGTTTACATCAAACGTGGGTGGTGGTCAGAGGTAATGAGTTCCTAGATGCATGAGGTAAATTATCTAGCCGGCTATCCGGAGTGTCGTGACTCGCCTGGTGTTGTAGCATAACAGCCGCCGATGAAGAGGTGAACGCCATCGTCGCTGATGGCAGAGGGTCGCTCCTGCAATCCTGCGTAATGTGGCCGGGCCAGCCGCAGTGATGGCAAGTGATGGGTGGGCCCCACCGTGGAGTCGCTGTCTCCCCTCTCGGTCCCCAATCTCGAGGTCACTGCGGAGTCGCCCCGTCCGACACCATCCATCTGCGGACTGCCGCCACCACCTCCTCTCGCGGACCACCGCTGCTATTGACTGATGCCGTGATGAGTGGCTCCCCGCCGACAGCACCCCTTGTCCTGAAGCCCGGGCAGAATGTGCAGGCAGCAGTCCTCTGAGATCCCCTCCACTCGGCCACTACCCGGGTCCGTCGATTCATCTCCTCCTGGGCCTGTAGACACCAGGCCACCCACAAGGAGGTCTGCGCCTCCTCCTCCACTATTGGCAGTATCACAGCCATCTCGTGCACCAGTGACAACATTTTCTTCCATCCCAAGGAGTTCAGCGCCGCTTCATTCAGCCGAGGGTAGACCGCCTGGTCGAGCACTGCGATAGGAGAGGGGCAACTCGGCTTCATCTCGCCTGTGCTGCTGAAATTTTATTTTTGGCATTTGATGGCAGGTTGAAGACCTCCGCCATCTCGCGCCAATCCGTTTTCAGTATCGTCCTCCGCTCCGCCGATATCACCTTGAAGATGACAAGGGCCTTGTCATTCAAGGCATTTAGCGTTTAGGCCAAGGGCCTAATACGCGGCCTCAAATTGTCGGATGAAGGCCCCCCAGTCGCCGCCTGCTGCCACAAACTCCTTCACCGGCCCCAGCTGGCAAAGTCCAGTCGGCCACTCTCTTTTTCGCCGCCTGGGCTGTCTCTGGCGATGGTGCCTCAGTCGCTACTGCTGCTCCGGATGTCGCTGGCTTCCCGGTCTCCGCAGCAGTCGGTTGGACGGCTCTGACCACCAGTTCTCCCGTCGTCATCACCGCCGCTCCCTGTTTGTCCTCCCTCCCAGCAAGCTGTACCACCAGCTGGGAGACCGCGATTGTTAGGTGGTCGATCCACCCCTCCAGCTGCTCCCATCCCTGGGTCGCGAGCGGCACTTGATTTGGCAACCACTCCGGTTGCTGTGGCTAGCCCGCCATTGTTACCACCAGCACCACCGCAGTCTCTCTCACGCTTCCTTGGTTAGTTTCCAGATCCTCTTCGCCTGGGACGTTCTGCTGGAATACCTCGTCATCGCACGTCATCGGTGGGTTTGTTTGTTTGCTTGGGCGCTACATTCTTCTGACCCCCCTCGCTGACACCAGTTGTAAAGACACCGACACACAAAGTTACTCGGAGCCTTTTATTTGACACAGCACCAACACTAGGGCCGGGCTTCTTTGATTGAAGCTCGTACTCTCCCTAAGCGTCTCTTGCTCTTGTGCTCACCCCTTTTTTTACCTTTCGACTGCCCGCTCTCTCGAAGCTTTCCCTCACCTCACTCTCTTCGGCCAATCCTTGTCCTCCTCCACGAACGGTTGTAAACTGTCGCCTCTCTCGTCAACCTGACTTCCTGCATTTTACATTTGAATTCTCCCCTCCCATCCTTTTTGAACCTTGCCTCCCGATTGATCCATTTGGAGGCCTCTCTGCACCAATAGGAGGCTTTGGCCTACTACCTGACTGTCCGTCTGCCCGTACGCTTGCCTCAGGTGAGTGGTCTGTTGCCTTGGTCATTACATATGGAAGACAGCAAGACACATGAACTGCAATGCTATAACAATGCGCACATATGCACAAGTGTATATATTGCGTCAGAGTTATGTAACGTGCAGACAGTTAGCACTTTAATTGAAAGGATTTATATCAAACAATCACGAGCAGAACATTGTCAATAAAAATAGAGATAACTGAACATTTTAAATCTAAATCATGAGCACAGTCCTCACCTGCTTCGCTCAACTTCAGCGCCGTCGGAACGGGCGTCAGAAAGCAAATGATGCTACTTATTACGAGTATAACTATGTAATCATGTTAAGAATAGCAATAGCAGTAATTATTATTAACAATGGAATTGTTGGTCTTGTGCTGAGGGAGAGGAGAAGCAGAGCGGCCGCTCCGGCGCCATGACGAGCAGCGATATAAGCACGTGACTTGCATTGGTCAGAGGTACCCCACCAACAAGAGCGGCCGCTCTGATTGGACAATACGTTTCCCCGCGGATTTGGGGCACGAAATTTCGTGAAGGGGCAGAATGTACGAGTATTAACTATTAAAATAAAAAAAAAACGCGAATTGGCCCTGGATCGGCAGGACCTGGACCGTTTTTTTTTAATGAAATCTTGAATACGACGAATCTGTAGAAAATGTCAGCTCGTTAGGCTTCGTAGATCCGAAGATCTACATCATGGGACCTCCTTTGCCAGTTCCAAAATATGATAACAGGTTTTCCCCTTTTTTCTGGCAACAAAACAGGTGTTAAGATGTTAAAAGTCAAACCTTTTACAAGGAATTATGTCTGCATTAAGGGGCCGGTCCATAATGACGTCACGCGATTTTTGGACGATTTTTGACCCCCCCCCCCTCCCCCTCGTCACACGGCGTCACAAAAAGTCAGACCCCCCCCTCAAATATGACGTCACAAAGCTCTGCCCCCCCCCCCCCCAAAAAAAACATATTTTGAAAATAAAACATGCTTCAAATCTCTTTAAACTATTGTCATTGTAGTGCGTATTTAATGTGGTGCTGCACTCTGATATTGTAGGAGTGTTTTTATTATTTTATTGTTTCCCTTCTACGTGGTGACTTTACTGAAAGAACCAAGAATACGAATCCCTGCAGTCACGAAAGCTTTAAATCAAAAAAATCTTAACACCTGTTTGGTTACCAGAAAAAAAGGGGGAAACCGCTATTATCAGATCCGAAGACATTAAGATTTGAAAGACTTAACAGCCAACAGGGCGATTTCAATAAAAGTGCGTAATAAAAAAAAACGTGCCATATCCATTCCAACATTTGGAACCGGGGAATCGAATTAGTTTTTTTTTTTAATATAGAATTAACGATCCCGATCGAGCGGGATGTCCGTGGGCACGTTGAGTTTACGACCGCCCATCCGTGTATCGGCACCCCTCCACCCCCAACATCCCAACACTGTGTGTGGCAGGGGGGGTTGCTCGTGCGTGCCTATGACGCAGCAGCTCACGCCGCATGCGAATTGGTTAAAGCCCCTCGCTCAAATTGTGCACAGGGGGATCGATCAACGCCGCATCGGTGGGTGGGTTCGTCGTCGTGTTGTGTTGTTTGCGAGTGTTGGGTTCGTAGCGATGCGTTTGCGTTTTCTCAGTGGCTGTGCACGCTTTGAAGTTTGAGCAATTGCGCTTATTGACGTGACTTTGCGCATTCAAACTGTCGCGACTTAAGGTAAGGAGAATTCTATACCGGTGATCGTATTCACGAACGTCGTCACCATCACTGATATCATCATCACTGACATCATAGTCACCAAAGCCGACATTGCCTTGAACAGCCAGCACAGCATCATCATAACGTTATCATCACATCAAATTCACTCACCGTCACTGAAATATTGGCGTCATTGTCACTCACTGGCGTTGTCGTAAATGTATGTGTTATGAAGGGCCATTGCCTGAAACGTCACCCTATTTGTTTTAGGTCGTTATGCAGCTGCTACGTGGGTTACTGCATCGCGGAATCGTGAGCAATGGCAAGGGCTTAGCAAGGCATTCATCCAGCAGGGGATTGACCAGGATGATGATGTACAATCTTGTCATTTACAATCTTGATACTACTGACTCGGTTGTATCTATATATATGCCTACAAAATAAAATACAAAATATTTTTTTTTAGGAGAGGGTCAACTATTTTGGAACCCTGTTGGATCAACTTTTTACGCCCACATCCTGGGGGGGGGGGGGGGGGGGGTGGGAAACTTTCTATAACTTACATTTTTATTTAAAGCTTTCGTGACTGCAGGTATTCATATTCTTGGTTCTTTCGGTAAAGTCACATAGAAGGGAAACAATAAAATAATAAAATATATAACTTGTTGATTCAGGAGGGCTTCTGAAAGGTTTTTATAATTTAGTTTAACACGTAGGCTTTCGCGACCAATATTATTCGTAATAAAGGTTTTTGGGTTAGATCGCGTTATTTATAAATGTGTCGTAACCCTCCACCACCCGACACGGCCAATCAGCAAAAAAAGTGTCATTGACTGATTACTAATCGATTATATAATTACAATACCCCCCCCTCCGCCTCTAATCACTGCACCTGATATGAGTTAAGTGATGACGTCACCGTGCTGCTCTATATAAAACCGGGAGCAAGCGAGGGCTTTACCATTCTGGCGAATTGCCCGATGATGCTCGATGTATTTACCAGCGAAACGTCGTACTCAAACTGTAAATGTTGTGGATTCACTCTTCAACACACCGGTGGGCTAAAGTAGTGATTTATTTGTCTTTTGTCAACGTGACACTTTTTTTGCTGATTGGCCGTGTCGGGTGGTGGAGGGTTACGACACATTTATAAATAACGCGATCTAACCCAAAAACCTTTTATAATTTAGTTGACGGACAAACAACGCAGGGCTTTTATAATAAATACCACAGGCTCTTTAATGTCCACCGTGAAGGAGACGGTGTGTATTTAAGGACAGTACAACTGCAGGATTAACCAGGGGTGGCCGGGAGACTGATACTATGAACCTCTGCAACAAGCTGCAAATGCACTACTGCTGGACCATGTCACTCCCCGTATTATGTTATATCATTGTGTTGTATTGTACAGTATTGCATTGTGTAGAGGTGATACATAATGGCCAGCTCGGTGCTGTTCGCGTCCTCCTGGGTCGTGGGGTTCCTCGTCATCGCCATCATCGGTCTCGTCCTGTTCGTCACACGGAGAAGCAGGTGAGTGAGCCTCACCACACCTCACCACTGCTTACCACACTGATCCGCGCCTCACCACGACTCAATCGCCACACCTCATTGCTCCTCACGGTTACTCACCACTCCAAACCAATAAACACTGTGCCATTACACACTCACCACACTTCACCATACCTGACAATTACTAACCAAACCACGCCACTGCATATTGTCTCAAACCTCACCACACCATTATACACATTGCTACATCTCAACAAATCATACCAAGAGCCGCGCCATTCGCCACTAAGTGACAGCGACGTCACCACGGCGCCTGTGCCAGGCCAGGTGCACTTTGAGGCCACGTCAAGTGTTGAAGGCTTGCTTACGGGATACCATATCTACACAACTTTACACCCCATTACACTCCTCACCAAACTAGTAGGCACCGTGGCCAACTGGGCCATAATACTGGTAACACACCCCGACTCCTGTCCCTAACGCCCAAACTCTTTCTCCGGCCCCCTCCCCTCATTTCCTGGCCTTGCGCCATTCCCACCACTCAGTGCCCACATGCCCCCCCACCTCAATGCCGACACCCCCTTCCCCATTGCACACTCACCACTGCTCACCTCAGCACTACACACCTTTCCACCCCATTACACACCTCATCATTACACACCTCACCAAACTAGTAGGTACCCTGGCCTACTGGGCCATAATACTGGTAACACACCCCGACTCCTGTTCCGAATGCCCAAATTTCCTCCGGCCCTCTCCCCTCATGCGCCATTCCCACCACTCAATGCCCCTCCCTTCCCCACCCATCGATGCCCTCTGTGCCCCCAGGCGACCAGGAGAGCCTCCTCTTGATAAAGGCCTCATCCCATGGCTGGGCCACGCCATCGAGTTCCGGAGGGACATGTACGCCTTCCTGCGGCGCATGCAGCACAAGCACGGAGACACCTTCACGGTCAGCAGCAGCAGTGGGGGACAGTGGGAACAAATACACGTGGTACAAATACACGGGATATATGATAACCAAATAGGACAGATCAATGGCGTAAGCCCTTACACGAAGATCTGCCTCCGAGTCTTCATTAGCACCTTAACATTTGCATAATTCATATTCTTAGTTTTTTCGGTAAAGTCACGTTGAAGAGAAACAACAAAATAACAAAATATATATAAAACAATAAAAAATTCTCACGACGTTTCGACCATAAACTCAAACGGTCATCATCAGGTGTGTCATGCAAACCGACACACCTGATGATGACCGTTTGAGTTATGGTCGAAACGTCGTGAGAATTTTTTATTGTTTTATATATATTTTGTTATTTTGTTGTTTCTCTTCAACGTGACTTTACCGAAAAAACTAAGAATATGAATTACTGCAGTCACGAAAGCTTTAAATCAAAATTTGCATAATTATAACATTTTATTAGCAGTCAATTTGATATCTCTAACTTGCACATGTCCTTTCATTCATGTCCCTCTTCCTGTCTCTCAGTGTAAATCCAAGTATGCACCTCCTCTCTCATGCTTTTTTGCAGCCTCATCAGCGTATATATTACACTTTGTCAATGTGCATGTTTCTGACTCAATGTGTACGATTACACGTTTTATTCTTTAAGACATCAACTTCCTGGCTCTTGGTTTGAGGATGGTGTTGGCAATCGTCAGCTGTTTTGCTGGTTCTTAATGTTCTTAATTGATTCCTCCAGTCTAAATAAAGATATATAAAAATTCTGATTTTGATTCACGTGGCTTCACATTTCAATACGGGACCCACAACGCTTGTCAAATTGAATGCTATTTGGGCTGATCGAGATCGAAGCAATCTTTGTTCTTGATGCCGCATCTCACTGTGCATCGCGATTCTTGTTAAAAATGTGGACGCCCGCTTTAATGTCGCGCAGTCCCACACACTGCAGGCAATTGCCAGCTATTCAAACTTCTGTCCGACCTTCACGTGTGCTCACTAGCAGCAACTCATTTCAGCAGCCTGCGTAGGCCTTACGCGGGACCTTTCATTGTCCTTGTGTGTCTGCCCCCTGCGCCACGGCAGGTGTGCTTGGCCGGGAGGTACTTCACATTCATTCTGGACCCGCATGAAATGACGGCCGTGGGGCGGGAGCCACGCTCCATGCTGGACTTCATGAAGTATGCGTACGAGCTCATTTCAGACGTCTTCAGCGTTAACTACAAAGCCGAGTACCGCAAGCCCACCGGCGCCATGAACATCCGGTGCGGCACCTCGAGTGACAGCTCACTCTCGATCTTGTACCTGTGGGCACAGAGTGGCGTGCAGTGGTAACACTCGTGCCTCACAGCAAAAAGAGCCTCGGTTCGATTCCGAACTCGGGCGACTTTCCGCGTGGAGTTTCTGTGTTGTGTCCCTGTGTGTGCGCAAGTGTCTGCAAAAATCCCTCATCACACAGTGAGCTACGCAGCAATACCATCCAAATGTGGACTTGTCTAAGACACCTTTTTTGTCCAACATGACTCCAGAATGTGTGAAGATTACCCTGTTTCTTGGCAAGAGTTTGTATTTGTACTTGCCTCCTCTGACTTCGCGGTTACCAGACGTCTCACCGTTTCATGGGCCCTGGGAAATGATATGGCTTCTCGGGTAGGTTGTGACTTTGGAAAGTTTGGGAACCCCTGACCTAGAAAACCCCACGTGCTCAGTGGGACCAGTTCGGCACTCCGAGCTTTGAGCCATCCGGCCACCTCCTAACAAGATTTCTTTAACAAACAATAAACACAGACCACACATTGACCGCGATTGTACGAAGGTATTTTTTACATCCCAATTTACATATATTTTATTCAGGCCACTCCTCCCCCTGAACTCAACCAGTGCAGCGAGCATATTGGCGACATATTCCTGCCAAGCTTGTGAGCAACAATGTTTTTGTGTGCATTTCTGTTTAGCATAGGGTGCAATACTGCGGGAATAAGGTCAGGTCCACGTCACAGAGCGACCTTGTCAAATTGCCTTGGAAACTTTCTGTAGTTCCACATGTAACTATCCTCCATAACGGTCCCGACAACATCAGCATTCCCTTCTTCCTACCATGCTGATGTCAATCCCTGCACCTACTTGGCTGGGAGTAACCCCCTGGTTATCATGGGGCCAGGGGGAGGTAATGGGAGAGAGGACCGTGGAGATAAAATGGCAAGTTGGAGGAGGGACGTGAGGAGAGAGCTGTGTATGAAAGTGGGAGCTGTGTGTGATGGAGGTGGAACAAACAGACTGGGACCTTTACTTGTCTCGGCGTGTTGGTGGGGAGTGTCCACTACACACAAGAAGATGCTGGGCATTGGATTGGAATCGCTGAAAGAGGAATAAATCTAACACCCAACATGTTTAATTAACATGTATATGTGTGATTGTGTTCATGTGGGGAGCGGTAATATAGTGGTTAGTGAAGTGACCTGGGTTTAAGTGAAACTCATGGCCAAATATACATATCTGTGTGTTCTCACGCGTGCATGGTCGTGTGTGCGTGTCACCTCACAGCCACCTGCAGGGCGAAGGGCTAGTGGGCCTGACGGACGCAATGGTGCACCAGCTGCACCTGCTCATGGGGCCAGGTTCGTTTGACGAGGGAAATAGACACATGGGGAACGGAGGGCACAGGGACACCAAGTGGCACGAGTCCAGCCTCTTTGACTTCTGCTACAACATCGTGTTCAGGTGCGCCGCGGCAAGCACCGCTCCAATCTCCTGCCCCCCTCTTGGAATTCTTGCGCTATTTACATTGCGTTTCTTCACACCATCACCATCGGCGTCATGATCAGCGCTGTTTTATTGCCCTCATGATTGTTGTCATCATCGCTGACATTCTTCATCGTCGGCATAGTCATCATCATCGTTGCCATTATCATCATTATTGAGTAACCACTGTTGGTGCTGCACATAGGGCCGGCTACCTGACTCTGTTTGGCCAGGACCTAGGCGGGTCGGCTGTGCAGAACACGCGCTCCCTGGAAGTGTTCAAGGAGTTCCGCAAGTACGATCAGCTGTTCCCCACCATTGCCTCGTCCACGCTCTGGCCCGGTATGACACAACGTCCACAATACGTCTCTCAAGTATCTTTTGATTTAATCAGGTTTCTATAATCAGGTCACCATCGAAAATGATAATTTTTTTCCCAGTGGGTTTTACCTGTGGCAAATTAAACCTCAACAGTCAGCGTTGAGGATAGTACTACAGGCCAACAGAGATTTCGACCCGAAAATTGACTCTCATTTGTCCCGTGTGTGCTATCGGTTTTGCAGGTTCTGCTTTGTTCTGTCTCATGTGGCCCATGAGCAATAACTGTAACTGCCCAGCCACCCACTCATATCGTCACCCACCTGCTTACTCACCCGCCCACTTACCCAGCCACTCAATCACCTGCCCACTCGCTCACACACTTGCTCCCCCGCCCACACTGATCTGCTCACCCACTCACCCACCTACCCACCAACTTATGCACCCGCTCACCCACCAACATACCTACTTGCTCGCCCACGCACACACCTAATTTCCCACTCACTTATCCATCCACTCACCCACCTACCTGTTGACCCACCCACTGACTTACTCAACCACCCACCCGCTCATCTGCTCGACAGCCCTCTTGTCCCTCTGCTCACTTATCCATGGGTTGCGTGTTTTTACCAACACCCTCTTCCTCTGCCCCCCTCTCCCCCTTGCTTTTATCATGGCTCAGCCAAGAGGAAGGAAGCAGACCGACTCAAGTCGTGGTTCTGGGAGCACTTGACGGTGTCGCTGCTGCGTGTGCGTGAGCACGTCAGCCCCTGGATCTTGGGCCGCGACGAAAAGCTTGCCGAGCTGCAGGCCGACAAAGAGACCCGGGATCGCACCTTGTTCATGCTGCTCTGGGCCTCGCAGGTAAGGCCCCTGAATCAGCCCTGCAGCAGAGCCTTATGCAAAGTGGGGGGGGGGGGGGGGGGGGGGGGGGGGGGGGTGATGTACAACACTCTGGACACTGACAATATGAAACACGTATTTAACATAAACTATTAAACATTAAACAATGAATAGCAACGTAATTTTTGTTGCCAAAAAGCCACACTGAGTCTAAGGACTCTTATTCAGCAGCGTCCTACATTATGAGTTTTAATTTTAAGATGTTTTCACCCAAAAAAAACCTACTGTTTATGCATGTAAGAGGAAACCAGAGAACTCGGAAAAAATCCATGCATGCATGAGGGTTAATTATAGATGGGACAGATGATATTAGTCGACACTTGCTGTGCCCTTCTCCTGGGCAGCCAGGGGTGTGGTACCTCGACACCCATGAGAATGGCGTCATGCAACATTTGTGTGATCCACAAACCCTCGCCTCCAGTGCTGGATAACAGACTTGCACTGCCCCGGAGAGCATGCATTCTGCTCGACCTCTCACCCCATATATATATGAGAAATGGCACGACAGCCATTATCTAATTGCCGCTTATGTTAAATATTATACCAACATTTATTTTTTGACTCGATTGTAAGAATGTCGTATGGCAAGGCAGGAGGTGACCCCCCCTCAATGCGAACAGGTACGATCAGTTTTGTTGACAAGCGCTGGATTACAGGTGTGCAGCAGAGAGACCACAGGCTTGAATGTCGCCCGTGTGAGCAGGGTAACGCGGGCCCCGCATCGTTCTGGACGCTGGCGTATCTGATGAAGCACGCGGACGCCATGGCTGCCGTGCGCGCCGAGGTGCAGCAGCTGCTGGAGGCGACGGGGCAGAGCGAGGGCGCGGAGACGCGAGAGATCTCGCTGACGCGCGACGCGCTCGTCAACACGCCCGTGCTTGGTGTGTCCACTCACCCGCTTACTCACCTGCTCACCCACCCACTCACTGGCTTACCCACCTGCCCACTCTCTCACTCACCCCGCTCTCTTACCCACCTATTCACACTCGCTTACCCACCTGTCCACCCACTTGCTCACGCACCCACTCATCTGTGTAATCACCTGCTTAAATACAAAGATCCCGATGTATAGCGTTTAACAAATTGTCGTGGCAAGTGCTGTTAGCGAGCAACTATGAAGACTAACACAGTATACGAGTGGGTTGGTGGCCAGCACCGCAGACGGCCGCCTTTGTTTCCCCAGTGCTGGTGTTTTCACACTGCACCAAGTACTTATTTAAGGCTGACTCGGTCTAGGGGGAAAGTGCGCAGGAACTGACTGTCACCGGAGGCGATCACTGTGAAGTAGACGGAGGAGAAAACTAGTTCCGAGACTGTCCGACTTACTTATAAAGAGCCATCTGCAGATCTGCAAACCGACTCATTATTGAGTCCCACAGATCGTTTTAAGCTCTGCGCAATCAATGAGTTGGTTCGCGTCCCCCCTGCTCTGTGGCGCTTCGTGAAGGGTTTGCTTGCACTCCAACCACTCATCAAATAGTCAACCCTGTCTCTGCACAGTACTTGCGATGCTCTTCAGAAAGACAATAGTGATGATCAAGATGGAAGTTTATAACTTGAAGGCAATGCATTCTCCTGGTCTGCCATCTGAGTTTGATCAACCTGGCATCAACGTCAGTAGCAGAGGTGTCGACGTTCATCGCACGTCTGCAAAATAAGACATCGCTACTCGACTATATCCACACGCCGATTCTCAAATCGTACTCGGACGTGCTTGCACCGCTGATTGTCCACCTGGCAAATATTTCGTTCAGCGAGGGCTGTTTCCCATACCGGTTCAAAATGGCGCAGGTAACGTCGCACCTGAAAAAGGTTGGCTTGAGCCATAGTGCCCCATCAAAATATCGCCCGATCTCAAACCTGAGCACGATTTAAAAGGTTGTATAGCGTCTTTGTCTGAAGCAGTTACATCCCTACATTGCTGCGATGTGTAGATTCAACCCATTGCAGTCGGCATGCCAATTATACAGCATTGAGGTGTCTGAACCAAAGATAACTTGTCCCATAGATGTAACTGCTCAACCCGAGCTATAAATGCGCCGATACTTGCATTGACATTGTGCTGTTCACCTTTTGGCGGTCTCTGGTCAAACAGTGATGAGACGAGACCATCAAGAAGGCTGTCTCTGGTGTAGACCAATCAATTTCAAAGACAATGCCCATATATTAACAGACTTTGTTTGTTTGCATGTTCTACCACAATTATGTGTGGTTAATACAGACTTGATGCCTTGCAAAAGGTATCTATTTGGTGTTTCAACATCTTAACACCTATTTTATTGCCAGAAAGGGTAAAACCTATTTTTGGTACTGGCAAAACATGTCCCATAGATACCACTGATTACCTCTACAGGATCATGGATGACTGGTGTGCTGCAGCGTTTTTTGGCTTCGATCTCTAAGCCGTCTTCGACACCAACGTCCATCGGATACTCATCGGGCGGCTAGTTTCAGTTTTTTTTTATCTTGGTATAGCCCTGTGAGCCATTCGGCTCTTGAATCGGGTGCAACCACAACAAACAAAAACACAAAAACATGAACAAGAAAAACATCTTAAAGGGACTATGTGTGACTGTGCAAACAGAAAATCCATGAAAAAAACAGCAAAATATTCCTGAAAAATGCACCGTACACCAACGCTGTGTGCAAAAAATCCCAGTGGGATTCAAGTCAAACAACAACAACCACAAGAAAACTTAGATTAAGGCCATCAGTCTAACTCCGTACTACAACAAAACAAACATGTCCAAACCAAAAAACTTTTCCAAATCACCAAAAAAATAAAGCCATAATTGCAACGTAACAGTGATCACAGGGACTGTGACCGAATTTTTACAATAAACTACATAAATAACATGTAACACCAAATCCTAGGGCCATAGTTGGCTGCATGAGTTACTCCACAACAACAGAAGCATCAGTTTAAGATCAGCACGCTAAATCAAAATACAGATAATACTTTGCAGCGTCATCCGGAGCAAAACATTTTATTTTATTTTACGCCAATGAATAGCAGTGGCAGCGAGGGGTGTACAACTCCTCTAGAGCAGTTTTGAGAGAAGATCTCATTGGTAGCGATTCAAGTTGGAGTTTATTGGCAATAGCATTCTAGACCCTGGGGGCATCAATAGCAAAGGCCCTTCCTCCAGTTTTTGTACGGCAATAGGGAATGTGAAGCTGGTAAATGAGCGAAGACCTGAGGTCAAATTTGTTCTTTGAAACATTGAGGAGATCCAGTAGGTAGTCTGCGGATTTTTTTGTAAGTACATCGTGAATAAATAAGATCTGGTGCACAAGCTGTCGAACATTAAGAGATGTTAAGTTTGACCCAATCTAGAGATCACAGTGGTGAGTCCTATATGGGCAGTTCAATGTAAATCTTAAGGCCGAGTGATAGATGGAATCAAGCTTCTTCAGTACAGTATTTGGGGTTGATTTATACACGATGTCACAGTAGTCAAGTAGAGGCAGTATGGTAGCTTTTATCAATTCCAAACGGAACATCGGGCGGAAGCAGTGCTTGTGTCGATACAGAAAACCTATTTTTATTTTTGTATTTTTACTAATATAATCAATGTGATCTTCAAAATTCAGTTTTGAATCCAGGATGACCCCAAGATACTTATAGATCTTGACTTGCTCTATTTGATAATTATTTAAGGAATGCAATTGGGGAAAAATAACTTCCTGCTTTAGTCCTGGTGAGAAGCAGAGCACCTTGGTTTTGGAGGTATTCAGGACTAGTTTAAGAGCAACTAGCTGATGTTGTAGTTTGTTGAAATCACCCTGTAGCTTAGCAATCACGTCATCTGGAGAGCGGCCAGCAGTAATCAGTATCGTGTCATCTGCAAAAAGATTTACTCTGGAATGATCCAGGTCAGTGCCCAAGTCATTGACATAAATAGGCCAAGGTTCGGTGTATCGGGTCACGGCACTGGGGTGGATTGAGTCATACCTACATGGTCGATCACAGTTCGTCAAGCTGGGAGATGAACAGTCATCACCTATGCCGTGCCTAGTTGGTGTACCACAGGGGTCTGTCCTCGGGCCCTTCATATTTTCAACATAGTCTCTCCATTCGCCGATGTCATCTCATTGCATGACGTCAAGTTCCATCAATATGCTGACGATACACAATTGTACATCACGGTGAAGTCAAAGTTAAATGTGGAGAGCCTCGGTAACCTCGCAGTTTTCATGCGAGCGGTGCACGTGTGGTTTGCATGGAATGAAATGCTACTTAATCCAGAAACGCTCTTCCGTTATTAGGAAGCCACTGGAGCTGTGCACTTTTAAATCTAGATTGAAAACTCATTTCTTTAGAACTGCTTTTTGTGTTTAGTTGTACTTCCCTCGCACCTCCGATTAGCACGGTTGGCTACGTACGATGCAAAAGAAGTTCATACATATTTGTCACTGATGTTGGCCTTGAGGAAGAATCAAATTTGCGTCACCGGGTTCGTAGCGCAGTGCATCAACCAATGCTCTACCACCCCTCACGTGCACCTGTACACCCACCTGCTCACCCACTCGTAACGTGCGTGCCTGCATGAGTGTGGCGTGGCTTCACGGGGACTCCTTCCCACCTACCCCCTCGCCCCTCTCCCCCATGCAGACAGCGTAATTGAGGAGATGCTGCGCCTTCGCTCGGCTCCCACCCTCATGCGTGCCGTCCAGCAGGACATGACGCTGCAGGTTCCAGGCGCCAGCGGGCCGGGCACCAAGCTCCGCGCCGGTGATCGCCTCGCCATGTTCCCTCACCTGAGCCCCCACATGGACCCCGAGGTCCACGCGGATCCCAAGGTGGGGGAGGCTGCTGTCCGTGAGTGTCTGTCGTAGAGGCCAGGGCAAGTGCTCCGGTCTCCGCCCACCCGAAGAAAAACACTCGTTAAGATGGAATGATCAAGACGGCCAATTAGGTGGCAGTATAGCGAATAATTATAGTAACAATATTGTAGTAATGCTGTAAATACACCTGCACTGGGATTTTTTGTTTGGTTAAATTATTTTGTATGTAGGAGGGAGCCAAAACACCAGGAGAAAATTCACCGTTCTTATGGAGGTTAACGCTTAAAACTCCGCACACATTTTTTTCTGTTGTAAATTGCTGGCCTGCCCTGACTGAACATCTATGAAAAAGAGCTTCATGTCATCTGATTCTTCCAGGATAAATAAATATTCCAATTCTTCAAATCCCAATTCTCTGCTACCATCTCATGCTCAAAATTCTGCACATACAGTATTTGTTTAAGAACACCTGATTCCCTGAAATACAATGTTTCCCAGTACTAAAAGACTCAGTCCTCTTAGCTTCTTAGATTTGATGGGTACATTCATTGTGATTTGGTCGTAGGCCACTTGATTGCTGATCTATTTCAATATTAATTTGTTAAATTATCCTTATGACGGTACCCCGGGGTACCAAATAATAAAAAATGTCCGAGGCAATTAATTATTTTATTTCTGGGACACTTTTTTCCAGGGGTGTACTTAACTCCGCGACTGGGGTATCAATCAATCCGAAATCAGTGCTACTCCACGATGTCGAAACGCAGCGAGCACAATTGCGCTGAAACCCTGAACGCTTGTATGCACCATAGTGCATCGTGTACAGCTCATCGAGATGAGTCGATTACCGCATCACCGACCATCAACAGACTAAAAAGGACTGCATCACGGACATTATACCGCCATAAGGTTCAAATGTGGTATTCACTAAACCATTCAAAGCATGATCATGAAAGGCTTGAGACCCAGTGCCTCCGGTAAGTTGACTCAGTCTAAAATAAGTACCTCTGATTGTCTCAATATTATCCTGGAAAATGAGCTTCCCATTAGGCCATTCTATAGATCCACTCAGCTTGAAAGGACAATTGGTCCCATACCATTCGTCCTGCCTTGCCATTACCTGCTCCTCCGTGATGTGTCGTCCCGGCAGGAGTTTAAGTTCGATCGCTTCCTGAACAAGGACGGTTCCAAGAAGACGGACTTCTTCAAGTCTGGGCACAAACTCCGGTATCCCACAATGCCCTGGGGTACCGGTGTGTCCATCTGTCCCGGGCGGTTCTTCGCAATCAACGAGATCAAACAGTGAGTTCACCTTTTGTGACGAGTGCCGGATTAACGGAGGGTCTTGAGGGGATGCGAGCCGGGCCAACATTTATGTTACCCCTATAATCTTGAGCTTTAAGTGGGGGTTCGTCGTGTTTTTGCACATGTGTCAATGTGCGTGTGCCAATGTGCGTGCGTCAATGTGCGTGCGTGCGTGTGTGCGTGGCTCTGCTCAGGTTCACTGTGCTCATGCTGATCCACTACGACATCGATTTCTGCGACCCCACCACTAAAGTGCCAGACATCAACGCGTCGCGATTCGGATTCGGCATCATGCAACCAACGCACGACATTCGCTTCCGTTACCGCTCACGCTTCTGAACAGCGGTCACCACTCCCCTCCTTGCCCAGCCCCTAACCCCACCATGCTGCTCCTTTTCCCTTTCCTCTGTGAAGATGCTGTTTGCATTTCCGACGTTCTCGAATGTAACTCATTCTTAGTTGTGAATTTGACGATGATGGCTGTTGAAGTTGATTTAAGACTGTTCGTGCCTCTTTGATCAACCAGTTTTGATTAAACGTTTGTCCATTCTACCACCTGTCCATCTGTCAGTCAATTTGTTTGTCCATCTGTCTGACCACCTGTTTGTTCACTTGTCTGTCCAACTGTTTGCCTCCCGGTTGTCCATCCACCAGGTTGTTTTTTTCTCCTCATTCATGTGTCTGATCACGAGTGTATCCATTCATCTACCCTCCATCAGTCCATCCATCATTCTTTCATCAGTCTGTCATTTAATTTTCCAAGTGCAACCCAGGCCTCCTGTGTTGGTGAGCTTTTTGTAAACTTGTATGAGTGGCGATTATAGGTATGAGGTGGCAGGCTTTCAAACTGCAGCTCCATCTGCTCCGGAAATCTGAATATTTCGTACGCTATTGAAAGAGTCTATAAAAAAAGATTATTCGCTGGGAAACAGACAAATGATAAGGGACATATTCTACTTTGTGAAGTTTTTGGAATACGTTTTTACAAAACTGTACTCATCTGTTTTTTGTTCGTAATATTTAGCTTGCCTTTTGTTTTAAAAGATGAGCGATTAGTTCTTGTGTGGAAGCAAAATGGATTTCCGCATCACAGGACCAGACCATGAGGAATGATGATGGCTTGGGAAGATGTTTAGCATTATATAGACCATGACTGATGATGACATTGTAGATTTGTTATTTTTAGGTAAACAAAATACAAAAAATATATTGTATTTATTTAAGGGTAACAAGTACACAAAATAATATATTTCCTTTATAAAAATAAGGCAATTGACCAATTTTTACTCAAAACTAAAGATAATATAACCTTAAGATAACATCAAATTTAACTTCAAATTTGGTATATTTTGCATGTATTCAAAATAGTTTAGCACTGACCTCAACTGACAACACGTGACACCATGCATGTATGTATGTTGAACTTCTTTCGCACCGTACGTAGCCAACTATGCTAATCGGAGGTATGGGGGCAAATGGTTAATTGGCACGATTGTGACGAAATGTGTAAAATGTACGATACAATAACAAACATAATTCGTGTTACTGGGCAGAAAATGTAATTAGATTGTATAACCTCCTGTGTGATTTGACCTGTACTTAACCCAATCTAAAGAGTCAACATGGAGTGATGAAATTGCAACCAAGAGGGGAGGAGTTACCCAAACCACATTCAGATGTATGTACGTTGAACTTCTTTTGCAACTTTACGTAGGGATGGTTTCAACGGGTTTTCAATATAAGAGTGGGGGTGTATTAAACAAAAACGGAGTTCACATTATGCCTGGGTGACGAAGCGAATGCAGCATTATGGAGGACAACATTTTGGTATCGTCATCTTGTTCAGCGAGGGCTAAGTGTAAGTCAGACGGAATGTAGTCTCTCCGCAGTACACTTACATTGATGTGTCCAGTGAGTGAATATACTTAATTAGATGTTGTAGGAGAAGAAAGCAAAGCATGTATATTATATTTTAGGCTTTCAGGAGTCCCAGGGGCAGGACACCAATGAAAGTTCATGTCTGGTCGACAAGACTTATCAGGCCGAACCAAGCGGGTCTCCAGAGTAGAGGCCAGACTTGGAGAGAGCACGCAAGTTGACACTGTGTAGAGCAACGGAGGGGAAAAATGATTAGATGCTCGCATGAAGGGATTTATATATATGGGTTTTAGGGGGTAAATCTAATTATCTGAAAGAATCCTGAACTTTAAATATATCGCTTTCTTTGTGTTGGATACCTAGTAAAACATGTGTGAAGCATTATTCCTGCTGAATGAAGAGTATTGTGGTGATGCCAGTTATTGTTATTTTAAAGCATTGCTGATAGTTGGGTGATTAAAACTGATGGAGGGAAGCCAAACAGCTCTTAGCCAACCCACAGTTATATGAACCAAGCACTTTTCAAATATTAATTCCTGTTCTGACCACCATCGAATGACGCGTAACACCCTGCATTGGCACCATCACTGATACATAAAAAAAATAGTGACCTACAACAGTGACAACCATAAGTGACACAGCATTGATGCTCGACACCATCACTATCACATAAGAATCAGTGATATATATCATTGTCGCATCACAAGAAGCAGTGACACCATCGGTGTCACATTACAACAATCGGTGACACCATCAGTGTCACATCACAATAAGCAGTGACACCATCAGTGTCACATCACAACATTCAGTGACACCATCAGTCTCAGTGTCACATGACAAGAAGCAGTGACACCATCAGTATCACATCACAACAAACAGTGACACCATCAGTGTCACATCACAACAAACAGTGACACCATCAGTGTCACATCACAACAAACAGTGACACCATCAGTGTCACATCACAACAGTGACACCATCAGTGTCACATCACAACAAACAGTGACACCATCAGTGTCACATCACAACAGTGACACCATCAGTGTCACATCACAACAGTGACACCATCAGTGTCACATCACAACAAACAGTGACACCATCAGTGTCACATCACAACAAACAGTGACACCATCAGTGTCACATCACAACAGTGACACCATCAGTGTCACATCACAATAGTGACACCATCAGTGCCACATCACAACAAACAGTGACACCATCAGTGTCACATCACAACAAACAGTGACACCATCAGTGTCACATCACAACAGTGACACCATCAGTGTCACATCACAACAAACAGTTACACCATCAGTGTCACATCACAACAGTGACACCATCAGTGTCACGTCACAACAGTGACACCATCAGTGTCACATCACAATAGTGACACCATCAGTGTCACATCACAACAAACAGTGACACCATCAGTGTCAAATCACAATAGTGACACCATCAGTGTCACATCACAATAGTGACACCATCAGTGTCACATCACAACAGTGACACCATCAGTGTCACATCACAACAAACAGTGACACCATCAGTGTCACATCACAACAGTGACACCATCAGTGTCACATCACAACAAACAGTGACACCATCAGTGTCACATCACAAACTAACACCATCAGTGTCACATCACAACAGTGACACCATCAGTGTCACATCACAATAGTGACACCATCAGTGTCACATCACAACAAACAGTGACACCATCAGTGTCACATCACAACAGTGACACCATCAGTGTCACATCACAACAAACAGTTACACCATCAGTGTCACATCACAACAGTGACACCATCAGTGTCACGTCACAACAGTGACACCATCAGTGTCACATCACAATAGTGACACCATCAGTGTCACATCACAACAAACAGTGACACCATCAGTGTCAAATCACAATAGTGACACCATCAGTGTCACATCACAATAGTGACACCATCAGTGTCACATCACAACAAACAGTGACACCATCAGTGTCACATCACAAACAGTAACACCATCAGTGTCACATCACAACAGTGACACCATCAGTGTCACATCACAATAGTGACACCATCAGTGTCACATCACAACAACCAGTGACACCATCAGTGTCACATCACAACAGTGACACCATCAGTGTCACATCACAATAGTGACACCATCAGTGTCACATCACAATAGTGACACCATCAGTGTCACATCACAACAGTGACACCCATCAGTGTCACATCACAATAGTGACACCATCAGTGTCACATCACAACAAACAGTGACACCATCAGTGTCACATCACAACAGTGACACCCACTCACACAACGGCGCCCTCTGTCGCCATCTCCATAATAACTCCATCATCATCACCACCACCACGACCATCTTCACCACTGCACCGCTGCATTATTATTAATTACCACACCGTATTAATTCACCTGCTATACCAAACCCCACGTGCATAAATCCACGCAAACAGCACAAACAATAATCAAGTTTTTTTTCTTCAGTAAAACATACACTCCTAGCGGACCCGCCGTCCTCGACTAGTTACCCTGCCGGCGAAGCACTCTCAAACCGGGCGAAGCCAAGTAGGCCGCACGCGCCCTCTCGACCACGCCGAGATTTATAATTATAAAAACCGAAAGAAGTCAAGGTTTGACAAAGCCCTGAGCAAGACGTCATGTCCAGTGAGTTCAATTTATCTGTCAAGTTGCTGAAAATTTATTTTATTGCTTCTGTACATGAAATCACCTGTCAACCCATACGTTTTACCCCGTATTCTTGTACAGGGGAATTGAGTTTTCAGCTCCATACGGCGTACAGCCGTTTTAATACGCGCAACATTTGTGTTTGTCTTATTGTTTGTGTTTCTCCCTTGTGGTGGGACTTTGTAGGATGAACGTTGAGATTTATAAGGGACACGGGGTGACCAATAAGGTCTGAATTAATCTGTAATAAGGTAGGGACAACTGGGGTTGACAGATCCGGGAATGATCCCGTTATTCGTTATGTTTGTATACAGTACGATGGGCTTTAAATACCCCAGCTATTAACAATAATACTCGCAAAGATCACGCGTGTATTTAGAGTGTTCATACGTTAAGTACAAATTTTGTACCGTGTACATTTTCGTTTTGTTCATTTTTTTTTGTTAAATTCGCGGTGCTGTTCCGTACTGCATTTTGAGATTTTTTTTGGAAAAGCACGTTTGTATTGAAATGTAATTTTGGTTTATCTAGCGTTTAATATTAACAATCTTTCGGGGTTTTTTTTGTTGTCTAAAATTGTTGCTTTGTGGTTTCCTTCCATCACGTTACAATTGGTCATTAATGTATCGTATACAGTACAGTATTCATTTGAAACCGGGTAAAGAATCCAACTGGTAAAATTTAGGACATCTGGCAGTACTTCATCATTGTGAGGGCATTTTCCTATTTATGAGCCTCAAGGTTGCCTGCATCGATAAATACTGCAGAAAAACCTCGGTGGGAAATATTTATAAAGTAGTTGCAATGTATCGTTGTGGATAATACAGTACAGTATAAGCAACAAAATACATTCCCAGACGTGGGATAGAGCGAGGTTCAGGGTTAAAAGACATGGCACGTGTATAATGTAAAGACTGTATAATCGTTGTTTGTGTAACTTCATGACCCATCCCGACTGGACATCTGTGGAAAAAAAAGCTTCATAGTTCATCTGGCTTCTCCAGGAAAAGTAAATATTCTCATTCTGACTGAATTATTGCCAGCATTGAGCAAATCATTTACTTGGTGTCGAATGTTCATGGGGCTTATATGGACCCAAAACTATACACGTAATTATTCGTAACCCCCTTGCAAATGCTTGAATTGTCTTGATTCGATTCATGAATCTGGGTTTACTGCCTCATTTTATATTGTTTCTTGTTTTGTCTCATTTATACAGTTTTGTCCTCATCATTAGCCTGAAATGTAACATTAGCAAATCGTGCTGCACACAATTTCTTTCAAGCGTAAATAACTCAGACACATTATTGCATTACATGCATCATAAGCATACACATTTATTTGAATCCATGTATCATCGATGCATCGTTAAATGCGCACATAGAACCCGTTATGTACGCGGATCAGTCTTGAAGTTGGCCCAAAGATCAGAACATTCTAGACACCCGGTCTACAGATCTACATTCAAATTCGCTTTTGCAAAACGGAGATGGTGGCGAGATAGTCATGTGGGTGCGGATTTACAGTCAGAGTTGTATTTGCAAGCACCTTACGTGTGTGCACTTGGGATATCCATGTTCTTAACTGGGTATTGTGGTCGCCTTGGATTGGGAGGACAAAGGCACTTTCCTCCTGGAATTAATGAGAGATAAAAAAGACAATTACTGAGACCCAGATGGAGACAAATTGGTGGAGCGACGGGATTGGTTATGGAAAAAGTGAGATAATGAATGTCACTAGTTGGTGGATAATTTTGTATAATATTCTGAGAGCAACAGCATTAGAGACACGAGTAAGAGATTATTGTCCAGGGAAGAAGAAGAGAGAGGAGGATGATATGAGGACAATGATAAATCTAATGATGCAGAGAGCTTGGTGGTATATTGAGAAACAGCTAGAGAGGGCAGCTGGGAGGAGGGGCAAAGAGTGGGAGGGTGCAGAGGTTGGCAGGAGAGGCGGGCAGACGATCGAAGCTGCAGATATTCAGGTTCGAGAGTTCGTGCCAGGGTCAGGAGTAACAGAGGCACGGCTGTGAAACGGTGATGGACACGTCTAGTGCTCAATGGTGCCCATCACATACCGGTAATGCTCGCCCACACACACGCGCACATGCACAGGCGCGCGCACGCATGCCACATGCGTTAGCTTGCTTACTCGCGGAAAGCCTTGTTAATCTGTCCACGTAGCGGGGCTGCGATCACAGTTGCTCATTTCTTGTACGACTCAAATGCTGCCTGCTAGCCTCACAAAAACTGCAACAGGAAAGGAAAAAAAAACATTCACGCGCGATAGCTCGCAAGCAGGGAGGGAAGCGAGCGAGATTGGCAGTGGGGTTGGTTACACGATGGTCTGTTGGAGCATTTTGCAGATGTATTCAGGATCCAGGATTATGCACACGCTGTGACAAATCACATTTATCATTCATTATCTATTCTGCCAATCTGCCGCCAAGTCTGATGCCAGTGTTTGTCGGTCTTTCAACTGGGTGGCTCAGGGGTCTCATAATATCTATGTTAGTAAACACAAATGAGACTCAAAAAAGACTGTGTGAGAGAGATCAAGACTGAGAGATGCAGAGGCAGAGATGGGATGTGAACAGAAATAGTGATTGTTCAAGAAAAATAGAGAATTCTTCGTAGATTTATGAACTGACACCACTTAGATCTGATTCATGCAACCACAGCCAGGTCACGAATTATTACACGAAAATCCAAACACATGAACAACTTTCTTCGTTGTTAAATTTGATCTCTTGTCAATTACCTGACTCTTGGTAAACCTCGCGTTGTATTGCAAGACGGAGGGATGCGGTAAGAGAGATCTATTATTTTGTGACAGCAGAAGTAATTATGTATTGCTTGTGGGCGGCTATTCCTTGTTGGTGATAATGTGATGCTGTGCTGGCTGACCCAAAGATTCCGTGACGTCATTTGAACACGATTAGACCAGTGCATGTCGGCCTCGTGGGAATCAAAATTCAGTGGGGGGGGGGGGGGGGGGGGGAACTAAATTAATGAACTTACTATTTATTTTTCCATCATGAACAACGGCTGAAATTAGCAGCGGATAGGTTCTAATTAGTAACCAAAGCAGAGACAGAGTGGTGAGTGTGCGATAGGGTGCACCATCACGCTTACATATTCACTATATCAGCCTTGATAGGTGCTCGCTGTCTTAACTTGCATCAGCAGACTGTTCATGCTAACATTGGGTTTGGGGGGGGGGGGGTTTGTGTTGCAGGTGTGTGTGGCTGCTGTGGAGCTCTGCGACCTCGTTACAAGCAGCTAGTAGACAATATATTCCCAGAGGATCCTGCTGTGAGTGAATCACACACACACACAGAAGCAAACACACAAGACACAGGCACACAAACAATCTCGCAAACCCCAGCTGACATAGAGGCAACTATAATCCATGGTAAGTGTTCTCTGTTTGTCTCTATCTCACCGCTTTTATCTCTCCTCTCTCCATTGTCCTCTCTGTTTTATTCTTCATTGTCCTCTGTCCTCCATTCGCTTTATTTTCCCCCTCCACATCCCAGGAGGGGTTAATGAAGGCCAACATGGAGAAGCTGACGTTCTACGCACTCTCCGCACCGGAAAAGCTTGACCGGATCGGGGCATACTTAGCGGAGCGGCTCAGCCGAGACGTGGCACGGCACTACCGCCATGGGTACACGCGAATATTAACATAAGCACACGTGGGCACGCAGACGCATACGCTACTCGTTTCAATTAGAGCTCGGATACCTATTTAAGTAATTAATTATTTAACGGCTATTTAAGTAATTAGGTTGGTTTTAGAGAAGGTTTTTATACCATTGACCACATGGAAATTACAGATTCTACGGTAGACAAATACATATGGCTTTCCGTTATTCATAGCTTTTTGTAGATCACGAAAATAATTTTATTCAGTAGAAACTGATGGGCGCCATCTCGGCTCTCGCAAACCAATGCATTTAAGAGATGACCGGCACAGACAAGTTGGTACCAATAGTGGGCTGCGATGGGTCTCCAGCCTTATAGAGGTCGATCTTTTAAAATGACTGCTGATTAGCCGATTAGTTAATAATAACGTCAAGTTTTTAATAGTGTCATTCATGCAAATTGCCACTCACAGATGAGTTGGAAGGCAGCCAGGCTGTGTGCCGGTGTCAACAATTGCCCAAGCTCTGCATTCCTCTATATATTTATGTTTTCAGCCAATGAATGATTGTTTAAGAAACATTGTTATATATTTTTTTATACATATAAAGGATGCATTTATTCAGCTTGCAGATGTGTTCACCACCTGATCGCACATTTCCTCCACGTGTCTCCCAGCTACGTGTTTATTGCCATGGAGGCGCTGGACCAACTGCTCATGGCGTGCCACTCGCAGAGCATTAACCTCTTTGTGGAGAGCTTCCTGCGCATGGTGGCGAAGCTCCTGGAGTGCAGCGAGCCCGAGCTGCAGGTTCTGGGCACCAACTCGGTGCGTTCTTGCCCAGCTGCCTCTCACCCCAGCTCATCTCGTTCACTGGATAAGAATAACAATGATGATGATGATGATGATTATAATGATGCTGATAATGCGAACAATTATTTACTTGTCATGTACAGAGTCACCTCTCCCCACACCACCTCCCGCTCCAGAGAACTGATATGTTGTCACAATTTGGAGGGTGCAATTCTAATCATCATCTAATAATATTATCGCCTCATTTTTGCCATCTAGTGTTTTTCCTTATGACTGCTTTCCGACTGAGGTTGAAAGCGTTTATGCATTATCTCCATCTGTCTGTTGCGTTCATGACGCTTGTGAAAAAATATCTAAAGTTTCAAATATGCAAATGCATTTTATCCCCTAACAGCTTCCTGTCAGCTGTCATGCTGCTGGTTGCATATAAAATGCATGTTGCAAACCATTACGTAAACCATGCATGTGATTTTTCATAACTTGTTTTGATCTGGTTGCACATTTCTGTTCGCTATGCTTGCCAAAACGTAATAGAATATCATATGCATATAATTTACATCAAATCTAATTTTTCATGATTGATTTTTGGTTAAGCTACATACTGATCATTAGAAGTACTCAATAATATACGAGCCTATAGCAGTGGTATTATGTTAACCGAAGCTTAAACTAAGTGTTAGAAGTAGCTCCATGTTCTAGCAAACATTTGGACACGAAATATTCACAGAGACATGCAAGGGAGCTTACACGTGTTCTTGCCAACCACAACTTACCCATTAATCAAGACGTCAACAATGTACCTCTATGCCATCTCAAGTCCAGATCCCCCTTCTCTGATCGGGCTGTCACCATCCTAGAATCTCACCCAGATTTGGAAAGAACTCTGACAAACAGAGTGGAACAATGCGGACGTCTCATTCAAGACTCAAATATCATCGCACCTATGTGGCCATGCAAGCCAAACTATGGACAGTATAGTAAACCATTGTAGTCTGCACTCCTTCGATTGACGAATAGCAAAACTACACAAACGCTCTCTTGATGCTCTCTCAAGGCTTGCAGACCTTGGCATTAGCATTTTGCTATTGAACATATTGCCATGTACGAGAATGGAATAGAATTGCATATATTGCCTACTTCTTAATAATTTGTTTCCAAACCACACTTATAACTATCTGCTCAATTTAAGTTATTTTGATATTTGTGTATCCATTCTCACACATGACTCTATTCATTTATAGTGAACATGATAATTTCTTTTAAGCAATTCATAAATGTGCTGTTAAATGCCTTTTATTATTATTATCTCAAGAAAGCTTCACCCAGTCTTAATACTATATGGTTGTGTGAAGTTCTCTCTGGGTCCTCCGGTTTTTCCCTCCACATTTAGAATTATGCGTTTAGAGGACTTGGCTGCTATACGTTTCCAAATGATAAGCCGCCACGTTGTTGAGCTATCATTTTTGGCCAGGTGGCTTCTGAAAAAGAGCTATATAGCTCAGTGAGCCTTACCTAGTAAAAAAAAACAAAGTGTATTTTATAGTTTAGTTTATCTCCGTGTCATTACTCCCGCCCCTATCTCCTTCTTTCTTTCCTTCCCTCACCCCATCGCACTCAAAATCTGCGGCGACAGTTTGTGAAGTTTGCCAACATTGAGGAAGACACCCCCTCGTACCACCGCCGCTACGACTTCTTCGTGTCAAAGTTCAGCGCCATGTGCCACCAGAGCCACGATGATCCGGACGCCACCAACAAGTGCGGTCGCCCTACCCTCCGACCTCTCATCCCATCCCTCAAGCCTGATCTCCAATCTTTGACTGCTCCTCCTTGACCCTTCCACTCTTACCCCTCCTCTATTGGTGATGGTTTCAGTGACGGTGTCAGCGTTGGTGGCAGTGTTATCAATAATGTTTATGTTTATGGGCAGTGACTTTAGCAATGTTGTTGACGCAAGATGAAAGTATCGGTGATGCTCGTGGTGGTGCTGGTAATATCGTCATTGATGGTAACAATGATGTTGGTGCCCAGGGTGCGTATGGCTGGCATCAGGGGCCTGCAGGGCGTCGTGCGTAAGACCGTGAAGGATGAGCTTCAGGCCGACATCTGGGAGCCGCAGCACATGGACAAGATCGTACCTTCCCTGCTCTACAACATGCAGCACGCGGACCCAGCCGACAGGTCCGTGGCGCCTGCCAGGCAACGCTACACCACTTCGCACTAAGCTACTCCACACTACGTCTCTCCACAGTACGCCACTACAATGAATGCGTGTGCTGGCATGCGCAGCCGGTCCCCGTCCCCGCTGCAGGTGACGGAGAGGGAGCGAGACAGCCCCGCGTGTCTCGGGGAGAGCTGTCTGCGTGACCTGCTCGGCCGTGCCGCCTATGGCAACATCAAGAACGTCATCCGGCCCGTCCTTGTGTATGGCACACCTCCCTCCCTCCCTCCCATCGCAGGGAGCCAGACTTCCAGCTCCTTCCCATCCCTATCTGTCCCCATCCCTCCCTCCCATTCTGCCATCCCCGTCTCTCCCTCCCCATCTATCTATCCTCATCTCTCTCCCCCTCCCTTCCTTCCTCACTCCCTCCACTCCCTGCTGTCCTCCCTCCCACTCACAACTCCTTTCTCCCTCCCGTCTTCCCTCCCTCAATCTCGCCCTTCCTCCCAACCTCCCACACCCTCTACCTTGATTCCTGCCCGCTTCCCACATTCACTCTTCTCACTTTTCCATTCCCTCCCTCTTTGACTGTGGCTAGGAAGCAGTTGGACAGACCTCAGAAATATTCCCCGAGGTCAATTCCTCCTTAAATCAGTACCTGTTGCTGTATTCGAATATCGGCATTGGGGAGACCAAGGTAGGTGGGTGTGATGTAGGCCACAGCACCCCTTTATGTGTCATACCGGCCTTAATAGGTGCTCCCCACCATACTTGTATGAATGTTCAACCTCTTTCACACCGTACATAGCCAACCATGCTAATGGGAGATGCGGGGGAAGGACAACAAACTAAACACAAAACGCAGTTCTAAAGAAATTAGTTTTTAAACAAGGTTTAAAAGTGCATAGCTCCAGTGGCCTTCCAGTATCGGAAAGAAGAGCGTTCAAGACGTCCGCAGAAGCGCATCTGAAACCGCGCGAAGCGGTGACCGTCTTTTGTTCCATGGTTAGCCAAAAGCCGCTGCAAGGATGACCGGAGTTCGCGTGATGGTTTACGCTCCTAGACGAGGTCAGTAAGGTAGCGTGTGGTTCATTTGTGGCAAGCACTTTGTGTGTTATGAATTATCTCAACAGTCAATGCGAATGCAGGATCTTTGTTTGCACACACACCTTCCAGACACCTGGACAACCATCAGCTCTGGGACCCCAACGCTTTTGCTGTACGATGCTTCAAAATCGTCATGTACTCCATACAGGTGCGTACACACGCATCACCTCCTGTGTCTGTTCCAACAGCATTGCTGTGAGTGATTGACTACTCAGGTGAGACAAAACACAGGGTAGGGGGGTGATAGGACCAGCATCGGGCAGGAACGACAGTGGTCACCTCTGTTCTCAGATATCGGCTTCACATGGTCCTCGCTTACGTCAAATTGACAGACTTATCTACGCCATAGGAATCTGGAATGTCCTTCAGTAGCTCTTTTAGGCCCTCACTAGAGATGAGCGGTGCCTAACTCTCGTTTAAACAGGGATGCACTCTGTTGACGTGGGTCAAGGTGAAGACTACCACTTTGTGGAAATCAACAGCACGTGTCCTGTGGAGAAACTATCCTCACCATGAGAATGTGTAATTTCCACCACCGGCTTAGCGCTGTGTCACCCCATACTTCTTTTAGCAGGGAGACAGTTTATTTGACTTTTAACTTGGACTAGGTCACGAGGTCATGATGACGATAATGGTACCCTAGCTTGAAACTCGTTAGCACTGGTCTTGCGTGCGTCAGCGAAGTGTGGCTGGCACGGACCCGAGTACAAGGAATTAAATAGGGCCCCCTATTTACTGCCACTGGGCTGTCTCACCACATGACTCCTCACGCCAGTGGCACCTTCCAAGAATCTGCCACCCATGCCTTTCCCCTATTCATAACCCGGGACCTGTGCCCCTCCAGCTAGTAGGCCCCGGCGCAGTTGCTCCACCTGCACACTGAACAGCTACGCCCCTAGTTTCTATGTCTAAATTGAAAACTCATTCCTTTAGAACTGCTCTTTGTGTTTAGTTTGTTGTAATTCTCCCGCACCTCTGATTAGCACGGTTGGCTACGTACAGTGCGAAAGAAGTTCAACATATACCTACATACATGTTAACCTATGGGTCCTATGTTAGCCTTTTGGTTCCATTATTTGTGGATCTTTGTGTATGTGTAGGGGTCTCTGTGTGGGCCTCTCGGTCACTGTAAGACTAAGGGTTGCTTTGTGAGTTGGTAGGTTACAAAATATGTTCATGGGTGTCGGTAGCGTGTGTGGTTGGCATGGTGCCCAGCACGGGCGATGAAATGTTGCTCCCTGTCTAATTTATCCCCTCCCCCACTCTCCATAGCCAAGCGCCTGGGCCCCTCTGAACCAGGAACCCCAGTGCACTTGCACCGCATGCACACACTCAATAACTACACAGCACCTCCGATTACCACGGTTGGCTACATACGGTGCGAAAGAAGTTCAACATACATACACAACACAGCTTTCCATGCTGTGTGCTGCTGTACGTGCAGGCACAGCACTCGCACCTGGTGCTGCAGCAGCTGCTCGGGCACCTGGACACTCACAGCAAGGACAGCGCCCGCGTGCGTGCAGGGCTGGTGCAGGTGCTTGCCGAGACCGTGGCCATAGCCGCCGGCGGATCCGTGGGTACGCGCATTTGCGTGCGTGTGACTATGTGGAGGAGGTTTGTGGAGGACAATGCTGGGGAGTTGGAGGCAGTCCTCCAGAAACAACGGAGGGCAGGGGAGGGACGCTCACAACAACGAGCGGAGCGTCGGGCGGCTAAAACGCAGAGAGTTGGCACACCACAGTTGGTGCATCTGCCAGTCATCCCAATTAGTCAACCCATGGCACCTGGGTCTATTTCGTGACCTCCTGCCAGCGGGCCTTCAACACTTCACGTGGCCTCAAAGTGCACCTAGCTTGGCACAAGTGCCATCACTGCCACTTAGTGGTGAACGGCGGTTGTTGTTACGAGGCTTCAACCATAACAACAACAACCGTTATGTTATTGTTGGAGAAGCCTCGTGAAGGATGCTACAGAGCAGTAAGAGGCAATTGCCCGTCAACAACACTCGAGGGGGGAGCAGCGATTCAATGGCGAGCGGAGCACCAGATTGACATGGTGGGGAGCACAAGTGGTGCAATGGCCATTCATGCAGTCAGTTAACCAAAAACATCTGGGTCTGGCCTTGACCGCCAGTGTTTATAATTCATTCAGGATTTGAGGCTTTCGTAACTGCAGGAATCCATACTCTTTGGTTCTTTCGGTAAAGTCACGTCGGTAGAAAAAATAATAGATCACGATGTTTCGACCGCAACAAAAGCGACCATCATCAGGTGACTTCATAGTTCATATTTGTAAAAAAAAATTATACTAGAATTTTGGCGGCCTATGGCCGCCTTATTCAATCTCCTGCAGAGGGCTTATTGATGCTTCACACCTCGCCCCTTCCCCGTCGCCCCCACTGATGTCTTCTTCTTCCCACTTTCGATACCTTTTTGCTTCATGCATTCCAAAGGGCTCTTATAATTTAGTTGATGGACAAACGGAATGCCGGGCTTTTATAATAGGTGAATCACATACTACTTAATTGGGAAGCCACTTAGCAACTTCCCCCGACACCTCGACTGGCAGACCAATGCCCACTTACCAGCCGGTGCTGCGATTACCTTGTGCCTTCACAGGGACAGCTGCCTCTGGGGGACCCCTATCATAACACAGGGTACTTTGAGATGTGCTGCATAGGAGGTGTGGTATAAACATGAAGTGATGACGATGAAGACGATGATGATGATGATGATGATAACGATATCTGACAGCTGTTGACCATTATGTGCCCCCAGGCCCCACGGTGCTAGAAGTGTGCAATACGCTCCTCCGCCATGTGCGGCTCAGTGTCGACTTCCAGCTGACGGGCCGCGGAGGCTCCCACGAGGACGAGGACACGGAGTACGAGGAGGAGAAGATGTTCCAGGAGTCGCTCATCAAGACCATCGGTGAGGTGGCCGGCTGCCTCTAGGGAGCTCAGAATGGCCATGTCACAGAGGTAGTCGTGCAGCTCAGAAGGTGAACACTGTGTATCGGAGCACTCGGATGGCACGGTTGAGATCTCGGATTCAAATCCAGTTTTCAGAGCCACCCATCATGAAAACTGAGTTCGCAAATATAGCGATGGTCTCAGCGCAGTCACGTATGACTGTATGAAATTTTCAAACAATTTGAAATGTGGTTTGTCACTTGCAGGGCATGAGAGGGTGGTGTGATCAGCAGGATACCCCATCATCTTTATTGATCCTATGCAGGTGTTTACACACCACGTCAGATACTAAGTTAAGGCTGACTTTGACCTAAAGGAGACCCAGGGCACATTCTGAAATTACTCGCCACTGATGCAGACAAAGACACACAACAACCGCCATTCGCTACTAAGTGGCGGTGACGTTACCACAGCGCTTGTGCCAGGCTATGTACACTTTAAGGCCACGTGAAGTGTCGAACGCCCACTGGCAGGAAGACACGGGACAGACACACACACAGATATACATACCTGTGCACGTAATCGCAACCTGAGACAAAGACACGGGCAAACATACACACACGGGCACACAAAGATATGCATAAATACACTCAGATACACAAAAAGTGATAGGCATGCACAAGCACACGTACATACATACACACATAGGCAAGCATATGCACAAATGCATACACAACAAGAACAGCAGCTGCCATTTACCAGTAAGTGACTTTCATGTGCAGTTTGAGGCCATGTGAAGTGCGGAAGGCTCGCTGCCAAGAGGTCACATGACAGGTCCCCGTTTTTATGGGTTCTGACTGAGATGACTGACAGATTCACCACCAACTGTGCTTCTCACTGTGGCAATTTGCTGTGTTTTAGAGACCCAGCACTCTGCTGTAGTTGTAAGCCTCACTCCTCCACCCTCCATTGTCTTTGGAGGTAAAATACATCTCAACTTCCCAGTAGCATCATATTTGTGAGCCTCTTCCACAGACATACACGGACACACTGTGCCGGCTTTGGTGGCATTACTTTGGTCCGTGTGGGACGAGATGACCGGTTGCTTTGTGCGTGCTTCCTGCCAGGTTCATTTGCCACCACACTGCCCAACTACCAGCGCTCAGAGATCATGTTCTTCATTATGGGCAAGATGCCTCTTCCAGGGTGCCAGCCCAGCCTCTGTGCTGGCCACGGCGGGTACGTTTACAATACACACACACACACACAGAGACATGTACGGTGAAGCACACAGTCATACATTTATATATATACACATATGCTGGCATGTTTGCAAGCACACAGCACACACAGACACACGGAGACACACAGTCACATTTATATACACGTGCATGTCCACATACACTACTTACATTTAAGTGTATACACTACAGAGGCATGCACACACTCACCATTATTACGTAAGCTGGCATGATCACACCCACACTATATAAAGACAAAAATCCCCCGAATAGCGTGAACAGACTGTTGGGGCAAGTGCTGTTAGCAAGCACCTATAAAGGCCGGCATGGCACACGAGGGGGTGGGTGGCCAACACCACGCCCGGCCGCCTTTGTCTCCCTAGTGTCGATGTTGACAGACTACACCAGGCTGAGTCGACCTAGGGGAGGCCCAGAACCAGTTCAGATCATCATCACCGTTGTTGGCCATGAGCGGGAATAGACCTCGGGCTGCCAGGTTCGTAGTGCAGCACGCTAACCGCTACACTACCGCTTCCCACACCATTCACAAAGACAAAGAACCCCCGTATTGCCTTAACAGACTGTAGGGGCAAGTGCTGTTAGCAAGCACCTATGAAGGCCGGAACGGTACACGAGGGGGTGGGTTGCCAGCACCACGCCCGACCGATTTTGTCTCCCCAGTGGCGATGTTTACACACCGCACCAGATACTCATTTGAGGCTCGCATAATAGCACACACATTGACATGTGCACCTGTGTACACAGGTTTTGACGCACACTTCCACGAACACACACACACACTCACTCTTATACACACTCAAGTCATTGGGTTGTACGTGCATACACACACACGCACATATTTACCAAACTCCACTGCTTTCACACTCAGGAAAAAGGGGGACAATACAAAATAGTGCGCCACATTAACGCACACGATTGCACAAAAGAACAACTAAGACAAAGCCGACGTGGAGTTTGATGCGTGTGTGTTTGTGCCGTTAGGCCAGACTCTGCGGTTCCTTTCAGGGAAACTCTTTCCCCTCCCTCGCCTCCCTGGGGCCCGTCCCTGTGCTTGGAGAGGTAGCTTCCCACCAAGTGCCACCCCTGCCTTCCCCTACCCACTATCCCTTTCACTTACTCATGCCATCCCTTTCCCTTCTCATAATCTCCCTCTTACTAACTGCCGCCCTTATTAATTATTTCCCTTCCCACAATCCCCCTCGTTAGCGACTGCACCTTCCCTTACTATCCCATAATCCCCCTTTCTGACTACGAACCCATTCCCTTCCCACAATCCCCATGAACCCCCTAAGTGTACTGTGTGTGATGTGCCCTGCGCCCTTGCTTGGTGTGGCTAACACAAGCGGTGCACACTGAGTCACCCCTTTGATGTTTCTTGGCGCCTCTGGAGATCTTTTTGGTCCATTCAAACAGAGCAGCATGCATGTTTATATAATGCTTCAACAGGATCGCGCGAACGATTGTTTTCGTGTGCACGTACATGTGTGCAGTGTGAGTGTGTATAACAGTGTGGCCTGTTAATGGAATTGTGTATGTGCGGAACAGTGCACAGGAGTGGTTCACGCAGTGCACGACAAATTTGGCGACATGAGTTCAGTTCCCGGCTAACATGAGTGACATGTGGTGTCTAAACCAGTAAATCATTGCACGCCTACGAACACCACTGTATGCAGCAGTCTTGAGTAGATTAAATGACCCAGAGAGGGGGGGGTCTTTATGTGCGGTTGCAGTGAGGAGGCCATGTATCTGATCCAGACGATGCTGCTGCGTTCTGTGCTGCAGGTGAGACCTGTGTGGCGTTGGCACCGTAACCTGTACACATTTGTCCATGCTTCTGGGTGTTTGTACAAGTTCACACTGGTACAGTGAGGGAAAAAAAGTATTTGATCCCCTGCTGATTTTTTGTACGTTTGCCCACCCGACAAAGAAATGATCAGTCTATAATTTTAATGGTAGGTTTATTTGAACAGTGAGAGACAGAATAACAACAATATTCAGAAAAAACGCATGTAAAAAATGGTATAAATTGATTTGCATTTTAATGAGGGAAATAAGTATTTGACCCCCTCTTATTCAGAGAGATTTCTGCCTCCCAGGTGTCTTTTATACAGGTAACGAGCTGAGATTAGGAGCACACCCTTAAAGGGAGTGCTCCTAATCTCAGCTTGTTACCTGTATAAAAGACACCTGTCCACAGAAGCAATCAATCAATCAGATTCCAAACTCTCCACCATGGCCAAGACCAAAGAGCTCTCCAAGGATGTTAGGGACAAGATTGTAGACCTACACTAGACTGGAATGGGCTACAAGACCATTGACAAGCAGCTTGGTGAGAAGGTGACAACAGTTGGTGCGATTATTCGCAAATGGAAGAAACACAAAAGAACTGTCAAATCTCCCTCGGCCTGGAGCTCCATGCAAGATCTCACCTCGTGGAGTTGCAATGATCATGAGAACGGTGAGGAATCAGCCCAGAACTACACGGGAGGATCTTGTCAATGATCTCAAGGCAGCAGGGACCATAGTCACTAAGAAAACAATTGGTAACACACTACGACGTGAAGGACTGAAATCCTGCAGCGCCCGCAAGGTCCCCCTGCTCAAGAAAGCACATATACATGCCCGTCTGAAGTTTGCCAATGAACATCTGAATGATTCAGAGGACAACTGGGTGAAAGTGTTGTGGTCAGAGGAGACCAAAATGGACCTCTTTGGCATCAACTCAACTCGCCGTGTTTGAGGAGGAATGCTGCCTATGACCCCAAGAACACCATCCCCACCGTCAAACATGGAGGTGGAAACATTATGCTTTGGGGGTGTTTTTCTGCTAAGGGGACAGGACAAATTCACCGCATCAAAGGGACGATGGACGGGGCCATGTACCATCAAATCTTGGGTGAGAACCTCCTTCCCTCAGCCAGGGCATTGAAAATGGGTCGTGGATGGGTATTCCAGCATGACAATGACCCAAAACACACGGCCAAGGCAACAAAGGAGTGGCTCAAGAAGAAGCACATTAACGTCCTGGAGTGGCCTAGCCAGTCTCCAGACCTTAATCCCATAGAAAATCTGTGGAGGGAGCTGAAAGTTCGGTTTGCCAAACGTCAGCCTCGAAACCTTAATGACTTGGAGAAGATCTGCAAAGAGGAGTGGGACATAATCCCTCCTGAGATATGTGCAAACCTGGTGGCCAACTACAAGAAACGTCTGACCTCTGTGATTGCCAACAAGGGTTTTGCCACCAAGGACTAAGTCATGTTTTGCAGAGGGGTCAAATACTTATTTCCCTCATTAAAATGCAAATCAATTCATAACATTTTTGACATGCGTTTTTTTGGATTTTGTTGTTGTTATTCTGTCTCTCACTGTTCAAATAAACCTACCATTATATTACAGACTGATCATTTCTTTGTCAGTGGGCAAACGTACAAAATCAGCAGGGGATCAAATACTTGTTTCCCTCACTGTATATGTGCACACCTGTGTGTGTACACATGCCTTTACACATGCCAGTATATAGTATTCACGTATATATATACAGCCCTTTCACGTATATGTCAGTCCACTGCTGGACGAGCGCCTTCCCCTGCTCTGTGCGGTTTGGCGAAGGCAACGTAGATGGGGAGAGTGTTTAAACATGGGGAGCGGTGGTACAGCATTTAGCGCGTTGCGCTATTAACATGGCGGCTTGAGTTCGATTCCCGCTCACGGCCAACACCAGAGACGATTATCTGAACCAATCCTAGGACTCCCTTAGGTCGACTCGGCCTCAAATTAGTACCTCGTCCAGTCTGTAAACATTGCCACTGGGGATACAAAAGCGGTCGGGCATGGAGCTGGCCGCCCACCCCCTCGTGTGCTTTGCCGGCCTTCAGAGATGCTCGCTAATAGCACTTGCCCCAACAATCTTTCAGGATACACGGGGGATCTTGCCTTTGTGTGCATGCATCACATGGCTGTTCAAGCCATGAACCTGGAAACTCAAGACGATTAACATTGGTGATATCCGAACCAGTCCTGGGTCTCCCCCGAGTTGACTCAGAATTATACGAGTACCTGGCATGGTGTATAAACTTTCGCACTGTGGTGGAGATTAAGGCCGGGGCCTGGCATGGTCCTAGCCCGCACAATCCCTTCGTGCGTCCTGCCGGCCTCAATAGGCGCTCGCTCACAACACTTGCCCCATCAGTCCGATGAAGGCCACACGAGGGACGCTGGTGTTTGTGTGCGCTGCGCGCCAGGTGACGTGCGGTTACCACGTGTCCAACATGACGAGCGGGCTGCCATCTTCCTTCCTCGAGCCGCTGCTATCCCTCTCTCTGCTGGAGCACCCCGACCTGAGGGTCATCGTCATGGAGATCCTGCAGAGCCTGGTTGATCGTCATGGCAACCGACAAAAGTTTGCGAGCGTCAGGTGGGTAGGCGAGCAAAACAAGAAGGCATAATCAGCACATGCGTGCGCCCCTTTTGTCAGTCCACCGCTGGGTAAAGGGCCTCTGTATGTGTTGTGGATCACGGAAGTTATTTGACCTTTAGAGTAATCTTCATTCACACTGGAAGTATGTTTACATGTTGATCCTCTTTCGCACCGTACGTAGTCAACCATGCTAATCGAGAGGTGCGGAGTACCTCAAAGCACACAAGCGCAAAGCACAATTACCAAGTTACCAAATATACATCGTGTCGTACTGTGAAAATTGTTCTCACAGCAAACTCGTTGGCTACACGTTGACATGACCCAGCAGTCGCACGTTTGACGCTTGTTGTAGATGGAGTGCAGTTTGAGCCCAGCATCCGTCCTGGTTAATACTGCCAGTGTATTAACCATAAAACACACATGGTCTGTTTCACAGTGGACGTTAAAGATCCCATGCGATTATTTGGAAAAGAGTAAGCCAGTCTGTGCCTGTGTCATGTTCCAAATGTGCCAAATTTGATCAACTACTCGTGAATAACGCCTCCACTCGGTACACACATCGCAATATCACCCCCTCCTGGCAGACTAATGCCCCAATTGCTGGCCAGTTGTGCATTCACCTGACACCTCACAGCGTCAGCTGTCGCTGGGAGTCCCCCTGCTGCAGTTCGCCTCGAGAGCTAGTGCATAGGAGGCACGGTATAAATACCAAGTGACGATGACGATGATGATGATGAATCGCACTCCTTGCTGCCACCGCAGTATCTGGCCCGACATCGCGGTGTTGAATCTCAAGATGGAGAAGTGTTCCCGCCAGGACGTGCTCTTCATGAAGAAGGTGAGGTCGGTGCGGCGGCGGTTTGACTCTGCCGGGCTTGGTGGTGTGCCCGCTCAGGGGCAACAGCTGGCTTGAGACCACGCGGACGCGAGGTGGCAAGTAGGTTGCAGTACGGCAAGGAGTCCTACTTCGTCAAGTTTTAGAGTACCGGTACCTAGGAGCCCGGCGCAGCGGCCACCGCGCACGCAGCAATGAATCGACTCATCGATTCAAATCCATTGTAACGCTCACATTAATTGCATGGTCACGCTCACATCTTGCAACATGCCTTGTGTCGATGGGTTCCTATAAATCCTGCGGCTTTTAGGAATTCTGCATTCACCCCAATGGCCAAATATAATGACATTTTTAATCAAACTGTGACGTTGAATCGTGACGTTTCGCTTAGGATGGGCATCGGTTCAATCCTCGCAGCGTATTGGCTGACGTCACGTGCATCGCATTCAACATTAGCCCCGTCCCTAACTCTGCTTGGCCATCCTGTATATTTCTAATGTCTCGTAAGGCCAGCGTATCACGATTTTGTCACAGCTCGGCATGGTAAATAGCCAGTGGAAAACCACCCGTACCGTGAGGGCCCCACTCGCATGTGCCAGTGGAAAAGGGAACGAGGAGAAGAGTGATGGTTCTGCGCCGTGCCAGTCCGTGCTCGTACGTCACTGCCCTGCGTGCCGCTTTGTGTCGTCGTTGTCCCCGTTTGTCCCGCTTTGTGCCGTGGTTGCGCCGCGCCCCCCCTGCCGTGCCGCAATGCAGCACAGCCAGCAGCTGTACCGGTACCTTTACCTCGCGAGCCAGCGGGAGGACAACTCGGAGAGGAACTTCCGTGCGCTCTTCGGGACGCTGGCCGTGCTGAGCGTGGAGCTGGCCGGCGAGGAGGTGGTGGTCGACCTCGTCCGTTTGGCCCTCGCCATGCAGGTGTGGTGGTCGACCTCGTCCGCTTGGCCCTCGCCATGCAGGTGTGGCGGTCGGCTTTGTTCTCTTGGCCCTCGCCACGCAGGTGTGGCTGTGGGCCTCGTTCTCTTGGCCCTCGCCCGTGCTTTGTTGCGTTGATCAGACAGTTGGACCCTAACTAAGCAGCTCGGAATTCACCGGTTGGCATTTGAACACAGGTGTCTGAAACGGATGCGAGGAATATTGTGGCAGGACCGGATAAGCAATGCAGAAGTCAGAAAGCGAACATGCCGGCTAAGTGTTGTGTATATGATTAGGAAAAAAACGGCTGTGCTGGGTGGGACGTGTGTGCATGATGGGTGAGGGCCAATTGCAGAGGCAGGCATTGGAATGGTCACCATGACTGCAGTGACCAAGGGAAAGACCTGAGAACCAGATGATGGGGTCCTGTCAGGGCAGATCTGGGAAGGGCGGGTGTCTACTGTATATTAGCTGAGGGATCAGGCGGAGGGTTGATAGCTTTGACGAGGTGGGATCAGCAGATTTGGCCATGCTGATCTGTTTCCCCGTGCCTCCGTGGGTTTGTCTCCCGCGGTCCCCGTGCGAGGGAGCAGGAGGCAGCTCTGCAGGGCGAGGACGGGGCGCCCGTAGCCACGCGTTGTTCCACGATGGCGCTCGCAGTCGCCTACTGCAGCCTCCTGAGCCAGCTCACCGCCGTGCCTGCCTTCTGCCAGCACGTTACGCAGGTGCACATGCACATACACGAAGAGCCTGCTTGTTGTTGTTGTTTTAGCTCGCTGGAGGGGCACACGAACACACCGAAAGACAAAAGGTCCTCCGTGTTATTGTTTTAGCTCACCGGTACGTGGACACGCACACACACACTCACAAAGATTCTCCGTGTTATTGTTTTAGCTCACCCGTAGGTGCACACGCACACTCACAAAGATCGTCCGTGTTATTGTTTTAGCTCACCCGTAGGTGCACACGCACACTCACAAAGATCCTCCGTGTTATTGTTTTAGCTCACCGATAAGTCGAAAGACTGTTGTGAGACTAACCAATTAGATATGAATACAACGACAATTTAGCAATTGTTAAACGGGGTGTGTGTTGTTCACAGGTGGTTGACAGTCGGAGCAAGAGGGCCCCGTACCTGCTTCCTGCGCACGTGTTCACTGAGAATCCCAAGTGAGATGGGGCCTGGGCGGATGTCTTTACGCATTTATGCCTTGGACAGCACTCCGACGTGCAGAGTGTGCATCTGCAGATGTATTAGGCACATCACATGTGTAAGGACAGTACGGGGTGATGTAGGGACAGTACGGCTCCCCGTGGCCATGGTTACTAATTAACATAACGGGAACAGACCGGGTCACGTTAGGGTAATGTGGGACCTAAGTGGCCGCTAATGATGATTGATGCGACAAGCTTTGACATGGTCACGTGAGGGAAAGCACGGAACCGAACCGTCGTGAATTGTAATAAGGGCAGACACAGACAGGGCCAGGCGCGTTGAGAGGGTTCGGGAATAGGGGCGTGGCCGGGTCGTGAGGGGGATAAAAGCCGGCGTGAACCGGGGCTCTGGGCTGCTGCTGTGGGGGAACTGCTGTCGCCGTCGTCACCTTGGAGCGGGTCGTCTTCATTATCCTGGAGTGGGCACCTTGTAGTCTTGGAAGGCTAGAGTTACGTTGTCTCAGAATAGAGTTATCTGAGAAACTCGTTAAGTCATCAGTGAGTCGGCGGACTTTATTCATAATAAATATACATGAAACTGATCAAGACGGTGTCTCTGAGAGCTACATTACACATGCATACAGATTCCGGAATTCAATACACATTGGAAAATAAGATGCATCCATAACTTTTTGGAGGCATTTTTTAAAGGAAAAAATTTAGTTTTTTGTTATCTTAAGTCAGTCAATTATGAAGGCGCTGCATTAAAATGGGCAGAGAGATCTCTTCTGGAAGATTATTCAGAATGTCCTGGTGGTGTCTTCTGCCCTTTGAGTGGTCATGTATTGCTACGCAGGACCGTCTTACAGAAGGGGACTCGGAATAACTAAATGAAAAACACATCTTCCAGAAGAAACAGATATGAGACGCCATCCCACATCTTTTTGGTGTGATATACAAGGGAAAAAGTACATTTTTTAATCCGGAGACTGCGGTACATGCAGTATTAGTATCGTGAACAAATAACTACCGTGCATGAACGCCACACACGTAGACAGAAAGGGGCAACGCACGCCATGCAGAGCGCAGGCTCATGTCCATTGTCCTTTGCGATGACAGCCTGATCAGAACTTATCAATACGATTATAATTATTTAAGCAGTCGATTCGTCGACCGATTATTGGTTCACTTGCTCGTCCAATCAGATGACGTGAAATAACAAAAATGTTCATAATTGCGGATTTTTAAGAAAACATTTTTTTTTTAGTTTTCCAGATTTTATGTTTTTCTGCAGCTTGCCACGGACGTTGGACCGGTTGGATCCTGAGCTGTTGCTGCTGTCGGCGAAGATCGGAGAGGCTCTGGGCGGGAGCGGCTATAGCGTGGAGCGACTGACGGTGCCTTACGTGCCGCAGCTGACCGGTTAGACGCGCACGCCTACGATGTTAAGACAAAAGTCTCCCGAGTAGCCTTCTGAAAAGCAGTTTGGGGAAAGTGCTGTTAGCGAGTGCCTGTCAATGCTGGCGAAGTGTATGAGGAAGAAGTGTGGCCAGCACCACACCCGGCCGCCCCAGGTACTAATTTAAGGCTGAGTCAACATGTGGGAGCCCCGTGACCGATTCAGATAACCTCCACTGATGTTGCCCATGGACGAGAATCGAACCAAGGTGGCCAGACTTATAGCCAAGTGTGTTAGCCATTATACCATCATGTCCTGCCCGCATACACATGGACATATGTAAATGCACACATATGCATGCTCATGCACACATATGCTGATTTTTTCATGCACATTTAGTTACATATATTAACATATACGTATACACATATCAGTGACGTGCGGTGAGGTCAATGGCTGGGGAGGCACTGGCTAGTAGTGTCAGAGCCAGATTCACACACTGAGGGGGGCGTGGCCTCACGGAGGGGGGTGTGGCCTCATTGAGGGGGCGTGTCCTCACTGTGGGGGGCGTGTTAGACACGTCCCCCTCAGTGAGGCAGATGTGATGGCTGCCTCCCCTGGTGCTTTTTCATTGCAGTTTCATGACGAGACCAGCGAGCCTAAATATCTTTATACACACACGTGAAATAAGTTACCTGGAGTATGGAAGGCGAGGAAATTACATGAAGGGGTCTACAAACATTACATTGGTGACATACTGAGATAGTCACAGGCACGCGCTTATTGCCTGTGCTCCATCCAGTTACTGAGGGGTTGCGCAATCAGAGGGGAGGCTGAGCTCGTCGCTGCCTCACCTCTCGTCTCTTCCTGTATTTGTAGCGGAGCTCCGCAAATTTGGCGTTTTTGACTATAAACATCATTGGAATTATACAGAAGTGACATTTATAACACAGATCGGTGGAAAGATCTTAATATTTATTTTATTTGATTATTATTTTTTAATTATTCGTAACAGCTATTTTTATTGGAGTTGACAGGTGAGGCTCTGCCTCCCCTGCCTCCCCTGACCGCACGTCCCTGACACATATGCATGCACATATATACAGCCATATAAAACATACTGTTGGAAATATACAAAACACTAATTTCAAAATGTAACCATGCATCCTCCCTTTGTTCTGCATGAAGTCTACATAAACATCTAACCATTTCTCCAACCCTGAATCTCATCCAATACAGCTGTCAGCCTGAAGAGTCCATGGGTCAGAACAGAAATTAGTACCAATTTAAAGTAGTAAAGCATTACGAGTTCTGATCTATTTATACAGCTAATACAAGTTAAATATTGGATAACCCACTAATTTAAAGTGGTTATAACATAATTCACTGTTATCGGCCACACCAATATGATTGGAATAAATAAAATTAACTATTTATGAAACTAAACAATTTTCATTTTACCATGAAAGGTCCAGAGCTATATAGCTCTTTTTCAGAAGCGACCTGGTCACAATATGATAGCTCAACAAAATGGCTTATAATGTGGAAATGTGTATCAGCCAAACACTCTAAATTATCTAAACGCACGTTTCTAAGTGTGGAGGAAAACACCGCAGGACCCGGATAAAAAATCACGTGACCACGGGGAGAACACGCAAACTCCAAATATGCAACAGGCTTCAGGGTCGCTATTGAATCCATGACCTCCTGTATGCCAGGAGAGGTAGTTAACATCTCGCCACCGTGGCGCTATAAAGTTATGCTACCTTAGGTGGTATTGACAAGTGAAATATCTGCTCTGGGCTCATTGACTAAAACCTGGAGACACGTTTAAAAAAACACTTGACGCTTTCTCTCCCGTTCATCCCACGCTCGCCGTGTCTTCCTGCTCCGACCGCGATCTTCGCCTTCGGCCGTTTGGCACGTGCGTTTACTCACCATCTGGCTGAGAGCCATGGAGCATCCTCAGACGAGCAGGGGGTCACCCTTAGGTATAACGTGTCGCACGTGCAGCTGTGGTGCAGCACGTTATACCTACACGCAGCGGCTTCTTGCTGTGAGCTCGAATCCACATTGTAAAGCTAAAAGGTGAAAGTGCAGGCCTGTAATTACTTGCTCGCTTTACCGCTGACGACAACAGACCCTCCACTAGAGGGAGCTGTATAGAGCCCCTTTTAGAGCGCATTTTGGACTTCACTTCCTCACGTAACCTGCCAATTGACGAACTGTGGTGTATCCATCTGTGCTGCTCGATGGACAGAGGTGGGGGTGGGGGGGGGATTTGAGAAGTTCAACTGCTACAGCGGGAAATCGGATTGACCTGGTGACCTCTGGATTGCGAGCCCTGTGTGCAGCATCCCTCCACATTGTAGATTTCATTACGTACATATTAACGTTGTGATTGGAATTTTTGATTATTTAGGCATTATTAAAGTAAATTATTTTGCTCACAACATATGCGTGGAATTGTGTGCGTAATAATGTTACTATTTCTTCTTTTCTGAATTTTTGTTGTAATATTAGGTTTAAGCTAATAATACGAATGAGGCAGATATATAAATGAGATCGTACAAATGAGACAACAAAAATACAATTGATTCTTGATTCGAAATGTGGCTATGAATCGTGGCTGTGAATCCTGACAATTCGTATACTCACTTGGGGGGGGTGGGGGGGGTGGAGAATCTTCGTATCTTGAGCCATGATCCTAATTCAGTCCAGATTAATATGGAGAAAGTAAGATGGTTTCATTTCACTTCACTGAAATATGGGCCTGAGTAAGAAGCCACGTTCTGCCTCATTTGATCACATCGCCAATGTAGTGAAATATTGTTAAAACGGTCGTTTCAGCTCTATGGCTCTGAACAGTTTTGTGGTTTATCAAAAGGTTACGTACTGTTAGCCAAGAATATGTTATATCATCAGTAGCCCACGACCCTCAGGGCTTCAGTTTTTAACGTTTGCATTTACCCTTTTTCCACTGACACATCCGAGCTGACCCAGCCTGGGGTACTCATGGTGCAAGTGGTTTTTCATGAGCTATTTGCTGTGCCAAGCCAGAACCAAACCCTACTATGCTGACCTCGCATGAGATTTAAAATTGGCTTGGGGCCAAGCAGGACCAGGGGCAAGGCTGATGACACATTCATTGCACGTGATGTTACTTCAACTCAAACACACCGTCATTGTGGTCCCCTAGGTGCATCTCGACTTGTTCATTGCACGTAAAGGCAGTGGTGCGATGACATTACGGCTTGGATTCTGCAGTTAAAATTATTTGGTGCCTCCTGTGCTGTCCCTGGTTGGCTCAGCACGGCCCTTGTATAGCTCTGTTGTACAGTGGAAAATAGATAATAGTGGGTCTTCAAACAACCGTCACTGAGCCTGAACGACCACAGGGTTTAGACAATGTCACGTTCGGAGTTTGAAATTTCTCTGCTCCTCTGATGCAAATTGGTGGTAGAATTTAGGGCTTTCACATTTCGCTTAGCAGAAAATAATGCAGTAAACCTGTAGTTGTCATTCTTAGCTAATCGAATGTGCTGATACAGACCTGCAACCACTGCATAAAAAATATAAGTACAGTGCTTTTGATTCGTTTAGTGATCCAGATTTACATAAATGTGATTGGCCATTGTGGGAAATCCCCTCCAGTAGTGTGCAGTAAATGTCCCGCGTGAGTGCTTGATGGCCAATCGCAGTGCAGCGTAGTGAGCGACTGTGTACCTGTTTGTAGAGCTCAGTGACATCATCTGAATGCCACTTGTCATATCAATGTCATAACCAATTGCTGTATATTCCATGTGTCCTGCTATTGAAGTAATTTTGAGAAGGGGTGAATATGGATTTCTGGAACTCTAGTCAACAAGAGCCTCATATCTTGTTGTTAAACATCTTGTTGTTGAAGATGACACACAAACCTGTTTCAATATATGTTGCTTCAATGAGCCTCTCTCACCCCACGCTAGACGGCAACCCCATCATGCTCCGTAGAGAGTTGGCTCGCCAAGTGACAGTCGTCCTATTTGTTTAGAAATCCTGCCCCATACACAACCATTGGTGACCAGGCTGAGACCATCAAGCACTCCGGAACCTGGCTTATGCATGGATGGCTGCAGCCTGGATTTGAAACTACGGTGTCAGCAGTGTTGGCTCAGGGCCTTTGGCATGGCCATTATAAGTCTCCAGCGAGATAAATATACAAGCTGTGGACCTGAACCCATGGTCTCTACTGTGTCGGCTCAGTGATCTGACACGGCCATTATGAGTCGCTCTGTGCCACCCGTGGATGACAGTTGTCCTTTTACCCTGAGCCGATTTATCGCACCACCCCTCCCCTCTCCAGATGAGGACCGTTTGTCCAAGCGTAAAAGCACAGTGGACACCATCTCCATCCAGGTGGAGGAGGAGGCAAAGGGGAGCCCCAACCACGGGCAGGTAAAGCTACCCGGATGAGATAGACAAACTGGACAGACATGGACAGATAATGCGGCTGATAGGTCGATGGAAAGATAGACCAACAGATGTATGCAAGTTCAATTCTTTCTGACTGTACATAGCCAACCGTGATAATTATCAGAGGTGCGGGGGAAAGATGGATAGGCAGATGAACGAACAGATAATAATACAGATAGATGGATGCAGGGGCGGAGCCAGGATTTCAGGCCGGGGTGACATTCAACAAATTTTAATTTCAAGAATGATTAAGAGAGTCAGGCTGTTGAACTAGACGCCATCGGTTGGCGACACACTCTGACAGTGCAGTTGCACGGAGTCCGCCAGACCGAGTGTCGTACACTTATACGCAGAATGTCACCCCTGTCACCCCCCCCCCTGGCTCCGCCCCTGGATGGATGGATAGATATTTAACTGAAAGATGGCCAGATATATATGGATAATTATTGTTTGTCGTTTTTTTTTTTATCATGTGCAAAGTTTTGTTCAATCAGTTCACTGCCTTTCTTCCGTTGCAGAAAACCCCGGCGGAGGAGATCACCTTTGAGAGCCTCAAGAAGGCGATCGGTGAGCAGCTCACACGCGGCGACATTGCCCATTCAAACCAGTCGCTACACAAACAAGGAAGAAATAAATCATTCGTATCAGAGGCAGATCTATAAACTTTCCAGGTTGGTGGTGGGTGGGGGGAGCAGTCCTGAAATCTCAAGCGTTTTTAACGACACATTAATAAAAACAAAAACTCCACACACAATCGATGATTTTCTCTGGTGAATATCAATGCAATGTATGTTTTTTCTGGTCGCAGCGGCTTTTGGCTAACCATTGAACAAAGACGGTCACCGCGTTGCACGCTAGTTGCAGCTGAATTTTTCATTGAGATGTACTTGTGTGTACTTCCGTGTGTGTACTCGTGTATGCGGGATGAGTGTCGGCGTGTTTGTGTGCGCATGTGTGAATATATGGGTGTATTCGCGTCTGTGCGTGCGTGTGTGCACGAGTGCACGTGAATGTGTGTGTCAAAGTGGGGAGCAGTGGCGCAGTTGTTTAACGCATTGCACTACGTACCCGGTGACCCGAATTGGTTAACATCAATGGCAAGTACTATTTGAACCGGTTCTGGGGCCTTCCACAGGTCGACTCGCCCTTAAATGAGTACCTGGGGTGACAGAGGTGGCTGGGCTTTGTACAGGCCACGGTGCACTCCTTTGCTCGCCATGCAGGCTCTAATAGGTGCTCGCTAACAGCACATCGTCCCAACAGTCTGTGACGTCTGCACGGGGATCGTTGTGTGCGCGTAGTGGATAGCGCGAGCCGTGATGAGCTGGAGAGGGAGCGGCGGCGCCAGGTGATGGAGCGCTTCCAGAAAGCGCCGTTTGAGGAGATCGCAGCGCAGTGCGAAGCCAGGGTGAGGCGTGCTCACGTAGACGCTCACCTGAACCCCTGCGTGCTCACACGCTGCCCTACAGTGCTCACCCGTACACCTGCACGCGTATGTGTTCACCTCCACGCTCAGCTGTGCACCTAGAAGCTCGCATGCTCACCTATAGCGCTTACCTACGCGATCATCTACACGCTCATGTACTTACATGCTCACCTGCACACCTACATGCTCACCTGCACACCTCCATATTCACCTGCACACCCAGTCACCTGCAAACTCACCTGCACACTCAAGCACCTGTACACTAACCTGCACACTCACTCACCTGGACACTCACTCGCACACCTATAACTTTGCATCACCTGAGCTCCATTCACTTGACGTGGATTGTTTGTGTCCCCGTCTCCCCCCCACACCCCCTGCACCCCAGGCCAATCTCCTCCAAAACAAACTGAACCAGATCTTCGAAATGACCATACGGTAAGACCAACACGCACAGTGATGAAGGGGCTTCACATAATGTTGGCACGCATCTGTGATACCTGTCTTTCCTAAAACCACAACAATCAAACTATGCTATGAATAAAGTTTTGCTGCCTGGCGTGCAATTGCGCAGCGGTGACGTCACGGTCACCGTTCCGTGATGATGTCACCCGCATCCCACAGCCGTTGAGCCAGGTTCGTGCGTCACGCATTCATCCTGGGCTTTCCCAGGACGTCCGCTGTCTGGGAGCAGATGTCCTGGGAAATGTTCGTGAATGGGAATCGGGCTCGATTTTCCGTCGTGGGCCAACACCTGCGATGAATATCTGAACTGATCCTGGGCCTCCCCTAGGTCGACTCAGCCTTGTGTAAACATCAGCACTGGGGAGACAAAGGCAGCCAGGCATGGTGTTGGCCGGGGGTGGTACTGGCCACCCACCCTTTCATGTGTGCCGTGTCGCCTTTAATAGGTGCTCACAAACGGCACTTGCTCAAACAGTCTATTAAATGCTATGTGAGGGAATCTTCGTTTGTGAGTGTGTCTGTTTATGTGCGTGCATGCGTGTGTGTGTGCAGGCCTCCCCCCAGCCCTTCCGGCTCGGTTGGTGTGGGTGCCCACGGCCCCGCGTCCCGCCGCTCCGTGCCCGTCTATGAGATGTCGCTGCCCGACCTCTGCGTCTACTGAAGCCGGGGGTTCTTATCCCCCTTGATGCCCGCGGTCCACCTCGGTACAGTGTTGTTAATGTGAAGTCGCCAACGCTGAAACGTCTCGACGGTGACCTCAGTTGAGCCGTCATTCCGTCTCGCAGTCGCGATTCAATCCCGTTTAGGGATTGAGCTGGACCATCCTCATGATCCTCATCATCATCATTAAACCGTCATAGTCGTTAACACGAGTAGTACCATTTCGTAAGAAGTCAACAGTTGCCATCCTATGTTTATACCGGCCCCTGCCATAGGAAGGCGGAATTCCCATTGATGGCTCGGGACCACCAGTGGATATGAGCATCGCCCAACTTTTGCTTGAGCAGCGAGACGCTGACGTAACCAAGAGTGAAAAGTGCTTCCTATGCCTCTGTGCCCAGGCGTCCTCCCACAGCTGCTGTTGTTACCGAATCTGCTACTGACAGCTTCAACTGTTGACTTCCTGGATTTGTCAATTTTCGTGGCCGTTCGGGCTTACTCTAAGATTCGTCGGTAGTTGCTGCTCTTCGCAATGGGTTCAAACGAAATGCTTTATCTACATTTAATTCTATTAGACTTTCATTCGGCGTTTGCGTGCGTGTCCTTTCTTTGCAGTATTAGTACGTAAACTACTCTCGCTTTAAAATATCCACGTTCTCTTAGTGAATATATTTTTTTAACTCTTGCTTGCGTCGATCCATGGCCACAACATTTTGAAGACGGCCGCACCCTCAGCATCTTAGCCTGCGGTGGCTGTGACGAGGCTACTGCACGTTCTTCCTGCGTCACTCGTTGGCAACCCCTCCGTCCGTCTTCACGGCGGCATTATTATTTGCCCCCAACGCACCTGGCCTTGCCGAGTGCAGAGACAAACATCTTTCTTCGCAGGCACATGGAGTGGGATCTCTGGGCACCTGTGGCCCGCATCCTGTGCACTCTAAATATTCGTCATCTTCGCGGAGTGTGTTGTCTGATATATTCTTACACTAAAGTAACATATCACTCCTCATGCATCGTCATCATCAACGTCCTGATCATCGGTGGCAGGTTGAATTAGGATGTGTTCTCCCCAGAGGTTGTGCACAACTTTTTACCGACGTATTTGTGAGACGTTTGGTGATATTCTTGAACTATTTATTTTTACCATGTCTAAACTTCAATGTAGTTTATATTTTAAAAAGTGTATACATTTTTATGAAATTGGTCATACTGAAGAACCACTTTTGCTCCACATGGGCCTATCTTTCCATGTTTACCATTATTCTTTGCATCACACAACTGGTGCACTCATAAAGACCTCAGAAGATGAGAAAGCATACATATTCATATCAAGCACAATTTTAGCTAATGTACTTAATGTAACATGCGCCTTCATGGTGGATTCTCGGTAATAGATTAATAAATTAACAAAACAGGCTGTATCGCCAAGCACAACTTTAAAACGACATTTAGGTCCATCACCCAAATGTCGTTCTTGACCGATGTTCCTGATGTGGGACGGCAGGAGTCACCACAAGCACAGTTAAGCCTGACGGTGGGTGGCCATGACGTGACTGCCTGTAACCCAGCACTGTGGAGGCAGCAGGGGTTGGTGGATCACACACAGATGTTGTGAAACTCCCCGTTGGCATCGAGGAGGTGCCGTACCCTGGCTCGCCGGGAGAATGCAGTCCGACAAAAATGTGGACTCAACCTGTTCCGTCTGCGTGGGATAGAGTGTTGCTCCCTCGCACGCCTGGGTTTTTTTCCGGGTGTTCTGGTTTCCACATCTAAACACTTGTTAATTGGCTAATAACGCCTTAATATATAGAGGACTGTAGAGCTTGTGGTGAGGGGGTGGGGAATTTGGCTCCAGCTTTCCTTGTCTGTGGCTCCCCCTCGCTACTCCGAGTTGTCCTCTCTCTTCGGGAGTCAGCGGATACTGTGCGGAATGTTACAAATTGACGTAATTATTGTTATAAAGCGGCTTATAACTAGAGCTGGGAAAATTTACTCGGGGTGATTAATAGAATAAAGAATGTAATCATCTACTTTTTTGTGGCCGATTACTCTGGGAACCTCGAAAGAAACGTGGCTGCCCCCCCCCCTACATCCTGCTCCCAAAATTAGGAAAACTCCCCCTACAATCCGCACCCGGCATGATACGGCCGATGACTCCGATGACGTCGCCAAGCCACGCCCATCACCTCTTGTCCAGTGACACACGTGGGAACAGAGGTGAGACTTTTTCACCCAAAATATTTTCCTGTTCGATTGGGTAATTAATCCAATTGTCGTTATATGAATTACTTAACTACCAGATAGCCCAGCTCTAGTTATATTATCAGGCAACCCAGGAGCATTTGTTTCTCTGGCCACCCTCTGCTGATGAGACTCATCGCAAGTAAGTGGATCGATTGGCGGTGACCCGGGTCGCCATCGTGACCTGGGGTTGCCAAAACCTCCATAACTTTGAAACCAGAAGGCCTATGAAGACGGGAGATGTCACTGAGCCCGATACGCACTCCAAATATGGAAATAAAAAACACGCAAAACACCCATAAATCAAGGGGGGCTGATGGGGATTTGTGCATTTCAACGGCTGTTTATTGCTTGTTTTGAAAGTACATCGGGATGCTGGTCTGGTCATTCTCCAGCACGTTCTGCTTATTACGGGAGCGGCCACTCCACTTGTCTGTGGGAGCGAGACCACTTGGAGGCAATGGCACACCGGGCGCTCTCTTGGTACGGCCGGCGGTCACGGTCGTGCTGGCGGGATCGACATCGTCGTCCTCATCATCGCTCCCAGCGTCGCCCTCCGGCAGGACAGGGTGGTAGTACCAGCGATGCTTCCAGAAAAAAAGCCTTAAACTATGCCCGGCCCACCAATATTTTGCAGTGACCCGGGCTACCGCCAGTCGATTCAAGTGACAAACGGTTCAGAGTTTGGCTGCTTTAACAAGTGCTTGTGGAAACCATTGGTGAAGAAGGGTGATTGGTCAACTTATTTTATTCTGCATGCTGATATAGACTCTGGTACGTTCATGTTATTTTATTGCTATTTTGACATTTTGTGTAATCGTTAGCATCTGGGCTGACACCGTCCGTGCGAGAATCCGGCTGCGTTGGTACACGAACCCCTGACCTCGGAAGGTCTGGCGCAGTGCTCCAAAGCAGGCGCCCTCCATCGTTTGACCGATTGGTAAATGTGGAACGGCGGCTTGTAGGGGTCCCCATAATCCCATTGCTGGATCCCCCTCCTCCTTCCCTGTCATATATGTCCATGTCATGTAGGTACATACATTGCATACCAGCATATTGTGTCTCAATCTAGAGTCGTTATTGACGATTAATCGTTTGTCATCCGTGTTTGAAAAGACATTCGCTCCAGTGTTTATGGCTGAAGTATTTTGTGAAGTGAATGCCCCGTGTTGCCGTTTAACCTGCTTGTGTGTGCGTGTGTATGTGAAGGTTTAAACTCGGTTAGTGGACGCGTAGGCTTGGGCACGTCTGTTGTTGATGCCCGTGTTCATGTGGTACGTGTGCGTGCGTATGCGTGTGGGCGCGCGCGAGAGTTTTTCTTGTGCAATAAACCGAGACGATACTAATGCTCCCCGTTACCGCTTGTGTCACGCACTGCTAAATACGTTATTGTTTGGCGACACCACACATCCTCGTCGCTTTCTCTCCGTCCGCGAGCTCCAGCAGCAGCTGGTTGCAAGGTTTGACACGCAACCACCAAGCGTTGTTGCTCTTTAGCCGAACACTCCGTCGTTATTCAGCGTGGTTATTTCAGGTCTAGGTTTATTTTATATTTTATTTTATATACACATTGTATTACTGCGAAGATCAAGAGTTAAAATTAACTATTTAAATGTTGGCACGTAACTGGGAATAATACACTTGGTGATGCTATGGCTTTAATTACCACGTTACCTATTGAGTTGTTAAAGTTTGCGTTGTAACCATTAGAACAGCACTGGGGCTCTTTTCGTTTTGGAGGCCTGCTCTTTGTATTTTCAATCCTGAGCCTTCACTGATTTATCACAAACAATGCCCAATGCCAAGCACTCCATTGCTATTCCCCTTGGTCGTTTAAAATCTAGGTTTTATTTTTCATGTGATATACGAATTGTAAAGCCAACCCAAAGTAAAAAATTAACAAGTATTTTAATTTGACATAACTGGCAGTAATACACCCAGTGATATGCCTTTATCAAATTACCTATAGCATTTATCAGTGCTACAGTATTGAATTTCAACCATCATAAAGCTATACATCATAAAGCTGTCTATATATTTGGGAGGGCCCTCAAGGTCCAGGGCCCCTGTCCCTGGGCACACGGGGAGGTGGTGCGGTCAGGACCAAGCCTGACCGTGTTCAAGCTCCGTGGTTCACGCACCTGCGCTACAAGTCGTCCGCGTGGGTTCGATTCCCGGCCATGACCAAATGGATGCCAAGTAATGCCCCAGTTCTTGTTGGGGCCTCGTCTTGGTCAACTTAGCCCTGACTGCATACCCGGCGAAGTGCGCTCACACCGGCGATGTGGAGATGCGCGCTCGCGCAATGAGTAGACCCCGGCATCTTCCCTTTCAGAAATAAAGCCTTTTGTCTTTATTGGGGAATTCCAAGCACGGTACAAAGTCACAAACTCACAACAGAGTGGCTCCGTAAAGCCTTGGCTGCGGTGGTTCAGGGATGCGAATTTGCTTCCACGATACCTTTTTACATGTGTACGCATGTAATCATGGAAGTGTACTATAGATGCGTGTATGAATACATAAAGACAAAGATCCCCCATATATCCTTAACAGTGTCGGGGGAAGCGCTGTTAGCGAGCACCTATGATGGCCGGCATGGCACACAAGGGGGTGGGTGGCCAGCACCACTCCCGACCGCCTTTGTTTCCCCAATGCTGACATTTACACAACGCACCAGGTACTCGACTAAGGCCGAGTCGACGTCGGGGAGGCCCATGATCGGTTCAAGCATTCATCGCTGGTGTTGGTCCACGATGGAAATTCAAGTTCAATTCCCGCTCACGAACATTTCCCAGGACATCTCCCCTCCCCCCGCACCCCGCCCCAGACAGTGGACGTTCTGGGGAAAAACCGAGGACGAAGCGGTGACCCCTAGCGGCCACCCCTACAGCTCGTCGTGGTCCAGGTGGTGCCCTGCAGCCGCGTCGTGCCCCAAATCCGCCGACAACGCTCTCAGCCGCCCGACGCTCAACGCCTCCACATCGGAGCGGCTCAGATGCCCGTCCCCGACGCCGGCGCCACCCAGGAGCCGTACGAACGCCTCGCCGGGCTCCCGCGGGGCCTCCGGCAGCGCCGCGGCGCGGAAGAAGCGGGCAAACGTGGTGCTGTCCAGCGCCGCCTCGGCGCGCATCGCGGCCAGCAGGTCACGCCGCAGCCCAGCGGGGTCGAGGCCGTGGTCGCGCAGCGGCCGCCGGAGGCCGCCCCGGGCCAGCGTCCACGTCGGCGCCGTCATCTCGGACAGCGACGGGAGGCCCCGGCCGGGCACGCGGTGCTCGCAGTCGGAGACGCCCGACGGCGACGGCACGGGCGCCATCAGGAAGGTGATGGTGAGGGCGCGGCCGTAGGAGGTCACCTGCGGGGTTGAGGGATGGAGGAGGCGAGGGACAGATGGAGAGACGTCGGGAGATGGGGTGAGGGGAGAGACGAGAGGAGATGAAGTGAGGGGAGAGACGGAGATGAAGTGGGGGAGAGGAAGGGACGAGGGGAGATGAGAGGAGTGACATTGGGAGATGAGATGGGAGAGGTAGAGATGGAGAAAGGAGGAGATGGGGCTTTGGAAACATGAGACGGGGACAGGGAGATTGGAGAATCGAAGAGGCTAAGATGTGATTTTGATTGAAGACAGTCAGTGTTGGGGTTACGGTTGCTATAGATACAGTGACGTGTGGACATGCCCATATAGGGTCTGGACACATGCCCATTTAGGGTCTGAACACATGTCCACATAGGGCCTGGCTGTTGTTGTCTAGAGATCAGGTAAAACGCGGGGGAGAAATTAATTCCAATTGAACTGTGAAGAGAGATTGATGATTGTGTGCAGGCTGCCCTATATGATGTAATTACAATTGGAGCAATGCACTGGTGGTCTCCATCTACAAGAATGGGCACCACCAATTGTACAACCATCAGGGCATCTTTCTCCTCGATCCGAGATAAGGATTATTCAACATCGCCTTGCCAGGCATGGTGAGGAAAGACTTGCAGGACCTCAGGGACGCTTCTGAAGATGCAGAGGTGGGGCTTTATCCTTCAGTTCCACTAAAACAAAGCACCTGCCTGGGTATTTTATGTCATCAAACAATCCAACCCCTCAAGTCTCCATGAGCAATAGAACAGTTATGGAGAGCATGGAGGAGTTCGAATTTCCTGGGTCATGTGATCACGACCAGCTCCGGTTTGTCAGCGGAGGTCTCACGTTGAATCAGTCGAGCTGCATTATCTTTTCATCGGCTGTGTAATTTTGTGGCAGTTGTCTGGCCAGTTATTTCACATGAAGCCCTGGGCCTTCTCAGCCGCATGCCTGCCCTCTTTTATCGACGCTTGCAATACGTGGATATAGGAACACCAGCCGCTGGCTTGAAACATTCAGGTTGGCCTGCCAAGGATCCATTCTGGATTTTACCAGTCGACATTGTCTGAGGATCTTATGGATCCTTGAAAATAATGGACACGGTCCCATCACTGGGCTCCTCCAGGGAGGCTAGGGTGCGTTTGCCGGGTCATGAAGCTCGCATACCCAGCTCCCGCATGCCGGTGGCGAGATGCTGCTATCTCCCTCGCCTGGTACGCAGGAGGTTGTGGGTTCAATCCTGACCCTGACGATACCTGTTCTATATTTAGAGTCCACGTGTTCTCTCTCTCCCCTTGGTGGTCAAGTGGATTTTTCTCCAGATCCCCCGGTTTTTCCCTCCGCAGTCAGAATCAACACGCGGTCAGATTAATTGGCTACTACGATAAATTCCCACGTGTGGTGAAGATATAAACCATTGTTGATGAGCTATCATGTGTGGCTAGGTCGCCTCTGAAAAAGAACGAACAGCTCAGTTGGACTTTACCTGGTGAAATAAAAGTTTATTTTAGTTTCAATTTACACCAAAGCAGCTCGTTTGGCTGGGCTAATCGGGCGCGGCACAGACTTTAGAAGAGACGCCCGGTTGCCTCGCGACCCAATCCGGCGCTGGTCTCACCTGGAACAGGTGGCCTGCAGGCACGAAGATGCAGCTGCCGGAGCGCAGCGTGGCCCAGCGCCAGGAGGCGCGCGCCGCCTCCTGGTGCGCGAACACGTTCACCATCTCGACGTCGAGCGGGGACGTCGCTCCCTCCAGCTCCAGCTGCGACCATTCCAGGTCGAACGCACCCTGGGCCACCACGCCGCCGTCACCACCATCATCGTCATTATCCGCTGGCAACAGCTGTCGACGTTAGCAACGGTCCTGTGTGGCGGGTACAACTCCCTCACCCACCCCTTAGGTACGGTCTCGTCGCGCCGAATTTTTACTTTCACGGAGTTTCTGTTTCCCTCCCCGCAACCCAACGTCGACCAGGCTTGCGTGTTATAACAATAGAAAAAAAACAACGGTCCCTGTCGTGTCCACACGCACGGCACGCTGCGCTCCGCCGTGCTGCAAGAGCCGGCCACGATGTGCCGGGCGGAGGAGCGCGCACCTGGAAGCGCGGGGGGATGACGATGTAGTCCATGCGCCCGTCCATGGCGCACGTGAGCTGGTGGTCGTGCAGAGCACGCACGGGCTGGTTCATCCTCCCAGAGCTCAGGGTCAGCACGGCGCCCTGCATCCACTGCCTGTGGTCAACACAGCGGGGCAGAGTAGGGGTTGGGGGGGGGGGTTGCTCAGAGACACACACGAATACCTCTACAACCTGGCTTACCTGGCTTACCTGTATAATCTGTATAGCCTGTCTCACCCGTATCGCCTGGCTCACCTAATTAGCATTGTCTTGCGAGTCTCAGTGTTTGTCCCGATGTCTCCCAGCCCCAGTATCGTCCGAGCGATCTCGCCAATGCCCACCCCGCCGCAACCCTTCCTCTCGCCTCGCCCGCTTCAACAGCGTCGCCCGGCGCTTCTCGGTCAACCTCGCGCGTCACGGTTCCGCCCCTCGGCGGGGGCTCCCCTCGGCGAGCGCACCTGAGCGGGCCACAGTGGAGGCCGCTGGGCACGCGCACGTGACGGCGCATCTCGTCGGGCAGCAGCGAGCGCAGCTGCCACTCCTCGGCGTGGAACGCGGACAGGAAGCGGCGCAGCGGCAGCACGTGCTGCGCCACGCGGCGCGATCGCCGCTTGTCCACCTCCACCTATGACGACACCGCCGACGACGATCAGAGCCTTCGTTTAGACTGCGGGAGGAATCCGGTGAGCTGTGAAGGTATTTTTCACAGATGTCCAGTTGGGGGCGGGTCACCAAGTTACAACAACAAACACAACAGCAAAAACAAGATCGGCGTTTCGGGGCAATAGGTGGTTTTAATTGGATGCGTGAGCGGGTGGATGAGTGACTGGGTGAGTGGACGAGTGAGCAGATAGATGAGTGGACAAGTGAATGGGTGAGTGGACGAGTGAATGGGTGAGTGGACGAGTGAGCAGATAGATGAGTGGACGAGTGAATGGGTGAGTGGACGAGTGAACGGGTGAGTGGATGAGTGAGCAGATAGATGAGTGGACGAGTGAATGGGTGAGTGGACGAGTGAACGGGTGAGTGGACGAGTGAGCAGATAGATGAGTGGACGAGTGAATGGGTGAGTGGACGAGTGAATGGGTGAGTGGACGAGTGAACGGGTGAGTGGACGAGTGAGCAGATAGATGAGTGGACGAGTGAATGGGTGAGTGGACGAGTGAGCAGATAGATGAGTGGACGAGTGAACGGGTGAGTGGACGAGTGAGCAGATAGATGAGTGGACAAGTGAACGGGTGAGTGGACAAGTGAACAGGTGAGTGGACGAGTGAGCAGATAGATGAGTGGACGAGTGAATGGGTGAGTGGACGAGTGAACGGGTGAGTGGATGAGTGAACGGGTGAGTGGACGAGTGAACGGGTGAGTGGACGAGTGAACGGGTGAGTGGATGAGTGAACGGGTGAGTGGACGAGTGAACGGGTGAGTGGACGAGTGAACGGGTGAGTGGATGAGTGAACGGGTGAGCGGACGAGTGAGTGGACGAGTGAACGGGTGAGTGGACGAGTGAGTGGACGAGTGAACGGGTGAGTGGACGAGTGAGCAGGTGAGACCTGTAGGTCTCCAAACGCCTCGCGGAGCTCCTTGTCTCGGCTCCAGGCCACGCACTCTGGACACGACTCTGGGGGGAGCCCCCCAGGCATGAAGCACGGCTCCCCGGGCTCAGCGCAGCGCGCCCACACCTCCTGGGGGCTCGGCTCCCCCTCCACCTCGAGCACGCGGCCGTCGGATTTGCGCTGGTAGCCTGGGTGGGGGGGGGTGCACGGAGGGCGTGAGAGCCACGTGGCAGCAGCGGGGACGAGAACACAGAGAGACGCGATAAGACCACGTGTTCTATTATTGTTGTTATTAAGTACACGTCCGTACATAATTTAGCTGGGATGATTCCCCCCCTCCCCCCAATTACTGTCAATCCCAACTGATGATGTAGTGATATTGCGTTTGCAGTGGGGCACAAGTACATACAACAACAAAATTCAACTCATTCATCAACAATGCGGCCTTAAAAGAAACACCTATACAACAAGAGGAGACGTTTGGAGTAAAAATGCCCTTCTCAGCACACACGTGGTGAGCGATCGACGTGCTATGAATTAGGGCCCTTGTCCGAAACGTCGCCGATTACATATTCCAAACTGTGCCAGTCCGAGTCACGAGAGACGGGGCCACATTTCGGAAGCTCTCACAGCGAGCAGCGCACCACCTTGCGTCGGAGAGTGCCCCCCACCCAAGCCCATAGAGGCGAAGGCCGCACTTCTCACGCGGCTCGCGGTCGCCTTATTGCAAGTCCCTTCGGGGGCGCGCTGCACAATTCTCAATCACGGCCTTGCGCGTTTGTGAGCCACATTGGGAAGTTAATTTGATTACTAAACGGATGTTTTAGTCCAGTCATTGGCAGGGCTGTCCCATTGGGGTGCGGAGGACCCGCGGAAATCACACTGTGGACAACCTCCCCCCCCCCCGACTCCCTCAAACTAAACACGAAGTGTTACATCTGTGACGCCGTCACGGGCCCCTCAAAGCGCGGGGCCCGAGGCGGTCGCCCCCAGGCATGGCTACGGGCCGAGACCCGAGTCCTCCCGACGATTGGAGACGTCAAAGTCGCGATCGCGAACACGAGGCGAATGCCACTTCAAGTACGGTAATTGATGGGATCCGGGGAATCACGATTTAAATTTTGGGAATCGCTCACCAGGACGGTATATTTTATAACGTGGTGGTGGTGAACGTAGCGGCCTCTATCGACTGCAGAGGGCCAGCCGCGTGAATGCGTTGCAACGTGAATCGACAAACATCGTTTCTGTCGTCGGTTATAATAATAGATTATAAATACTCAAGAAGCCATTCGATCGCCTTTCGTCCCAACTCCTTCTAACCTTGTTCAAGTCAAGAACAGGGTTATGCATTTTTCTTTGGTTCTTTCGGTAAAGACACGTAGATTAAAAAAAATAATAAAGTAAATAAAAATAATAATTAAAAATAAAGTAAATAATAATAACCACGACGTTTCGATCGCAACACAAGCGGTCGTCATCAGGAAAAGGGGGGTTATGCATTCTAATGTATGCCAACTTTAATAGTGCTGTTGCTGGCATATTTGTGTCGTCCCCCCTCACCCTCCGATTATCACGGTTGCCCTACGTACGGTGCGAAAGAAGTCCAACATAACAGGACATAAAACTAAAAGTCAACACGTGCAGGAATTTTCGCCGCACTCACCCAGGGGTCTCAGATGTCCGTCCGGGAGTCCAGAATCCGACCTCCGTCCACGAGGAGGGAACTCCACGTCCATGTTCTGGTCTTTGGGGAACGGGATGTCAGCCTGGGTACCACACAGCCCGGACAGCAGCAGCCAGAGCAGCAGTGGAGAGAAGCGGGAACTCAAGGTCCAGGCGCGAACCGGGACGGAGCCAGCCGCAGAGGTCATTGTGGGATAATTGTTGTTTTAAAAAATATTTTAAACGGCAATTTCTTGATGAACGGGAACCGCGGTGTTGTGAAGGGCAGGGGACGCACAGATGCGTTTTGAGACACGGGGAGGGAGAGAGATATCCAGAGGGACAAAGATATTGAGACGCAGAGACACACAAATACACAGCTCCACAGAAAGGTAGGGATATAAATACGAATATACAGAGACGCAGAGACACACGGGCGCACAGCAACAGAGAGACAGGCACGCTGAGAAAAAAACACTGTTGTAACTTTACACCCACAAGACAATCGAGACACTAAACAGTCCAACTACACAACTAACACAAACCGCTTTGAAATATAACCAAAACCAGACGAAACTATAATTACAGAGCTACAACTAAAACAGTAAAGCGGAGAGAGAGGAGACAGAAAGAGAATATAAATAGGGCGAGACGGACTTAACTAAAAGACGTGGGCAAAAGGAACATCAAATAAAGAGGCTGGGGTGTGTGTGTGTCTGTGTCGTGGATTTTTGTGGCCAAGCCAATAAGGATTGTCCGCGTGTCAATGGGGGGATCAACGAGGGGGGCAGGGGTGGGGATCAATGAGCGAGATCCGGGTCCGTTCTCTCTGTACAAAATCCGGATTCTTTTGTTTAAAAACCGTGGGGGGCTTTGACTGAGGCTCTATTCAGAGTCTGTGTCACTACTGCCACTATATTTTTTTCTTTTAGCAGGTAACGGCCCACCGAGCCTGCTAGAGCTCTTTTCCAGAAGCCACCTGGCCACAAGTGATGAGAGCTCAACAAAGTTGGCTTATCATTATGTGGGAATGTGTAGCAGACAAGTACTTGAATTTAAATGTGGAGGTAAAAACCGTGTCTGTGGGTGGGGGCTCCCCTAGGTCAACTCGACCAGAATGAATATTTGCGGTGTGTGGATATGAGCACTAAGGAGTGAAATGTGGAGCTGGCCACGGCAAGTGATACTATGGCGATGGCATTAATAGGTGCTCGCAGTGACAGCACTGGTGTTCCATAAGCATTTGAGACAGCAACATCATACTCTCACACGGATACAATATCCTCACCAGATTCAACCAATATACTAAGATACCATCACATCTTAACCACACCACATACTATCACAACACACCACACACTGCACCACAACACACCACACACTCCACCACAACACACCACACACTCCACCACAACACACCACACACTCCACCACAACACACCATGCACTCCACCACAACACACCACACACTCCACCACAACACACCACACACCCCACCACAACACTCCACCACAACACACCACACACTCCACCACAACACTCCAACACAACACACTACACACTCCACCACAACACACTACACACTCCACCATAACACACCACACACTCCACCACAACACACCACACACTCCACCACAACACACCACACACTCCACCACAACACACCACACACTCCACCACAACACACCACACACTCCACCACAACACACCACACACTCCACCACAACACACCACACACTCCACCACAACACACTACACACTCCACCACAACACACCACAACACACCATACACTCCACCACAACACGCCACACACTCCACCACAACACTCCACCACAACACACCACAACACACTCCACCACTACACGCCACACACTACACCACAACACACCATACACTCCACCACAACACACCACACACTCCACCACAACACACCACAAACTCCACCACAACACACCACACTCCACTACAACACACCACACTCCACTACAACACACCACACACTCCACCACAACACACCACACACTCCACCACAACACACCACACACCACACACTCCACCACAACACACCACAAACTCCACCACAACACACCACACACTCCACCACAACACACCACACACTCCACCACAACACACCACACACTCCACCACAACACCCCACAACATTCCACCACAACACACCATACACTCCACCACAACACACCACACACTCCACCACAACACACCACACACTCCACCACAACACACCACACACTCCACCACAACACACCACACACTCCACCACAACACACCACACTCCACCACAACACACCACACACTCCACCTTCAACACACTACTTATGCACACCAAGCTCACGCAACACATGACAACAACTGCTGCAGAGCGCTTGTGCCAGGCTAGGTGCACTTTGAGGCGATCACGTGAAGCGTCGATGGCTCGCCGGATAGGTCACGGGACAGATTCACGTGCCACGCACGAGTTTACTGACTGGCAGATGCATCACCTGTGCTCTCTTAATGAATCTATAAAGCATTTTTTTCACGGATGTCCACTACTGTGCCAACTCATCACCACACCACGACACACACAGACAACATTCACAATACAGAATCTCACACACCACCATATAACGAATAGACAAAGATCCCCCGTATAACCTTTAACAGATTGTTGGGGCAAGTGCTTTTAGCGAGCAGCTATGAAGGCCGGCAAGACACACGTGGGAGTGGGTGGACAAACCCACGCCCGCCTTTGTCTCCCCAGTGGCGATGTTTCAACACCGCACCGGGTACCCGTTTAAGGCTGAGTACACCTATTGGAGGCCTGGGGCCTGTTCAGATAATCGTCACTGGTGCTGGTGTTGAGCGGTAATCGAACTCGGCTCGCCAGGTTCGTAACGCAGCGCGCTAACCACTACACTACCACTCCCCACAACTCACAGCACACACAGAGACACCACTTAATGTGGGAACTCCCATATCTACCAAGCCGTCTGGCCAAAACAAGAGAGAGAAAATAGCTTTATAGCTCATCGGATTCCTCCAATATGAATAAAGATTCTGATTCTTTACCTATAGTTTACAATGACCACATGCCACCCTCTGATTCTTTACCTATAGTTTACAATGACCACATTCCAGCCTCTGATTCTTTACCTATAGTTTACAATGACCACATGCCAGCCTCTGATTCTTTACCTATAGTTTACAATGACCACATGCCAGCCTCTGATTCTTTACCTATAGTTTATAATGACCACACGCCAGCACCTGGGCTGGCGATTTGCACGGTTGGCTACGTACGGTGCGAAAGAAATTCAACATACATGCATACAGGGGTGGCTATTTCCACCAACTTTGCAGATCCCACATTCAAATGCTGGTCAGCAGAGCCAGATTCAATTTGAGGGGCCCACCGAGACTGTCATAGTTTTGGGAGGGAGCCCCCTCTTTGTAAATTAAATTCCTTCCCCCCCACCCCCTCCAACGACTGTTTTCTCACCGCCCATGCCCGATACAAATCGCTCCACCGATATTCACCTTGGTTTATTTAAGTTATCGTTATGACACTCGATCTACGAATTATTAACGCTGCGCCTCGAATGTCAACATGAACAAAGCTGTTTTAATTCGACACATAACTGGTGGTAATACACCCAGCGATGATCTGGCTTTAAATCGCAAGCTTACCCACAGGATGTATCATAGTGCCACAGTGTTGAGTTTCAACCATTATAAAAGCCGTACTGGATGTAGCTTTTGGAGGGGGTTTGGTTCAGGTTCCATGCTGCAGTCCCTCAAGCTCCCAGAGTTCCTGCTGGTCAGGGTTCGACTCAACCCATCATCACCATCATCGCTGCGGTGGATAAAACCCGGCTGGTGAAACGGTGGCGGACAGAGATTAAATCTCGGGGCATGATAAACATCGGTGGCGATATCCGAAATGTCCCTGGGCGCCTCTTGAGCAACCCGCACCCCATGGGCACGATGTGGGGGTCAAACAATCACCATAGCTGACACGGCGTGGGAGGGCTCTCGCCCAGACGTCGAGTATTGACTTATGGCTTATATTGTTATATATTTTTATTATTTTGGTTTAACACGTAGGCTTTCGCGACCAATATTATTCATAATAAAGGTTTTTGGGTTAGATCGCGTTATTTATAAATGTGTCGTAACCCTCCACAACCCGACACGGCCAATCAGCAAAAAAAGTCTCCGAATTGCCCGATGATGCTGGATGTATTTACCAGCGAAACGTCGTACTCAAACTGTAAATGTTGTGGATTCACTCTTCAACACACCGGTCGGCTAAAGTAGTGAATTATTTGTCTTTTGTCAACGTGACACTTTTTTGCTGATTGGCCGTGTCGGGTGGTGGAGGGTTACGACACATTTATAAATAACGCGATCTAACCCAAAAACCTTTATTATGAATTGTATTATTTTATCGTTTCCCTTCTACGTGACTTAACCGAAAGAACCAAGAATATTACTTAAAATGTTCGTCCCAGTGCAGCCAAGTGCTGACACAAGGTTGCACTCATTACACACAAAGTGCTTCTTTCCACACATGAACGGCAATACCTCGCTGATCTCGTCAAGGTACATAAACCATCACGCAAACTCCGGTCATCCTCGCAGCAGCAGCAGCAGCGCCTTTTGGCTGGTCATCGAACAAAGACGTCCACTGCACCGCGCACTTTCAGATGCGCTTCTGCAGCCGTCTGGAACGCTCTTCTGATATTAGGAAGCCACTGGACAGCGATGCTCTTTTAAATATTGATCGACAACTAATTTCCTTAAAACTGCTTTTGTGTTGTTTGTTATCCTTCCCAAGCACCTCTGATTAGCACGGTTGGCCACGTTCGGTGCGAAATAAGTTCAACATACTATACATCTCGAGATGTGGCTTTAAGTATGAGAGCAGCACAACTAGCCTGATTGTGGAATTGCAGAGTGCATATATGCCTTTTCACAAACCCTACAATTGTATACAGCCCGAAACCCAACTTCTACTTTAGAAGCACTCACGCTAAACGTAACGAAGACCTTAAACCGTAAAACCAGCCCTCGTTCTAAGTCCACGGATAAAAAATGGAACGGACACCCGGACAAATGAATGTTCCGTGATGATAGACGCGCATGGAACAGCATAATGGCAACAAAATAAACATTTTGGAATAAAAAGCACGACAGAACATTATACATACGAACTGTTTGTGTTGTTGTTGCTGCAACGGACTTGGGCTAGAGAAGAGATGGAGTGATGTGGTACAGGAGGACGTGGAGCTGAGTGGACTTGTCGATGACTGGTACCAGCGGTGTCAAGATCGGCCTCTGTGGAGGAGGCTCGTGAAGGACGCTGCTGGACAGTTGGAGGCAGTCGCCCTCCAACGGAGGGCAGAGGAGCGACGCTCCCAACGAGGGGCGTCTCGAACAGCAAAAAACACAGCAACCATAATCGTTTTTTTGGGGAATAGGTTTTCCCCTTTTTTCTGGCAACAAAACAGGTGTTATAATGTTAAAACAATGCATTCTGACCACAAGTATTGTGGTTAACGCAAACATGATTCCTTGTTAAAGGTTTCAGTTTTGTTGCCAGAAAAAAGGGGAAAACCTCTTCTCGTTGATTTGAAGCTTTCGTGACTGCAGGAATCCATACACTTTGGTTCTTTCCGTAAAGTCACGTGGGTAGAAATGAAATAAAACAAATCACGACGTTTCGATCGCAACACAAGCAATCTTCATCAGGTGGAACAACGCCTGGCCGTAAATGAAGATTGCTTGTGTTGCGATCGAAACATCACGATCTGTTTTATTTTATTTCTACCCACGTGACTTGACCGAAAGAACCAGAGAGTACCTATTCTCATATTTTGGTACTGGCAAAAAGCACGTTGTTTTTGGGTTAGATGGCCTAAACGTGTCGTTAAACCCGCCACAGACAATTAGTAAGATTTCTCACTTACACAGAACATTACACTCGAAGAGTACAGCGGTGCGCTGTACTCCGTGTAAAAACAGTTCGGGGCCTAGTGGCCGTAAATAATGATCGCAGCGATGACAGGCAGGATCAAGCGAGGTCACTGGGCGAGGGGTCAACGCGTTTGTAGAGATGGAACCCCCCCCCCCCCCCGGGGCGTTGTAGTGAAGCAAAGGAGAACGTTCGGGGAAAAGGGGCGCGGCAGAGCCGAGGGGAAATAAAAGGCAGCGCGGAGCGAGGCTCGGGGCTGCTGTGGGGGATTCAGGGTCCGGATTCGTCGTCGCTGTCACCACGGTGGATGGCCCTCGTCGTCTTGGAAGGCTAGGAAAGAAGTGATACATCTTCGCCGTGGCTACTACATCGACGGCTCCTATATCGTCAGTCAGCTATGTAGCGAACGTCGTGTAGCAGCTACAGTCACCCAGATGTAGTCAATCTGCGTCTCCCCGATAACATGCCGAGTCGGGTGGACTGTAATATATAATATATATAACTTAAGCAAGACAGCGTCTCTAAATACATTACACTAGCAACGAATTGGCTGTCGGGTGGTGGCGGGTTTAAGGACATTTCCACTATCTACCCCAAAAAACGATAATGAATATTGGTCGGGAAAGCCGACGCGTTAAACACAGCAAGTGAGCACAGTAGAGGGCACAGGTGGTGCATCAGCCAGTCATCTCAGCCAGTCACCTATGGCACCTGGGTCTGTCCCGTGACCTGCCCGCTTCACGTGGCCTTAATGTGCACATAGCCTGGCACACGTGCCGTGGTGACGTCACCACCACTTAGTGGCGAATGGCGGCAATTGTTGTCAGCATACACTTAACAAAACCACAAAGTGAATCATGTTGTCTGGGGTGTTGTTTTTATTCGTAATTTATCTGGTAACAGCAGTGTGATTCAATGATCCTTGCTTTTTTTTGGCATCTTAATTTGTACAAGTTTTAAAGAACAAAAATATTCAAGCGTGCACAAACCTTTTCAGAGCCAGTTGCATTAAACACCTTTACACAATTTTAATTCAGACCGTTTTACAGGACGTTACAGATGCCATTCAGCGTCAGACTCGTGTATTGGCAGAAAGGCAACCTCTGATTTGTATTAACTGCAGCCAGGTCTCAACCATCTCGTGTCGTGCCAGGTTTCCTATTTACCAAATAATAAATCTGTGGCAAGGTTCAAGCTAACACAAGAACCATTCTTCGAGGTATTGTATTCAACCAGCAACAGCTATCGGCGATTTCTGATGGTTTCCAACCGACGATCGCTCAAATGGGAGGAAAGGTATAGTTATAATAGGCATTGTTTATATGATCACGTGTCCGAATTGGTACTTCAGGAATCGAAAGGCAAATAAAATGGAACGAATGTTCAGAATTGACAGACGATCACATTTACCTGTGTGCACGTGGCAGATGCCAGTCACAACCCTCCACTGCACTCATGAGAACCATCGCGACCCCGACCACCACCACCTTCATTGCAAACGTGCATGAGCCCGAGCTGCATGCCATTGAGTGTCATGAACGTGGGCACTTGCTTATAGAAGACATACACCATGGGATTGATAAACTACGTTCACACTGGGCAATGTAATCTGAACATCCTGTAAATAACACGAGAAAAATGGTATAATTACAAATGTTGATAGCAACTACCCTTACTTACTATTGTAGATAACCTCAATGTCGCCAGAGCTCACTTGCATGTGGTATGTATATGTGCCACGTTATGCATTTTACATCCAAGCAATGAGCCACTGCACTTTTGATATTTGGATCAAATGTCTAACCGAAATGTCTATTAGTGATTGGTTTTTGTATTATTTATTGTTTGCAAAACTTCTCCAAGATTTGGCTAGGGTTCACATTTTTACCAAGTTTTATGTTTTAAAGTTATTTGTCGGCATCCCAGGTCTCCCTTGCGAGCACAAATCTTGCCTCATGGGCTCTAGCATGCTTATACATAAAATGATTGCGTGTGTAGGGCAGTGGTTATCACAACGCTCTATGAACCTGGCCACCCGAGTTCAGTTCCCAGCGACGGCAAACCTCAATCGAGCGATATGGTAAATGGTCCCAAAGTTCCCTACTTCACAAACTCGCACTGACCAGCGTGGTGAAGTGTGGTCCAAAACAATAATAACGAAAACATGGGGGACACCTCATCCAGCAGTGGATTAACAAAGGGCTGTATATTGCTATGACATGTACGCAGATTGGTCTAAGCACTTTGACTAAATCACTCGGACTTGGCCCGATCGCATCACATCTCGTAAGCAAAGTTAAGCTTGGAAAGAATATGGATAAATTACTTTCTCTGGGCGTCTGGTGGCAAGAGGCTTCTGCATGGCTACGTGATTGACAGTTGAGGGTGGTGCAGAAAAAAAACTGCTGTACAATGCTCCTGCATCTATGCCCCCCCCACCCGCCTTCACCTTTACCACACTGCAGCGCGGTGACAGTGTGAAGTATGCTCAAACAAGCCACGTGATGGCGTGGGGAGGCACTCATCTGGCACCAGGCTCTCAGAAGGGCTGCACACATCTGCGTGGTGTACACGCAGCGGTCTAAACGCGAGTTCGAGGTGAACTGAACAAAAGTCCACTCAAACATTTTTGCGTGGAGACGTCTAAGAAATGGCCTTTTTTTAAAGTACCGTGAATGAGATTTAGTTTGATCACATCGAGTCTGATGTGAACAGACTGCCCCCAGTGTGAACACGGATATTGCAGAGTTCAATAAGCAGGAGATGCGCCAAGTGTAAATGCATGTAACGGGAAACTCCTTTGCAGTTACTGTACTCCAATTGTTATTGTTTTGCATTTTCTTAACGCGTCAATGTCTTCCTTTAATATTCACCCAAGATTACTGTGAGAAAAAGTAACCGAAGGTTTTGCTCATGAAAACCAACGGATAAAACACGCTAATAAAATCAAATATGCGTCTTACGTTGAAGGCGACTTGAACTAAGAGCTGTTTACTCTGCTTACTTGTAAAGCAGCACAAACCGCAGCAGAACACAAGCATCAAGAGCTAATGTAATGACACTCGGTTCCAAACGGAATATTCCTCACACTAAATTATAGGAGCACGATGTAAGTTCAAGTGTGCAAAGTTGGTGGCATTTCCAATTCCCACCACATCCCCTCTGGCCAGACCCTCTGGAACCAAGGTGCAGCTCTTCACTACAACAGAAAATATCCTTCCCAACAAAACATTAGGGCTGTTCAGATTTCCAAATGAAACACGAAATGGAGAGGACTTTCCATTTAGCGATGTTAACCAGACATTTGCGACCAGGTCGGGCCAAACTCCCTCCTGCATATGGAGCTACACCAGCCTCAGACCGTGCTTGCTTTAAGCAGAGATGTATCGTTCGCACAAGCCAACGAGGCCATCACCAGTGCTTCTCCACCCGAGTGCACACGTGTAGCGAGTGACAAGGCTCGGGCGATCTCATTTTCGTGCACTTGGGAGACTTAATTGAGTCTCTAAATGTCAGAGGCAAGACGCAGCAGCAGATATCTGCTTGAGTGGATGTTTTGGAACTCGGCTATATGCCACCAATTGGCCCAGTGTGCCACCTGTGGCATAACATTCCAGGTCTTTAGTCAAAAACAAACGGTCCCCGATGAATTCAACGGTAAAAATAATAACTGTCCATTCATGTCGAGTCATTTTTGCTCGACACGACTCTCATTGTGCTCTCGCCAGGTTAAGGGACAGTGAGTACGCGCGTATAAACAAAAATTCGACGAGGAATGGGTGATTATGACGGTGGGTTATGATGCGTGCAACATACGGCTAAACACATGTAAGCAAGGTGCTTGCGGTGCAGAGCTGGGCCGTCCATTATTCAAGTAATCATTTACTCTACCGATTATCGGTTCGATTACTCAACTAATCCGAAAACAAAACTGTTGCAAAAAAGGGGGCTTTCTACCACATGTCCCGGCTGCGGTGGTGACGGGCGTGATCTGCTCAAGTCTCCAGATCATCATCAGCGGCCTCACAATGGGCGTGGCTTGCAGGGGGGGGGGGAGGTTTTCAGCCTTCAGGAGGCAGGATGTAGGAGGCGGAAAACATTTTAAAAGGGCCCAAGTAATCTACCACAAAAAGGTAGTGGATTACAAATTTTAGTCCATTAATTGACTAACCGTCCCAGCTCTTATCACGGAGTAAAAAATAAAGTAAAATGTGAAACAACAGTAATTCAACAAAAAGTGTCTCACTCACAACGTGGACAGAGTCAGTGCCCGTTGGCGGGGAGAGGGTGGGGGGGGCCCTTTGGACGCGGCCAGCCCCTCGCATCGGCCAGGCTCCCACTGAGCATGGGGGCCTCCACAAATAACAAAATGTTAACAAAAACAAAACAGTGAAATTAAATAAAAACCAAAACTCGCAGCTCTGCTCGCAACTCCCCACTTGGCAAGAGGTGTAATAAAGTGAGCTACGCTATTAAGCCCTCTCGCCTTCCTTGTGTCTTATCTATTCTCGTTACTGTTATTATTTTATACAGTCTGGGTGTACGCTGCCAAATGGCTTCACCTTGACGTCCGTTTCCGCATGGCACATTCGTACAAGAGCGGCCCCCGGTTACGCTTTCATCTCTTTTTTCCCATTTCTTCTTTTTAGTTTAAAAGTGTTTTTTTAATTAACTTTATTTTACAGAGGCGAATTTGCGCAAACCCTGCCTCCTGAGTGCACGGTGACCGCAGCCCTTAACGATCGAGCGCGCAAGCAAGTGGTCGGGTGGACGAATGGTGGACGGGTAACCAAATAGACAAGACTTGCCCCACAAGGCCCGGCTACACAAAACCGAAGTTCTTGGTCTTGATGGCCAGCAGCAGCTTCTGCTTCAGGATCTGCCGCGAGGAGTAGAGGGGCACGTAGAGGCGCGAGATGCACGTGTTGGCCGTGGGGAGGTGTTGGTCGTCGGGCGGGCGAATGGTGATAGACGGCATCGGCTGGAAGCCCTCCTCACTAGCCGGAAGGGATGGTGACGACGTCCAGAAATATACCTGCGATGGTGGGGGGAGAGGGAGAGGCGGGGAGGGGAGTGCAAGGAGGATTGATGAGGAGAGGGTGTTATAGGGTAGTTCACTCGTAATTTAACGACTCACTCCAACTGACTTCACGATACAGGGTTTTGAGCCAAATTAAGAGTTTATTATTTTGAGTCCCGTCTCACTTTGTCTGTTTTGGTTCATTAGCTATCATGCACATTTGCATAGAATGTTTCATGAAGTGCCATTAACAGGTCTGACATGCATTATTTGAAGCATGAAGTGAGCATAAGAAAGCATTTTAAATCAAGGAATGTCAAGTGACTAAATATGCTAGAATGCATTCAAGGTGATATGAGTTGTGTGGGTATTGTGTTTGCGGAGTGTGGCCATGGGTGTGAGACTGTTGATGTAAGTGATGGTCTGTATGTCAGTGTTTTGGTGCTGGTATGCGTGTTGGCACAACTGTTAAGTTTGTGTGTGCTGCGTAAGTGCACTCATGTCAAGAGCATGGCATGTGCACTGGTATGTGTGCTTGTGGTGTGTGTGGCATATAGGTGTGTGCATTATAGGTTTGCGTTTTGATTTGTGCATGTGGTGTAGTGGGGATGTGTTGTGTGTTGGGTTGTTCATGTGTTAAGTATTGGGTAGTGGAGTGTGTTGGGTTGTGTGTGTTAGGCATTGTGGGGAGCGATAGTGTCGTAGTTAGCGCACCGAGCGATCAACCAGGTGACCCGAGTTGAATTCCCGCTCAAAACCAATAAGTGGCGAATATCTGAACTGGTTCTGGGCCTCCCCTAGGTCGACGAAGCCTTAAATGAGTACCTGGTGCAGTGTATGAGGAGACAAAGGCAGCCAGGCGTGGTGTAAGCCACCCACCCCCCCTCGTGTGCCATGCCAGCTTTCATAGGTGCTCGCCAACAGCACTTGCCCCAACAGTTTTGTTAAAGGCTACACACGGGGGATCTTTGTAGGCAATGGCTCGTGTACTGAGTTAATGTGCACGGGTGCTGTGACCCCTGTATTTACCAGGTCCTGCCGCTCAGCCATGTTCATCTTCTCCACAATCGACCAGAACCAGCGCTTGAACTGCAGAAGCTTGTCGGCACTCTCGCCTGCTCATCCACACACGCCGCCAACATCCTCTCACTCACCACCACATTTCCCCACTTGTTCACCGACCCACCCACACTTATTCACTAACTCGCTCGGACATTCACTCACCCATTCTCACTAATGTAGAGAAATGCACTCTTGCTCCCTCAACCGCTAACCTGACAAACTAATCCATCCACCCACTCACGCTACTGTTGGGAGGCTCATTCAAGTGCGCCACGCAATGGGATTCGCGTCCAGCGATGGGATGACCGAAATGAGACCAACGGCTCTCGCTAGGCACGTGACCACGGGTCGAAGAATCTCACGCACGCAGACAAAATCACAATTCGAAAGCGGCGAGCACCGCCTCTCACCGGACTCGTCGTTGAAGGACGTGTAGCTGATGAGCATCTGCACGTTGACTTCACCGCAGCCGTTGACGAGCAGCCTGAAGTCCTCAGCGGTGAGGTCCTCCAGCGCACTCCGAGGCAGCACATCGAGCACGCCACGGCGCATTGCCTGGGCGCGCACGGCAGGAGATGCGGGGAGGTGAACGGGAGATGCGGGAACACCAGGGGGTTCAAAAGGGAGGCATGGGGATGTGAACGAAGGCACAAAAGAATGCACAAGGGAGGCGCATGGGGCATACGGGACACACATTGACAGGCAGGGATATGCACGGCGAGGTACGCAAGAAGTGCGAGTGTTGCACAGGGACATTTTGGAGAGGAATGGGGAAACAGGAGGAGGAAATTTAATCAAATCATGGGCACAGGGACAGAAACAACAATGCACAGGGACACAGAAGAATAATTCAGAGACAAACGAGGGGACAGAGGAACACACGGACACAAAAACGGAACAAAGTGGAGACAGAAACGCATGCGGGCACATGGGCACACACAGGCACAAGTATACGAGGCAGGGAAACACAGCAAACCGAGGCTATAAACAACCAAAACACGGGGCGGTCATAATCACAACACCCAACTTGCAACGTGAATCTGGGCAGCAATGAAAACGCAATGGGCACGAGTGGGGCTCGGCGCAGGGAGCAGAGGCGGCGCTCACTCACCAGCGCAGGCTGCTCGGCCGCCACCAGCATCCGGTACTCGGTGTACTTGCGCACGTACTCGTAGACGTTGGCCGGAGTCACCGGCGCCGTCAGTCCCCCCGGCACCAGTTCCATCTACAAGCGGCAGGGAAGCGTCGCGGCACGGCACGGGTCACAGCCGACTCTCGAGAACTCGGCTGGCCACCGCACACGTTCTCCGGCTCCACCTTGCTAATATCCCCACTCTTAATAAAATAAACTGGCGGCTTTGGTTTCAGACGCCGTGTAATGTATGTTTTTACTTCTTTCGCACCGTACGTAGCCCACCGTGCTAATCAGAAGTGCGGGGGAAAATACAAACTCAACACGAATATGTCCTACCAGACAGTCTCGTCCCTTCACCTGATGAAGGCCGCTTGTGTTGTGGCCGAAACGTCGTGAGAATATTATTGTGTTATTTTATTTTATCAATTTATTATTTTATTCTCATTCTACGTGACTTTACCGAAAGAACCAAAGAAGATCAACACGAATAGCTGTTCTAAAAAAAATGAGTTTTCAATCTAGATTTAAAAGTGCATAGCTCCAGTGGCTTCCTAATATCGGAATGAAGAGCGTTCCAGACGGCCGCAGAAGTGCATCTGCGAGTGCGCGATGCGGTGACCACCGTCTTTGTTCGATGGCTAGCCAAAAGCCGCTGCTGCGAGGATGACCAGAGCTCGTGTGATGGTTTACGCTCCTTGACGAGATCAGCGAGGTACAGGTAGTCCTCTACTTACGATGGAGATGCATTACGACGACCCCATCGTAGGTAAAAAAAATATCGTAAGTCGAAGATGGTCTTAGCCTACCCAGGAGTCTTAAAGAATGGTGATAATTTAGCAAAACAGAGCAATATACAGTACCGTACGGTATAAACTATATACTGTATGTATTTATTAATTACAATACTGTATCATTGGTTCTTTCGGTAAGTCACGTAAAATGTCAAGTAAAAAAACAAGGTAAATTCTTAGCCTACCTATTTAATAGAAAGTTTTTTCAGGAAACAATCCTATCTGCTATAAAAAACTTTTAACATGCATTGAACGTATCGTATCGTGGTAACCCTGAAATGAAATCGCTAAAGCTACGCATCATACATGCATTGAACGTATCGTTTGCTGCTGCGTTTGCCTGCCGCGCAAAATTTCAAATATTTTACAATTTTGTCGTATCGCCATCGTAAGATCGAAATATCGTAAGTCGGACCATCGTAACTCGGGGACTACCTGTATTGTGGTTCATTTGTGGCAAGCACTTTGTGTAATCAGTGCGACCTTATAATGTAACAGATTCATCAACATTGGAATGCATGTACATCCAAGAAGCTGTTTTTGTAATCTCACTTGCACCATTTCATCTACGTCTCAATTGCACCGCCTCGCCTGTCTGCTATCGCATTTGTTCCAACTTCTCCCATTCCTTCTACATTGTTTGTTTCGTTTGCCGCATCTCTCGCACATGCTGTTCGTCGCATCTGTAACCGTCAGTCCCATTTTTTTCAACCAAGTAAAAATGTTCACCAACCAAGTAAAAATGTTCACCAATTGGAAATAATCGTTCCATATAAGCGCAGTTTGATGCGTGTATCCACACTAACAGACGGACTAATGGATTGATGACATTGTACTTACTCCGAAATTGACTCCTTTCTTCGGGTCATTGGACTTTTCAGTCCAGCTCCCAGATAAGATTCTAGAATGCTTCGCCTTTGCAAATAGGACAGAGTGGCGAGAGCTATTTAAGTCTGTCTTGAACGTTCACCTCGGTAAATTGTCCTTTACACCCTAATTCTGGCCATTCACCATGGATCGGTTTATTTCCTACTTTCCATACGTGGGATCGACGACACCTGAAAAATGTCAATTATTAGCCGGCAGGCGAGAAGGCGCGTATACCGGTGTGCTGCACAGCTGCCCGCCACCCTCCTCCTTGCATAGGTCGATGGAGAAGGTGAGGTCCATGGCCTTGAATACGGCATCGGCGTCGCAACTCTGCGCCGCCAGGATCAGCTGACGCAGGCTCTCGTACGTCACGGGGTCGAAGAACGCAAAGTCGTGCCAGTTCACCTGCACGCGCGGAATCCGCGCTACGGTTACAACCATGCTACCGTTACCAGCGCACTACCGTTACCAGGGTGTTACCGTTACGAGCGTTACTGTTACCAGCGTGCTACCATTACCAGTGCGCTACTGTTAATACTGCAATATCGTTACCAGGATGTAAATGTTACCAGGGTGTTACTATTACCAGCGCATTACTGTTTACACTGCGCTACCGTTACCAGGGTGTTACCATTATCACCATTCTGTTACCAGGGTGACGGTGCATTTTGTGCTAAACGCATTATAAGTTAAATCTTGATTTAAAGCTTTCGTGACTGCAGGAATTCACGTTTGGGTCTTTCGGTCAAGTCACGTAAATAAAATATAATAGATCACGACGTTTCGATTGCAACACAAGCAATCGTCTTCACGTGACTTGACCGAAAAACCCAAGAGTATGCGTTATAAGTTATAATCGACCAGGGAGATCTTTGGTAAAGCTGTGCTACTACACCAGGGGTCACTCACCTTACGGCCCAGGATGACCTTTATGACGTGGCGGTTGAGAGTGATGGGACAAAGCTCGTTCTGCAGCAAACACAGCCCCAAAATACTGCAAGAAACGCAGACACGCACCGAGGCACGCACACGCGGTGATTCAACTGCTGCCGAGTCAACGATCTTGTGTGATGTGTAACAATTTAAAATAGCAGGAATTTATTCTGTCACCACCAGGGAAGGGAAGCAAGACGGGTTTAACTGCTCAAAATAATCCGGTTGAGATTTCCGAGAGTGTACACATGGAATTTACATACAGGACCCGAGTGATACTGGCATTAAAATATCCAGAGAGAAATCCAGACCTCGGCCTTGAATAGACACTTAACAGTGCCAGCTCAGTGCTCCGACATGACCATTATGAACCTTTGAAGACAAGCATCCAGTCACAAGGCTTGAACCCAACATCTCTGCCGTACCGCTCGTTGGCTCAACAGAACCATTTCGTGCCTGCCTCACTCAATCAGACCTTCTACAGATGAAACCTGTGTCAATCCCGTGTTGCTGATAACGTGGTTTTAAACCCCAGAACCTGGCACAGTGACTGGCATGCCCATTATGAACCACCCGAGAGAGACCCCGCCCCAGGGCTTGAATTGCGCAACTAAACAGGGTACACTCTGTGGCTCTGACAACAGGCATTATGAGCTCGTCGGCATGAGCAGAGCCATCCCTAGGGTACGACAAATTGAGGCGACCGCCCTGGGCCCGCGCTTTTGGGGGGGGGAGGGGGGCGGCCTGCGCTTTGACGTCACGGCATCAGAAGTAATACTTTCAGTTCGGTTTAAAAGTGTCAGGGGGGCTCACAGTGGGTTTTCCTCCGGAACCCACACCCCCCCCCCCCCACCCATGGACGAGCCCTGGGCACGAGATACCGGGGAGCGATGGAAGTCGAGCGCCCTCACCGGCCGACGTTGCGGAAGCAGTTGAGCCGAGCCTCCGTGTTCTTTCCGGCACGCAGGGAGTAGAAGCCGCGCTTGCCCGGCTGGTAGAATAGCGGGCTGTTGTCCTCCGAGTCATCCGAGTCATCTTGGTCCGTGTCCATCACGCTGCGGCTGCCTAGTCGCTTGCGCCCATCCTACACATGACCACACGTGAACAAACGTACGTACGCACACACGCAAACACGTGGATGTCAATGCAATGGGGCATTTTATCATGAGGTATGTAACTCCTTGAAACATGATTCCGCCTGCGAGAATGCATTTTTTAACCACTCATGGTGATTGTATGGCAACAGTTGGTGAGGATACTGTAGCTTGCGATTAACGGATTGAACGTGCAGATAAAAAATAAGGAAAGATAAGACCGTCCCCTGCCACAGGAACGAGGAAATTTCAGCACTAGCTCAGGACCAGCAGTGGAGATGAGTATCACCCCACAATGTAGGATGGTAAAGGTTACCTCGATTGTCAACCAAGTCATTATTGAGAGAGACATGTTCACCTCCTGAGTTAACACCAACGCCAAGGAGTGCAAGGGGCTTACCTGGGGTCTGTCCGAGTCAGGGAGGATGGGCAGATCCATCAGAGATTCTGCTGCCCCGTCCCTGTACACACACACACACAAAGACAAAGATCCCCTTATAGCCTTAGACTTCTGCGGCACGGGGGTGGGTGGCCAACAACACGCCCAGCCACCTTTGTCTCCCCAGTACTGATGTTTGCACACCACAGCGGGTACTTATTTGAGGCAGAGTCGACCTCGGGGAAGCCCAGAACTGGTTCAGATAATTGTCACCGATGTTGGACGTGCTGTGCGGGAATCGAACTCGGGTCGCAAAGTTCATAGCACAGCGTGATAACCACTACACTACTGCTCCCCACACACACCTATAGGGCACACACACACACAATCACGTACAAAGGTTTAGCCTTGCACACACAGAGGCACAGTGTGATGAGATGCCTGTAACCACACGGTGTGGTATGAGACACCCGTAACCGAAGGTGTGGTGTGATAGCCGTGCGGTGCGGCGCAGGGCGCTCACCGCCCGTGCGAGATGATCAGCTCCATCGCCTCGTCCACGCGCGCCCTCAGGGAGTCCTCGCTTGCCAGGAGCAGCAGCAGCTGGGCAGGCGAGAGATCTAGCAGCATGCCCGTAATCTTTCCAGCCAGGGCCTGTGTGCAAACACACACAATCAATTACCAGAAAGGCACTTCGTTGTTTTTCCTACCTCCCACTTATATTCCAATTGTGCTATCGGCACAGGTTTTGTCTTGAAATATGAAATTGCATGTGCAATTGAACCTTATGGCGGGACCCCCGAGTCCCATAAGCCCCCGGCTCTCCCATAAACTGTTGAAGGCGAACGATACGGCAATCTCGACGAGCTATACACGATGCGCTAATCAAAGTTTTCAAAGTTTTGTTTCTTCTGCGCATTCGTCCTCGCTGCGCTTGGACGACATGACAACAGAATGATCCGCGCCAGGTGGGTCGCGGCGTTTATGCGCGCGGTGGGATGGAGTCACCAAAATTGTTAATTAATGACGATTTTGACTTCCGTTTATTCGGGACCCCGGGGTCCCGCCATGAGGTTCAATTGGCGAGTGCGAACGTGTGTGTGCGCAAGCGACTGTGTAAGCGAGCGCGTGTATGAACGACTGCAAGGCGTGTGCGCAAGCATTAAGTGTTGGCGAGTCTGAGCAAGTGCGAGTGGGGAGCAGCGGTGCGCGTGTGTGTGCGCGTGCGTATGTGCGAGCGCGTGTGTGTGTGTGCGTGCGTATGTGCGAGCGTTACGGGCTGCAGCGCCTGCACGCGTGGATAGAGCCGCTCCCCGAGCGCCTGCCGATGTGCCGGGAGAGGCTCGTACTCCTCGGCCGGGCTGCCCTCCGAGCTGCTGTGGAATGGCCGCGCCTCGATCGACAGCTGCCGCCGAGACTCCCTGCACCACCATCGTCGTCGTCATCATTATAATCGTTAACATCACCATCATCATCGTGGTTATTAAGCCATGCAGTGATTCACACCACCACTCCCGCCACAGCGATTCGATGCATTGTCAGATTATATTTATTCTCATCCCTTCTGTCTCGCTTGTACAGTTTTGTTTAATCTATTAGCCACAATGGAATATTAGCATATTATTTGCTACAAGCATCTTGCCACGATGAGCACCACCCGCATTGGCACCAATTGTCATTACCACCAGAACCGTTTACAGATTCACTGCCATTAGCATCATCACCAACATCAGGCTGCACTGTCAACATCACAGCAATCATTGTGCTTCTCGTTGGTATATTGAACAGCAGTTACCACCACCAGCATTGTCACCATCCTCAAAATCAACAACATTCTTAATACCTTTGTGTATAGCTGTGCATAGCTGATGTATCGCTATTTGAAAGCTGTGTGTGGCTGTGTATAACTGTATGCATATGTGGTTGTACGTGTGGCCGTGCGTGCGGCCACGCGTGTGTGTGTGTGAGACCTCTCTCTCTCGCGCCGCGAGCCGGCCCTCAGGCCGCCCGCCCTGCGCTGTTCGCGCTCTCTCTCCCTCTCCCGCTCGCGCTCGCGATTCCGCAGACGTTGCATCAGGCCTGCGTTGGCGGGCGTGGTGGGGGGGGAGAAGGGATGTGAAGGAGAGGGGTCAGGGTGGTAGGTAGGGTTGGCAAATGAGGAACACGAGCAAAGCAAACGAACGTCGCTCTTCCGACTCAGACGGATGCCTGGGCAGGAAAGCGCACAAAACAAAACATGAGCAGCGTATAAAGATGCATATGGTCGTGTAGATAGAACAGTTGCATTGGTTCATCATGGGACCTCCTTTGCCAGTACCAAAATATAATAGTTTTTTCCGCTTTTTTCTGGCAACAAAACAGGTGTTAAGATGTTAAAACACCAAACTCAAACTTTTCACAAGGAATCATGTCTGCATTAACCACAATGCTTGTGGTCAGAATGCAAACAAAAAACACTGATAATATATGCATTGTCCTTAAAACTGATTGGTCCACACCAGCGGGAGCAGACAGATGGCGGTGTCGAACAGAGTAGAAGAGCCACCGAAGAACAGACGGTTAAACCCGGGCTGAGAGTAGGCGCCAATGTGTTTGTGACCAGAGTAGATAGCGGGCTAGAGAAACGACCATAGAGCAATCCATAGTGTAAAAATGGAGAGCACGCCATCTTCCGTGACAGCGTGCGTGCGTGCGTGTACACGTACTAGCGGGCAGTCCCTTGCTGGCCTGCTGGATGAAGTCGAGGCTCGGCAGCTTCTCGTTGGAGAGCAGTGCCTGGGCAACCGCCGTGTAGAAGCTGCGGGCGACGCCGCTGCCTTCGCCCGGCTCGTCCTTGAAAGTGACCTTAACACGGTGCACGGCCATGGGCGTGGAGGCACTGCGCCGCCCAAAGTGGTTGTTCAGCTGCCGCATGGTCTGCTGGATGAGCAGCTCGCGGTCACGATCCACCTACACGCAGTGCAGGTGGCACAAGAGGGCATCGGGCGAATGGTGAGTGAACAGGTCAGCGGGTGGGTGTGTCGAATGGCTGACACTGTAGAACAGATGGCAGTGTGGAAGACTGGGTGTGTGAAGAGTGCACCATGCTATAAACACGGCTGCCGGAGTTTGATTCCCGGCCACGGCTAATATCAGGCCTTGGGCATCTCCTAAATCGACTCAGCCTTAAATGAGTGCAAACATAAGCATTGGGGAGACAATGGCAGACAAGCATGGTGCTGGCCTTAATTGGTGTACGTGAACAGCAACTGCCGCAATTGTGTATTAAGGCTATACGGGGGATCTTTATAGTTGCGACTAGTTGCAGCACCTGCCAAGGAAACACGGAATCGCTAACCCTGGTTCGGGGCTGCCAACAGAGACAAGCATTTTCCCCGATGCTCGTTTGAGCTTAGGAGATTTTACTTGAGGGTCGACAATAATAAAGTGTCCACGGAATCCACAATGAGAACCACTGCTGCAGGATTTCACAGACTATGTCACGCCACTTGGCGGCGATGGCCATCTCTCCTCTCTCCATCGGCGTTGTACTTGCAAATGTTGGCCGTGGCCGGCAAGCTCACTTCCAGGGTGAGGTCGCGGGACTGTGCGTTACGCAGCTTCTCCATCTCCCGGCGGAACTTGGACTCCTTCACCTCGAAGCCGCCCAGCTCCGTGAGGATCTGGGGATCAAGGTAGGTGGGTGGGTAGCAGGTTAGTGTTGGCTCGCCACAAATGCGCGTGCCAGTGAAACACACTTGTCGGGTATTGGTAATAGATGGAATTTTATCTTCAGCACGAACGGCTCAATAAGCTATTAGGCTCTATTTTATGGGCTTCCTGCGACGGTACAGATGTTATACAGTACAGATCTTAGCTTATAATCGCAGTTACAAAGGTCGTGATACAAAGGGCAATAGGGAACCGGTCGAAAATGTAAACAAAAATGGGGAAAGGGCAAGGGAGAAGGGGAGAGAAAGAGGAACAGGGGCACTACCAAGCATGGTGAGACAGGGTAGGGAAATGCTGGGTAGTAGGACAAGGCAGATAATGGGCAGAGGGGGTAGGGCAGAGTAAAAATCAGAAGCTACAGCAGGGCAGCAAAGGGCAAGGCAGAGAAGGGCAAGAATGGATAAGGTAGAGAAGGGCAGCAAAGGGCAGGGCAAAGAAGGGCAGGGAAGGGCAGTGCGTACCGATCCAGGCTCAGCCCCCACGTCCTCCATGAAGACACGGCCAAACAGCTCGAGTGAGAGGCGCCAGCGCCCCAATAGCATGTCATGTGAGATCACCATGCCCATGAAGCTGCACTGGGACCTGTGCACGCAAACACACACACACACACACATTTGTTAAAAGAACACACAATACATTTGAAAAATGTTTGTAGAGTTAATGTGCAACCGAGAAACACACGTATGATCATAATATGCACACATTTACATCAACGTAAAAACACACCACACACTAAAAAACACAAATCAGTTAATACTCCATGATCGTAAGCACGTAGACACATTATTGTGCACGTTGTGTTAAAATGTCACCATGAATAAAGAAACGTATAAACAATATGTAAATATACCAATGTGCACAAACATTCACACAAACACGAATGTAAAGACATTCACGCACAAGCAACAAATGAAGAACGGCACTCACAAAACACAAGGCACGGGGGCTCGAACCCTGGCTCTGAGGTTCTGGCTCAGCTCTACGTCACGGGGACAAGAGTGCAGACCAACGCTCACCTGAACGCAGACAGCGCCGGCTCCTCCGACTCGGCTGCCCCACCACCACCAGCTGCTGCTGCTGCTCCTGCAGCAGCAGAAGATGGTCCTGGCTTCACATCGGCGGCAGCAGCAGCCGGCGGCGGAGGGGGGAAGAGAGATGGACGGAACTCGACAGGCACCAACGCTGGCAAAGCCGCCTGCTGCAGTTGCTGAGGGGGTGGTGGTGGCGGTGGCGGCGGGGGCTGCTGTGTGGTCGGCGCCTCCGGTGTGGAGGTGCTGGCTCCACCGGGCCGGCGCTGGCAATCGCCGATGCCGCTCACGCTCGCGAGGTTGGTGGAGTAGGACATCTTGGTGGGGAGGACCTGCGTGGGCACCAGCAGAAGAGAGGTGAAGCTGGTGCTGGCTGCCGAATGGCTAGGGGAGAGCCGGTGCTTTCGTTCATTCGTGTCACCACCATGACACCACCATAATTGCAAATATTCTCTCCAAGCACAACATCATAATCGCTACCATCACCACTCCAACCAATATCACCAAACAGTATCACCAATGTCGTCTTGACAATGACCACCACTATTACCATCTGCTCCTCCACATTTACCACCACAATCACCACCTCCATCACTACCATCATCAGCATCCAGGCTGTCATTACCATCATCACCATAATCATGATTTACTCCACTCCCAGAAAACACCACCACTGTGAACATCACCTACACCGCGCATTTTTCGATTAGTACGGTTGTCTACATACGGTGGGGAAAAAAAAATTCAAGACACATACTACAATCATGACTATCAAAACCACCACAATTATAAGTGGGGGTCGTAAAAGACACCACCAGCACTGCCACCACCACCATAACCTCACCCCCCCCCCCACCTCGAGGCAGCTCCTGGCCGCGTCGTCCCGGGGATCCGGTTTGTCTATGGCCGCATGGCTCGAGTAGAGCCCTTGGCTCGGACGCCCAAACAGGTCCTCCTTCCGCGCGTTCGGCTGTGGGCGCCCAGCAAAAACAAAACTTCAGACACGTCTTGCGCTAGGGTAGCCACTGAACGCGGCAGATTTCCTGCAGTACTCTCGCTGACAGCGGCACAGGGGAGTTTGGCGCATGGACACCATGGATTAATCATAACGCCACTATTATTAGTATGATACAGGCAAGCTGCAATGTGGTTTAATTTTGAGTCTGAAATCAACACTTGGATCACGAATGTGGGGCGGTGACATGGCCAAGCGATAGGGCATTTGAATTTTGTCACACAGGTTCGCGGTTCCAGCCGAGCAGCTGTCCCAGATTAATACTACAGCTGTTTCAGCCAAAAAATTGTATAAATCTGATCAATTACTGGGAAGCCACACGGCAACATCACATACTACTGGCAGACTAATACCCATTTGCTTATCAGTGCCAAGTTCACCTTTTCCCTTCACAGGGACAGCTGCCAACGGGCGGGGCCCCCTGCCGCAGGGCAACTCAAAATCTTGTGTACGAGAGGTGCGGTATATAAGTAAAGCGATGATGATAATGACGATGATGATGACTGTGACGACCGCTGTAGGGGGTGGCACCGCGCGCCGTCACCTGGAGGAGGTGGGGCTGGTCGGCCAGGGGTAGCGCCTCCGACAGGGGAACCTCGAAGGGGTTCGGGGGGATGCAGCCCAGGAACGTCATGGAGTCAGAGCGGCGGAAGAAGGCGTGGTGCGGTCCCGACTCCGACGGCAGCAGCTCCTCGTCCTTATAGGGCAGCGAGCCACCTGCACATGTAGCGCCACAGGGGGTGGTGGGAGTAGCGGGGAGATGCATGAGACTACGCGTGAGTGGGGAGGGTGTTTGTGTGTGTATGGGAGCGATAGCGGAGTTGTTCGTGCACTGTGCTACAAACCCAACTAGCGACGAATAAAATCGATATTGAATATGTAAACAGATCCAAGGTCTCCCCCCAAGGTTGACTTGATTATCTGGGGTGTAAACATCAGCATTGGAGTAACAAAGGCAGTTGGGCATGGTGTTGGCCACTCACCCCTTCGTGTACCGTGCCGGCCTTCATACGTGCTTCGCTGATAGTACTTTCTCCAACTGTCTGTGTAGGCTATAAGGAGGATCTTTGTCTTTGTATGGGTTGGGCCCCCATGACCTTCTGTCAGCAAGCAATCACTAACCTGCACGTCTTCAAGGCAGTATTAACCAGGGTGTCTGCACCGTGATGACATCTGGCGTCAATATATAAACGCTGTTCGTATGTCACCAGCGTCGCTACTATATTCTGATTCTCCGGATTATAAAACACTCGGGAAAGAAACACCCCAAACTTTGTGGTCATAAAAAAAATCTTTAAAATTCAATGTCCTGGTAAAGTGGAAAATATACCGTGGAGGATGCTGGGAATAAAGTGTGTTATAATCCTGAAAATATGGTCATGGTGGAAGGGGCTGTGTGGTGGAAATAAAGTTTGACTGTACCCGCTGCGAATAAGTTAGTCAAATCATGTCGCACACATGTTATAGTGCAAATTGACCATGGTAACAATAAAGGTCCCATTCCCGTAAAACATGAAACCAATTATAATCCCCAGAAGACGGAATATATATATTACTATGGCCACGTGTCTCACTCATGTTGCTGTCCTCGTCGTTCTCGTGCTCCGAGTCCTCTGTCTCCAGACTCAGCTCGAGCAGGTCGCGCGCCCTGCAACACGCCAAAGCACGCAGCCACCACCACCAGTCATCGCTCAGCACATCGCTCGGCACAAATCAACCACAACACCTTGCCGATCTCGTTAAGAGGCATAAATGATCACGCAATAGCAGCGGCTTTTGACTTGCCATCGAATAGAGACTGTCACTGCAACGCGCGCGTTCAGATGCCCTTCTGCGGCCATCTGGAACGGAAGCCACTGGAGCTATGCACTTTTATTTAAAACGGATTTCTTTAGAACTGCTTGTGTTTAAAGTTTGTCCATCCCCCGTACATCCAATAAGCAGTTGGCTACGTACGGTGTGAAAGAAGTTCAACATACATACGGCACACATTGATGACAGTGGTTCCTTCCCATCACCAGATCATTAATCCATAGGCCCCACTACTCTTAACGTGTCACAAAGCGCCACAAATTTATTTCATCATGGAGAAATTAATTAATGATAAGTTGACCAAGCCCCAGGGCAGGATTGTGAGTTTGGTTGCAGTGGTTCGAGCGTGTGGTTTGCAAAGCAGTTCATGATTTTGAACTCGCTCGACAACCAGTGCTGTTTTCGCAAAGCAACTTCTGATCTCACTTACCTACACTTGCATGACACGTTTGTTTGCAGCATGCCATTCAAACAAAAGCGTTCAACTATCTGAATTGGAATAAGCCAAACTCAGTGACAAATGAAAAAGGTGTATTCATGACGACACAGGCCGTCGACTTATCACAATTGAGAACCAGGTTAATCATGCATGTTGGATTCAAACCCAGGACCTCAGTGCCACAGGTTCATTGTCTGACATCATCACTTACTATTAATATCCCCAGTGGCAGCCGTCCCTGCGAGGTAAAGAATGAATACAGTGCCCACCAGCAAGTGGGATTTTTTTCTGCCAGTAAAGGCAATGTTGGCATGTGAATTGTAAATTATCAAATTTCACAAATTTGGAGCATAAAGCCAGCACACAAGGCATAATCTTGTTTTCGTATAACGTCACAGAATCTAAAACAAACCCTTTGAAACAGGCTGTACATATAGGGATAATACAACCACAGCATTAACCAGTGCGGCCGCGAGGCTTGACACACCAGCCTCTGCAATGGCCGGCAGTCGTTTTACCGCTTGGCCACTCCACCAACATCATCATCGTCATCCCCCTGCGAGAGTGCGCGTGCTCTGCCCCGCCCCGCGTACCGCTTGCGGTCCAGCTGCGGCGTGTCCAGCGTCGTCTGCTGGTTCACGGCCTTGATCCAGTAGATGAGCGCCTGGAAGACGTACGCCACGTGCTTGAGCGAGCACACGTCCAGCAGGGGCAGGATGTCCGAGTGCTCGTCCTTATGCGCGCGCATCAGCGACAGCGCGTACGTCAGGAAGTCGCCACGCGCCGACAGCAGCCCGTGGCGCGACGACAGCAGCGTGGCCCGCCTGCAGGGGCACAGCGAGGAGTGAACTCCGGACACTCAAACGTGAACAGACGGCGAAGGACCACACGTGAAGTAAGATGTTACGGTTACGGTGAGTTCTGAGGGATGGAGGCTGGTTGTCTAGTATTCATGCGTATTGTTCGCGTGACGTATATGGTTACGGATTAGAGCTGGGGTACAACTAGTAAACTAGCACAGTAAAACCTTGGATTGCGAGCATAATTCGTTCCGGAAACGTGTTTGTAATCCAAAGCACTCGTATATCAAAGCGAATTTCCCCATAAGAAATAATGGAAACTCAGATGATTCGTTCCACAACCCAAAAATATTCATGTAAAAATTATTAATACAAAATACCTGTTTAGATTTTTATTATTTAAATTTAATATAAAGTAATCAAATTAATTAATTCAATTGAATCGTGGCTGGTGTCAGGGAGACAAGAGAGGAGGAGGAGGGTTATTGTGTAGGACGACATTCACTGTCACTAACGGAATCACTGCTATCTGTTGGCTCACTCGAATTTTTTTCCTTTTGTGCGACTTTAACAAGGAACCTATCCAATCACACTTGCTTTTGCCTCCTTTTGAGGATTTCGCGGAAATGTGACATTGCATTGTCGTTAAACAGATTCATCGCTCGCACTGCTACAGCCTTATTCGGGTGGTGCTTTTCTAAAGAACAGTCAGTACACTTGGACACAAAATAAAAAAAATGCTTTATGCACACACACGTGGTCACAACACTATAGTAAACAGTATACACTCGAACAGATGTTGACTATACGAGTGAGGCACGCCGACTGAGACCGAGCATGGGAGACGATTACCCACAATCCCACAGCGAGAGAGACGAACCATCGGCTCAGTTGTGATCACGTGACGCTCGGCAGACAAAGCGTATACATTCTACTCGTATTACAAGACCTCGCTCGTTTATCAAATTAAAATTTATTTTAAAAAATTTCTCGTCTTGCAAAAACACTCGCAGACCAAGTTACTTGCATCTGGTTGGCATGTGTGGTTCTTGTTCGTGGAAGGCTCGATAACGAGGGGCAATACCAGTGGCTAGTTGGCTAATTAAGTCAGTGGTGGAGTGAGTAATGTCCATTTGTCCATTGATCTCTCCCTCTCTCTGTCCATCCATTTCTCCCTCTCTCCATTCGTTTATCCATCTGTCCTTCTGTATGTCCCTCCATCCATCCAATCTTCCCTCTTTCCGTCCGTCCGGTGTCTCACCTCTGCGTGGGTGCGCATCGTTGTGCGAGCGAGCGCAAGTTCGTGTGTGCCCACCTGCGTGACTCGAGCCCACGTAGCGCCGCGTCGTCGCGAGGGTTTGGCCGCTCGCGTTCGCGCCGCGCGGGGTTCTGCGAGGCGTGGAGCGGATGGCTTGGATGCGACGGGTCGCCTGCCGACGCCAGCGCCGAGCCGTAGCGCAGCTGCGCCTCCGTCGAGTCCATGACACTCACCATCCAGTTCCACGTCAACACCAGGTGCTCCTCCACGTACTTCTGCTCCCGGCGCGGGCAAAACGCACTGGGTAAGACTCGCGATCAAGCGGTAGGGTGGCGACTGCTAGCTCCGCACAAACGCCAAGCTATATCGGCCACCACTATAGACCCCCACACAATTTGGTGTCAAGACAGTTGGATACGCCCCGTGCCTCCCCGCACCCCCACCTGCAGGTGCACGGCATCCTGGAAGCGCAGCGTGAGCGAGCTGGGCAGCTGCGAGGCCACCAGGTGGTAGTACTTGGGCAACAGGCCCATGAGATCGGACACCTGGCGCACCACGATGCTGTAGGCGCGCGCCAGCCCGCTCGCCGATGTCAGGTAGCTGCTGGAGTTACCGGCTTCCAGCGCTGCCGCCGCTGCCACAGCATTCGAGCCGAGCGTGGTGCTGCGCCGCAGCGAGTTCGGGTCGATGTAGATGAGGCCACCTGAGCCTGGGTTGCGGGTCAGGGAGTAGGGGTAGGGTACAGGAGGTAGGAAGGGCACGACAAGTGGCAATGTGAGAAAAAACGAGAGAAGGTAAAAGCAGCGACGACCAAGGCTGGAGTTAAGCCGTGCACGAGACGTTATCTCGTCCAACATGTGACACCTACATTCTAAAATGTGACCATATGCTCCCCTGAATTTGCTGCTGCGCAAGAGAGAATACAAGGGCTCTGACAGCCACTTCCCAGAGTCCCCCAGGGCAGCTACCAAAGAAGTAGTGCCACTTTTAAAGAAAGGCCAGATTTAAAGCCAAGCTTCCTGATCGTGCTCAATGCCAAGGCAGATCAAATACATTGGCAAGGCTAAGTGATTTAAGCAATGGTTATTGCAAGATTGCATGCTTAACAGTGATCCGCACGTGTTTGCGAAAGTGCGTGCGTGCGTGCGTGTGTAAGTGCATGCGTAAGTGCGCGCGTACTCTGTGCGACCGTGTTCGCGAACGTGCCAGTGAGCGAGCGCGCGGACTGACTGGTGACGGAGGTGGTGGCGGCTGAAGTGGGAGGCGGTGGCCGCTGGGGTTGGGGCGTGCGCACCGCCCACTGCATCGAGCGTGGCGCCTGAGCAGCGCTGCTGGCATGCGCACTATTGGCTGTGCGTTCCAGCGGCTCGTCCTGCAGGAAGCCGTCCTGCTCCTCCTCCTCAGTGGGCGAGCTGCTGCTCTCAGAGTCGCTTGACTCGTCCGACTGAGAGTCGTCCTCCGAGAAGAAAGCCGGCACGCTGCTTGCGCCTGCTCACGTACGGCAAACCAGTTAGCGGACGAAGCGACGATCTGACCGACGAATCAATTAAGCAACGGGTAAACAAGTGGACGAGTTAACGAGCTAAGCGAGGGGCCGGGCGATGCTGCCTACCAGCCTCAGAGCCGGCGGTGGCGGCGGTCACCACGCTGCGCCGCCCGCTGGCATTGTCCTGGTTGCTGTGGTTGCTCTCGCTGTCGCTCTCCGTCTCAGCAAGCAGGTCCAGCTCCATGTCGCTTGCTGACCGCACGCACACGCGCACACATGGTGACAAATGCACGCAAACTTGCACGCGCGTTTACATACATGTGCATACGCACACAAGAATATGCAGACAAAAGTACAAAGCAGGCAGCTGTACATACACTCACATACAGACACAAATATAGACACACGCAAAGATGCACGCAAGGGTGTATGCATAAAAAAGCTCACACGCATACACACAAACACTCGCACAAAGAACTGTTCCAACGGATGCCAATTGTTCCTCCATTTTGAAGTCACTGTGCCAGCCCCTCCCCGTACCATCTTCATCGTGGTCATCATGGTGCCCCTCGGCCTCGGGATTCTCCTCCGCCTCCTCGTGGTGGTCCTCTTCACCGACGACGCCCTCAACCACCTCCACCTGCCAGCCACGGCGAGAGCACCACCAGCAGAGCGCACGCACCACGGATTGGGCTTTGCGTTCAATGCAGCCTAAACTAAACTAAAAACGTTTATTTCACCAGGAAATGTACGTTGAACTTCTTTCGTACCGTATGTAGCCAACAGTCCGAAAATAACTATATAGTTATTTTTCAGAAGCAACCTGGCAAGAAATGATAGCTCAACGAAGTGGCTTATTATGTAGAAATGTATCAATGTGGAGGGAAAAACTGGAGGACCCAGGGAAAAATCCACGCGACCGCAGGGAGGAACGTGCAAACTCCAAAAATGCAGGCACCAGGGGGGTTAGGATCGGACCCACGACCTCCTGCATACCGGGCGAGGGAGTTAACATGTCACCTCCGTAGCCTGGCAATGCCCTTACAGCTATTGCTTTTCGCTTCGTAGTTTATACGTGGTGCTCTTCCGAATAACGTGGTAATCCAGAAGCATTTTTTTAACAAGCTGGGAACCAGAAGGTTGAAACCAGTATAGAGTTTGCCTACTTAACGAAATACTGCTGGATAACAATGACCTGGAAAGCAAGTAGGCTGATGAGCTAAAACACTAATGTGGAGAAATATAAAATATATGTGGAGAAAAAGAATGGAGTTCTTACATTTTCTTCTCATAGCTACAGTTACTTTGTAAATAGACTATACTTGTGTGCTTGTGCATTTCATCTAAGAAAGCATTCGAGTCTTTATACATTTTCAATTGAGATGTTGAGTCAGTTTGCTGTTAAACAGCGGTTGGTGTCATGTGGTGTAGTCGGAAAAAAATCCGTATACAAGAGGGGATTACACTGGTAACCATGCACACAAAGGCTCACAAACAATTGCTCGACTTTTAATAGGGTTGTTGTTTTTGCTCTAATTTCTATTTTCCTAAATGCTGTACTTTGCTTTTGTTCTTTTGGTGATCGAGGCCACTCTTTGCAACTGAGAATGTCCTTGTCAATGGAGTTCTCACCTGGAATTTTTTTTTGTATGCAACAAAACTGCAGCCCTCTCGTGGTCATCTCGAATGTGTGATAAAGGGGAGTGGCGGGTGAGGTGTGGGGAGCATGCCAGCAAGAGGGCACAGTGCACAGATGGGCGAGCAAGGCAGCGGTCGGGCAAGTGGACTAGCGAGTACGTGGGCGAGCGAGTGAATGGGCGAGCAAGTGAACTGGCGAGCGAGTGGTGGCGGGGGAAGGGGTGATCGGACTCTGACCTCCTCGACGTCAGCAGACACCAACTCGTCGGCCTCGTCATCCCTGCCGCGCGCCACGGGAGCGGGGCCTCCGCGCCTCTGCTGGGCCGCGTGCGCCATGTACGCAGACTGCTGCGAGCTCCTGAATGAGCATGCAGGAGCATGCACGCGCGAATGCAAGTTACACTTGTACGGACGCACACGTACTTGAGCGCACAAAAGACAAAGATCCCCCGTATAGCCTTAGACGGACTGTTGGGACAAGTGTTGTTCATGAGCATCTATGCTATGTAAGCCGGCACGGCACATGAAGGTGGGTGGCCAATTCCACACGCAGGAGCTTTTTTCTCCCCACTGCTGATTTGTACAAACCGCACCAGGTACTCATTTAAGGCCGAGTCGATCTAGACGAGATCCCCTTAAACCAATTAAAATATTTGTCATCGTTATTGGTCCTGAGCAGGAATGAAACTCGGGTGGCTGCGTCAGGAGAAAAGCACGCCAAGCACTGTGCCGCGTTTCTCCGGACAATTTGACACAAGCTAATCCCCCCCGCTTACTTTAAAATATTTTTTAAAAAACCTTCATCTGCAGTGTGACACCACCACTGACGCGGCCTCCCTTGCCACTGGCCACACAATCCCCATTTACCTCCCCACCGAGTGACATCACTCAGCCACCCCCACACAGACCACCTCCTACCCCCAACCCACCTCCGCTCGCCCTGCCCCCACAGTGGCACCCGTCCCACCCCTGACCTGCTGCTGTCGTCGGCGGCCGGGCGCGGTGGCAGTGGCTCCACGGAGAAGATCTCCTCGCTGCCCTGCATGGCGTCCAGGCTGGTGCTGACGAGCGCAAATGGCGCCGTGGGCCGCGCCACGCCCATGCGCACGGGCACGATGAGCGACTCAGCCACGTGGCACAGCTCCTCGACGGCCAGCGGCAGCAACGCCTGGAACACGCGCTTGCACTTGCCGATGGGCTGTGGCACGAAGTTACTGCGGGGGTGGCGGTAATGCAACAGGGGCAAGGGGTTTGGGGAAGGACGAGGAGTTTAGCAGTGCAAAGAAATGAAGAGCAGAGGAGGGGACAAGTGACATGACCTTTGTTCTGACAAGCCAAGATGCTTGTCACCAAGCTACAACACCCAATCATGTTAGCACAATCACTCTTGCATCCACCGTCGTAACATTCACTAGCCTGCCCCACCCCCGCTTACCCTACGACCTCTACACTATCTGAGATGGCTACACATCTAATTATTTTGTGCTGGTGGTCCAGCATATGGCTGAGCTTTTGTACATGCAATACACACATTCGTGTGTTGGTGAATCCGACTACTGAAACCCACCAAGAACCTTTGCCCACTCCCAACTCTGCAGCGCGGGCCTCAGAAACCACAGTCCACGGGAGGCAGCGTACGGTTGTTGCTCAGTTGGGCTGGAAGTAGGGAGATCCATGTGAGCCAAACAGATAGGGGTGTTGGGGAAATGTTGGAGGTGCCGAAGGTCACAAAAGAGGGGACGTGTCCCTGCACTCACTTCTTCTTCTTGGAGGAAGCCATCTCGACGCTCAGGATCACAAAGATGCGTGCCACCGAGCGGAGGAAGCGGCGCGTCACGGCCACCGCCTCCTCACGCCGCCCGGGCGTGTACTTGTTCTGCAGCTCCGTCACCAGTGTCGTCAGCAGCGTGTCCAGCAGCTGCACGGGGGTGAGGACACAACGAGGTCAGGTCGAGTCACATCAAGTTCAAGTTTATTTTGTTTAGCCAGGTGAGAATTCAAAGAGACTAGGATAGTCTAATTTACAAGGGACCCGAGCTGCCCAAATTACAAAAGCAAAGCAAATTAAGTGCAGCGATGCAGCAACTAGAAAACAGAGGAAAAACATGTTACTTGAGAAAAGTTAAATATTGCACAAACATACATCAATGTAAATGATTAATTCCCACTTCACAGAAGCATCAAACAAGCAGTGTCAGGTCATGCGATGTGATGTAATGCCACATCAAGGCACAGCAGAATCTTCAGGTCAGAATCAGCATCTTTATTTTTACTGGAGGAATCCGATGAGCTATGAAGCTCTTTTTCACAGATGTCAAGTATGGGCAGGTCAACAAGTTATAGGTTATAGGTGCGAGGTTAAGGAACGGGGGTCGGCAATTCGCACCCCCATGTCGGAGCACTTGACGAGCAGACAGTGGGTGAAGCAGTCAAGGCGGATGGTGCCGCTCTGCTGGGACAGATACACCTGCTCCTCTGCCAGTAGGTGTGCGATGCGGCTGCTGGCGCTCAACCTGAGTACACACGCGTACACATCCATGCACATAGGGGCTTGCACACGTGAGTGCGCGAACTTACACATACTCGTACACGCACGCATACACGAGACCACACGCACGAGACCACACAAGTACACGTGCTCATACGCGCAGGTACACGAGTACACACGTACACACGCTTGTACAAGTACACGTAAACACACGCACACTTGGCCAACAGCAATGCACACATACCTAAGCACACAAGTGCACTTGCACTCAGGTGTGCACACACAAGCTGCACAGACAACCACGTACACAGAGACACAAACGTACACAAACACACATGCATGCATGCACCAATGCACATAAGTATACATTGAACCAACACAGCGACACAAACCCAGGGTTTGTTGACCATTTCAGTGTTTGTTATGGGTCAACAGTGTTTGTTATGGGTCCCCAGTGTTTGCTATGTATCTCCAATGTCTGTTGTGGGTCCCCAGTATTCTGCGGGTACTGACGGGTCCTTGTTCTCCTGGGATCCGAATGTGATCATGGACTTCACGGCATTCCAGTCCTTCAGGACGCGCTCCAGGGCCTGCTGAGCGAACCGGGGAGGCTCCAGGTCGTGGTCCGGCATGTCTGCTTCTGAAAATACCCAGCGAGATACACATCAGGACAAGCACATTGCCGTAAACACCCCACAGCTACACCACACAAATAAACGGCGCTGCCACACGCGCACCGAGTCACCGCACTTAGAAGCACACGTGAAAACTCGGCTGGTTCAAGGTGAACCTGCCCTCATCGTCATCAGCAGCGAGGAATCCACTGCCTCCCCAGGCTTAAGCCATCTCTCACGGCCGTACACATGTAGGAATCCACCCAGCCCATGCACACAAGCCGATTTGATCATGCCATCTCCCTAGCCAGTGTCTTCCTTTGGATTGCCACTCCATCGTTAATCTCGACCACTAGCTATCATCTCTGATAGTGACGTGTCCTGCCCATGCCCATTTTCTCAGAGGCCCATTTCCTCCCACAACTCATGGTGTGTTTCGAAAGGAAATGAAGCACATTGTTTTCTTTGTGTAGCTCTGTCTGTGCGTGTGTTAAGGCTATACGGGGGGGGGTCTTTGTCTTTGTGTGTAACTCCGTGTCTGCGTGTGCACGTGTGCATATGGGTGTGTGCGTGTATTTCCGCGTCTGTGTGTAAATGGACAAATCCTGCAAGCGAGGGACCGGAATCAGAAGTTTTACCATCGGCGCCAGCCGGCTTGCGCGTGCGCTCGTCCCGCCCACGAGGGGGGCGGTACTGGCAGTGCTCCACCATCTGTCGCGCCACCGTCTGCACCAGGAACAGCAGCAGGTGCTCCCCCCTTAGAGAGGCCAAGCACACAGACGCACACACAAGCACGAACACGCACATAACCAGTCGTCCGTTCAGCTGTGCAGACTTGGCATGTCAAGATCAATTAATTCATTAAAACAGATTCTTACTCTCAAGGTACGTTCTTCGAACATTGTGTGCGAGTAGCGATGCTGATGTGTAGGTATGCTAATGCAACTTAGGCTAAGTGAGCAAGCAAAACTACAACATGATTTAAAGCTTTCGTGGCTGCAGGGATTCATATTCTTGGTTATTTCGGTAAAGTCACGTAGAAGGGAAACAATAAAATAATAAAAATATAAAACAATAAAAATAAAATTGTTTTATATTTTTATTATTTTATTGTTTCAATAAAAATTTAAAATGTTATTGTTTTATATTTTATTGTTTCTCTTCTACGTGACTTTACCGAAAGAACCAAGAATATAAAAAAAACTACAACACAAGACAAAATGAGAAACAATGGATTATTGTTACATTTCTGGTCAGGACTGTCACAATAGGGAGGGGAGGAATGGGAGTGAGTAAGAAGTGGGAGAAATTAAAATTAAGAGCACAAGGCCAGTCGGAACGGGGCACAGAGGCAGATTCTTTATGCACAAGTTTTGAGCACTGCTTTAATAAATGTTGCCAGCTTTCTAGAGGGCACGTCCCCAACAGCAACACAACTTGAAAAACCGTTTTGAATATTTTTTAGCATTATCATGCCAATTCCCCTCCAATATCACACAGTTGGACTGCCAGAGAGATAGAGTATGGTCAGAGCTAATGCATCACTTTCAACTTTGGTTGGAACATTTCTGATAAAAAAGCAGATTGAATGAACAATTAACAAAGTGGTGGGGGGGGGGGGGGGGGCAAGATACAAGCCATATGAAGGGACGGGCAAGGGTCAGGGATCAGAGGTGGAGGGATGTGGTTACCTGCTGTTGGGCCGTGTGACCAGGTCCGTGGTGGTGAGCAGCCGGTGCAGCAGCTCCAGTCGCGCCGCTTTCTGCCCGGCGATGAGCGTCTTGCACTTGCACTTCTCCCAGCAGTCGCAGTACGCCGTGGGCGAAGTCCTCTTCAGCCTGAGCGCAAGTTCAGAGTTCAATGCAACAGAAACAATTATTGAAGACCAAATTCAAAATTGAGCACTTTACAATTACACAATTTAATGCCATGCCAAAGATTTTTTTTACAATTAACTGTACCTGGCTCCATGTTTATATGCTAAAGATAACACACAATAGTGTTCTTCTTTGGTTCTTTCGGTAAAGTCACGTAGAATGAGAATAAAATGATAACATAACACAATAAAATTGTGTTATTTTACGTGACTTTACCGAAAGAACCAAAGAAGATGAATCCTTGCAGTCACGAAAGCTTTAAATCGAAACACAATAGTGTGCTTACAATTTCACAATGTTTAAAGGAAGACTGAAGCCCAAAACAAACGTATACTTTCAGCTATACACACGGTGCGGGGGGGGGGGGTGAGGAAGAGGAGTGGGCGTCTACGCACTTGCAGTCGTGCCCCTTGTGGCAGACGCGGGCGCACTCTGTGCAGCAGCACAGCGACTCCAGGAGGCCGCACGTGCGACACTCGAAGATGTCCTGCCAAGGGGAGAGGGCGTTAATGTTAACCCAACAGAGCCAAGACCACGAGAGACTTCGCTCTCTTCACCTGTGCACGCAAGAGATTGTTGTGTGCGTGTAGAACTTTCTTTCGCACGGGACGTGGCCAACCGCACTACTCAAGAGGTACTACTGGCTCGTCCTAACATCCTTAAGGATCAGTCTTACCAGGGATGCTTGGCCAAAGTCTCATTTGTCTTCCCATGACCAAGCACGGAATTCACTCAATGCCTACAGTGCATATCATTCAAGGGTCTTATTGTGCGAGACACTATCACTGGTCACTCCATTGCTGCTATATAATTGCATAAATTTTGCACAAACAAAAAATTATTCACACCTGTGGTTCAATGCGAGTATTGTGAGACAACAATCGAGTTTAACCTAGGAATTGATGCTGCTTTATACACCTGCTAACTACCCATGCTGCTGAGGCTCACTTGGTTGATGTGCTCAGCCCCTGTCCATGTGAAGCTGCAGGTGTCGTTGCAGCAAAGCACGTAAAGCGGCGAGTCGTCTGGATTGGTGCCCGTGGGGCAGATCATGCTCATAAAGTCGTCCCGGTTCTCAGTCTGAGCGTCACCTGGCACCGGCACACAGACGCACAAGTAGGAGGGAGCGAGCGGTCATTACACCGAGGACAAAACAATAAATAACAGTTCACTGCTCTTATAATGTGCAGATGTGCAAGGGCACAACGATATTTGATAATGTGATTAGCCTGTCAGAGCCGAATAATTCTGGGGAAAAAACACTGCACCTAAGTAGCAACGTCATGCCTCTTTCTCCAAGGAATTTTTGTTACGATCCCTGACACGAGTTAGAAAATAATTAAAAGCATCTTTCATTATTGAAACACTTGTGGTGATAGTAAGCGACCAGCCAAGTTATTGATTTAACATTTTACATTTTCTTGTGCTTATGTCACATTGACAATTTGATGCATATACTCTTCCGTGTAAGAATCAATTGTAAGCGACTCATTGTCGTTGCATGCCCAATAGGGGGAAAGACGTGGAAGCAGAACGAAAAGTAGAGCAGTAGAAAAAGTCAGAGTTGGAGGGGCCAGAAGGGAGAATAAAGACGGAGAGAGGGGGGTGAGAAGGGACAGATGGAGTCACGGGTGAGTGCGGTGGTGCCTGGCCGTGCCCACCTTTTGCCACCTTCTGCGCCGTCTCGAGCACGGTGATGGCGGCCGGGTATGCTCGCCCGCTTACCGCCAGCATGAATGGCGTCATGCCTCTTGCATCCCTGCACACACAGCAACGCACGTACGCCGTTAATAGAGCGTCCACTCATTTACTCAACGTTAGCAAAATATACTGGTCCCAAAGAAAAGTAAATACAGCTTAAAGACTCAGAATGACCATGACAAGAGCCCTCAGCCCACATAGGCGAGATCTGGATTTATGCCCTGGGATTGAGTGCCTCTTTTTATAGGCTCGTAATGGTTGTGTCCAAGCCTTGAACTGACACCAAATAAGATCCTGAATTGTGGGAATGAAATTCTTGGTTGCGTGATCCAACAATCCACCCAGCACCTATGGTAACTTGTTGAGCAATCATTTGTGGCCAGGTAGCTTCTGAAAAAGAGCTCAGTGGGCCTTATATGGTAAAATAAAATTATACTCTTTGGTTCTTTCGGTAAAGTTACGTAGGCAGAAATAAAATAAATCACGATTTATTTAATTTTATTTCTACCTACGTGACTTTACCGAAAGACCCAAAGAGCATGGATGGATTACCGCAGTCACGAAAGCTTCAAATCAAGATTAAAATAAAAAATTGTTTTGTTTCGTTTTCATGTAATTGGGAATTAATGCAATTCAAATGGACTTTTATAAACCAAAGATCTTTGCATAAGTCAGAGTGCAGGAGTACTTCAGGAGAGAAAGGCTAAGGCAGTGAAGGAACAAGAGCACGGGTGGTGTAGCTATGGGAGGATTAATGCACGGAGGGTCTTTCCGGTCTGCAATCCAAGGGCCTTGGACTTTGAGAGCCCCCCCCGCCCCCCAATTTTTTTTTATCTTTAGAATGGTTGAAATGCAATACTGTAACTCTAAGATAAAGCCTGTAGATCATTTGGTAATTATTAAAGCCATGGCATTACTATCCCTTTCAACCAGTTACGTGACGAATTTGAAGTGTTTGGCATTGGGCATGGGGGTTGTGGCAAAAAAAGTGACGGAAGGGATTGAATGTACAAAGGGGGCACTCCTGCCAAAACTATATCAACTCTGAGCCCCTCCATCAAACTTAACCTGACTCCGGGCATAGCGGACGGGACCGTACTTGGCGGAGAGCAGCTCGCGCATGTAGAACTTGAGCAGGCTCGTCTCGCACAGCAGCTTGAGGATGGCGTGCGCTGTGGCCTTGCGATCTTTGGGTTCCGACGCGGACGCCTCCTTCGAGGAGCCTGGGGAGCACACGATGAGACAGAGCGTCAGCAAGGCCAGCAGAGTCGGCACAGCCTTCCGAGCCTGCTGGATGCCCGCGTTTCCAATTTATGGACGCCAGTTCCTGTATCCGTCAGCATTTTTCCGTACGTCCATCAATTGTCTGAAAAAGCTAATAGCAGTGGGCTTTACTTGGTAAGAAAAAACAAATAAGGTAGTTTTATTTGTATATTTTTTAGTTATTTGTTTACTTTTATATACTTTACACTTCTATCGTGAAAGAGCTTAATAACGCATCAGATTCCTCCAGTATAAATAAATATTCTGATTCTCTCCTTGTGTGTCAGTGGTCATCCTCGGGTTTCATCAGGGTGTCCTGTCCATGTTGCTGTCCATGTGGTGTCTGTCGGTGTCAATCCTTGTGCGCATGAGTGTGTTTGTCCATGTGTCCATCAGTTGTCTATCAATGTCTGTCCATGCATCTGCCAGAAAATATTTATTCTGTACACCGGTCAGGTGTGGTAGTATGAGCCTGTGATCAAGGAGGCAGAGTTTAGGGGTTAATCAAAGGAGGTCCCACAAATGCAAAGGTGAGAACACCTGCCCACTGACAGTCTAAGCTGTGTATGTGCGGACGTGTATGTATAATTCGGGAGTGGTGGTACTGCGATTCACACAACGCACTATGATCTCGGTGACTGGGTTCAACTCCCCATCATGGACAACAAGATTAACAAAAGGTGTCTGAACGTGGCAAGAGCCTCCCTTATGTCAACTGAACCCCAAATACGAAGGTGTGCAAACATCGGCTGGGCGTGGTGCTGTTCGCAACACCCCCTGAAATGTCGTGTTAGCTTTAATAGATGCCTTCATGTTTGTGCTTGCCAATTACCCGCCAGGCTGGGTGCTCCAGTTGATGGGCCTGGTCCTGCAGAGGACGAAGCTGATAAAAACAAAACAGGACCATATTTAACGAACTCTTATTTAGTTTATTCACATTTTCACTGTTTGCATTCCCGGCTTTATCCCGATCGTATGATCGGCATCATGCCATGAGGAGTAATCCATTCAGAACAGTGAATCGTCTTGTTAAAGAACGTAATGTTTGTCAAGATATAACATGACGACATTTTTATATTCTAAAAGTTAGAATTTAAGTTAAATCATTTGCAAAATAAAATTTACTGCGCCAGTATTTTTTTTGCAAGTTGCTATTGGTCAGCGGCTGACATCTACTGGCTTGCTACAAATAAATTACAGGTATTGCCTGGATTACAACCGAGATTTCTTCACGGTTCCAGCTCATCACTCTGCCCCTTGAGCCACCCGGAACACCACTGACATGTTCTTTAATAAATTTCATCACCTGATGTGCAATCTGAATATTCCCAGTCCGTCACCACATTCGCAGCCCTTACCACTTACCCCCCCACCATCCGAGTACATTCTCCCAGCTTGTCCCGAGATGGGCACTACAACCACTCTTGCCTCCTTCATCATCTCTTCCTTTCTAAACCCATTCGAAGTAAAAACAAATATTTAGAATTCCTTTTTGTGTTTTAGTTTATTGTCCTGCCCCCCCCCACACCTCCGATTAGCACGGTTGGCTATGTACGGTGCGAAAGAAGTTCCGTACACATACCCGGGTCAAACTGCGGTGGCTCGGGGAGCCAGCTGAAGGTGGGGATGGGCGGCGGTGGCGGCACCTGCTCCGCGTGTTCTGCCGCGGCAGCGGCACCTGCGTCGTGCGAGCCCAGGCCGGGGGGCGGCCGTGGTGGGCGGCGCATCATCTCCCTTAGACGAAGGCTGAGTTTAGGGGGGAAGGAGGGAAAATCGCAAACGGCCATTATTATTATTAGAAAAATTAAGGGTACACAAAACTAGGATTTTAATGCCAGATCTCAACATGGTCAGCTCAGAAGACTGAATACAGCTATCATGAACCACCTGAGTTACTCAAAAACAGACCTTCGACACAGCACAGCAGCACCTTATAAACCTCATGTCAGCATAAGAGAGAAATAAACCCAATAACTCAATGGTGTCAACTCAGAGGGGAAATTATAGCCATGATGAACTCCCTGGGTGAGATACTCAAACCCAGATCTTTCATCTAAGTATCTCAGCAGTATCAGCTCAGTAGCTCCAACATGGCATTAATGAGCCAACTGATAGATCAACTCCTGCACTTACAACACAGGATCTCAAAAGTGCTGGATCAGAGGCTTTGGCCATAATGAACTGAGTGGTGTGCAGTGCTCACTCAACGATTTGGAGGCAAGGGCTGGAGGATCATGCAGCTTCGTAAAACACTCAAACCCGTTGCTTTAACACTTCAATGTGGAACCAACATGAAAAAGAGCCTTAAGACAGATAATACAATTGTAGTATTCACATATTCAAATTTGGACCCAAGATGTTAGCAGATTCAGCTCAGGACCCAACAACACCAATTATGACGGAAACCCGCCCCCGAGATACTCCAACCAAGAACTCAACACGGTCCCTCTCTGCAGTGCTGGCTGGCTCAATGGCTTGGCCACTGCCGTCATGAGCCCCGTGCCGCACCATCACCTGCGCGTGCTGCTGCTGGAGACGCCGGCGCGACTCGTGTTGCACGACACCACCGAGATGGCGTTGGCAATCGCCTCGACCGCCGACATACGCTCGAAGAACGACGTGCGATCCGAGCGGTCGGACTCTGCCACGCGAGAGAAAGGGAACGTCGCAAACGTGGGGAGGGGGCAGAGGGCACACAGGAGACGACGTTATCAACACAATTCATGTTACAATATATTGATTCGTCTATGAATATTGTTTTATGGTCAATGCATTGAACGGTGTACATTAATTATATTCGATTTGTTGATGCAAAGTTTTTGCAAAAATTCAATTTAATGAGACGCAAACCAAATGAAATGGCCAGGAGGTACATCCGAGGACAGAAAAAGATGGCACAAACAAGACTAAATGTAATAGATTTTTTTCACAAAATCATGACAAGGGGTTAAAGTTGCGTCACGGAAATTTTTGCCATATTCACGGTCGAGGCAAGGAGAAAGAAATAATGGAATGGTCATGTGAGATCATCAACACAGCATGACATCGCATCACAGCATTACATCCTCAAAGAGCAGGACATCAACACTCCGCACGATAAGCACCTTGCATGACATCATCAACACAGCACAACATTGTCAACATGACACAAGATCGTCAAAACATCGTAAACAACACTCCACGTGACAACACCTCGCATAACACGGACCAGGGGTCAGGCTCTGCAAGGACTGCTTCATGACGATATTGATTAAGGACACCGTCTCGTATTCACCACGGTGCAATGCGCGGCTCTTGAAAAATTGAGGGTTTTTTTTTTCACCGAATTCGAAAAAAATGGCTGTTATTTTTGTTGCCGACCCCTGACATGGACGCACAGCATGAAATCATCAGTGATGGACATTACCAACGGGGGAGGGGGCATCACCGTGGGCGCTCGCACCTTCCTCCTCCTTGGCCTCCTTGTTGGAGGTGGGGAAGCAGGTGGAGACGCACGCGTGCAGGACGTTGCGGTTGCCGTCGCAGCGCTCATGGGGGATGTTCTCCACCTCGCCGGCGTCCAGCTCCATGAGCAGGCTCTGCTCCATGCCCAGCAGCGCCAGTCGGCAAGCCTCGTAGTCGCACCGCAGCACCGGCGTCAGCAGCGGCTGCTTCTGCTCGGCGGGAAATTTAAGGTACAGGGTTCGAGCATCGATCACCTGTATGTCGAACTTCTTTTCGCACCGTACGAAGCCAACCATGCTAATCAGAGGCGCGGGGCAAGGACAACAAACTAAACACAGGTCGGGGTAGAGCAGAGCGCGCAAAAATGCCTCGCGCTGTCCCCACAATTTTAAATCATCCCCCATGCTGCTGCTGCTTCCACACAAGCTGCCCTCCGTGTTCTAGCTATCTCTCAAAGCTGCTTCCGTCCTCCTCGCTGCAGCCCCCCGCCCCCTTCCACCTTTTTCCATCGTGCATGCCACCTTAATTTCAGGCCACTCTCTGTGTTATGACTTTCCTTCGGGGTAACCCTCAAAGCCAACTTTCCCCCTCTACCCCGACCACCTTCCATATTGTCACCACCCCCTCCCCCACCTGGCACTCTCCAAACAGGAGACTCGTAATGACCCCCTTATAAATCACCCTTCATGCTAGCCGCCTCCCCGCCGCCCGCGGCCTCACCTCAATGGCCATGACGATGACGGTGGCCTTTTTCTTGATGGAGGAGTTGGCGGGCAGGTTGGTGAGCGCGTGCAGGCCCACGCCAAGCGAGCGCACTGGCGGCAGGTCCAACCAGTCAGGGTCACGGATGCCGCCCATGCAGTCGCGCGCAAGCGGGTAGAGCGTGCCATTACCGTCGCGCAGGATCACCGGTGACTCCTGCACACACGGGGGAAAGGGTTAGATCGGTGTTTTTCATTGCAAGGCCCGTGGGACGCTGGCGGCCCCGAGTGGCCTTTAGTGCGGCCCCCTGACAATACACAAATTTGAAAACACCCCATGCAGCTGATGTGACGGCCCCCTCTAACTGATGGCCGCCCATAGAAAATGAGTGAAGAACACTGGCTTATGTCATTACTCAGGACCAGGCCAGTCCGGGTAAAGAATACATTTGTTAGGTTTTTAGCAGTGTAAGCGTCTCTCTGCTCAAACGAGCATTGGAGAGGCAGTTATCTTGGGTGGACAAGACGATGTTGCTGTTGCACGTAGGGAGTGGTGGAAATTCCTAGTTCCAACGACATGGGATGGTCTCTCCATAAGAAAGCTGCTTTTTACCTTCAACAAAGTGGTATTTATTGTAATGATCCATAGAAGTAGAGGCTAAGTTTACCTCCAACCAAGATACAAAACTGGAATGTTCCAGTTGCTTCTCCAAGGTGGAGTAAGGCGAGGGATAAGTGCTACGAATGTTAGGGAATATGAACTCATTATCTAAGTACCATTAAAGCACCATGTTTGTGGCACCCAGCCCAAAAATGTCAGCAGTGCTGGCCATTAAAAGCGATTGCTGTGCCATTACAAGCCACTGTGCCAATGCTTGGCTCGGTGGCTTAAACGTGTCCATTATGTGCACTGTGAGAGAGCAGACTCTGTATGAGCAGGTATGCATATATGTGTGTGTGCACGCATGTTGCACCTGTCCAGCGCTGTAGATGGCAATATTGTGCTCGTCCTGACCCAGCAGAGCAGCACTGCTCGTCGGGAAGTTGTTCTCCTGCTCAGGTTTGCATGTCGCCAAGTCGAACAAACAGTAGCGAACCCAGGTCCCTGATCGCAGCACAGTGTGCACACCTGCACCGCACGTCACACACACGCACGAGACGTACATCACACGTGGCATCTAATGCACATCACCACTTGTTACATACACACATGCACAACACATCGGGCCCGTCACCGTCACAGGTGCTCGAGTGTGATGGACATCAGCAGTAGGAAGATGTGTGCAATGTACATCAGTACTGTGGAGACATACGTGTGCAATGTACATTAGTCATGTGGGAACATACGTGTGCAATGTACATCAGTACTGTGGGGACATAGGTGCGCCGTGTTCATTAGTAATGTGGAGGCATAAGTGCCCGATGTACATCACTACCGTGGCTACAAAGGCAGCCGTGCCTGGTACCTGTTGCGCACTCTGCCATCCTGCAATGGTACTCACTAACAACACTTGCCTCAACAGCCTGTATACATCTAGACAGGGGGGACCCTCGTATGTATGCGTACACTAATACAGCATGTGTGTGTGCGTGTGTGCGCCCACCCTTGGCATCCACGTTGAGTGCCAGGATGTCTGCCTTGTCCGGGACACACATCTTGCGCGGCGCTCGCTGGAAGCAGTCGGGCACCTTGGGGGCCCCGCCGCTCTTCACCACCTACGCAGGGGTGGGGGGTGGAGCGGTAAGTGCAGCGACCGAGTGAGAGATCACGCGGCAGCTCGACCCACGGGACACCGCACTAGACATCCTCCATACGGAGCGCAGTGCCCAGAGACTCTCCGTCGACGATGCCATCGCTCGTAACGCGCTGGGAACCGGGCACGTAAAAACTTCCGCGCCACCTCACGACTCGATTGATTGCAGCAATTCTGGATAGCGGTTAACCAGGTCGTTATTCTTTGGCCATGTGGTGAATTTAGCGCCGCCGGTGGCTCCAGACACATGTAGAAAATATATACAATAAAGACGCGTTGTACATTAAATATGAATCAATGCATAATTACACGCCTGCGAATGATGTAAAATTTTATTACACGCAAATTTTCACCCGACCACTCAATGAAAGGTCCCGATTCTGGGGTAACAACTGAATTAAAGAAAATATTCTTTGGAGTCTCATTTGTAATGGCTCGTTTGCAACGTACACCCGTAAACATTTGTATTTACTTCTCTCTAGTTTACCCTCTTCGCCCAACGGTATACTTGCATACAATTTGCATGAACTGTAAATAATACAATCCTTTGACCCACAGTTGAAAGCATGATTCTGAGCGGAGGATTCCATTTTCAATGACAGCGACGATAACAATGAACCGATGCCCCTATGACTCACATGACAAGCGTTTAGCAATCATCAGGCGTGCACAGCGTGTAACGGACTCTCCCACCCAGCTCGCACCTGCAGCTCGTCAATGCGGAGGAGGCGGCAGTCCTGCAGGAGGGACGTGGGGTCCGGGTCGGGCCCTGGGGCGGGGGGCACGACCACCGCGCTGGCAACTGGGCCGTTGGCGCCGGGAAACCTCACGGCCACGTACGCCCCATCCACTTTGAGCACCTGCGGGCAGGAAAAGTGGGTGTGGAGGTATAATTAGGGTTGGCCTGGCACAAATGTCATGGGTGACATCACCGCCACCTGGTGGCAAGTAGCTGTTGTCGTTATCTTTGTCCACTTGTCCTGTGTGTATGCTGCGTGTGCTTACATTTTGCTATATATTTCACTGGCATTCATTGAGCTTAAACAATCTACGACCATATCACCCTAAATGGACTGCCATTGTCACATCTCCTAAGCTAGGCATGTGATCCTGGTTAGTGCATGGGTGGCATAATGCCTGTGAATACCAGGTGTTGTAGGTTTGGTCCTGTGAGGTGGCCAGGCTATGGCAGGACAGCAATAGATTCTTCAATAACCCTTTGTATGCGTCTGTTTTCTCTGAATAGAGAATCTTGATTTAACACGGGCACAGCCGTCGACAACATTCAAAGTGAAGGGGAGCGCAAATAAACCTCTCGCCCCACATGGTGTGTGGGGGTGAGAACATGGCGCTCGATGGCTTTGAAGTTGTTGTGAGTGAGCAAACGAGGCCACGACTTCATTTTCAAGAAACGATGATTATTAATAATCCAATTTCCTTTAACTTTGTCATTGCATTTCAAATTAGTATCTTATTGTTTTTGTCCCCTACTGTATTTCAAGTACGAATAAAAATTACCGATGACATTTTCAAATAGAGTTCTCAACACAAACCTTCTCGAAGTCTCCAACTCATTGCTACTTTAAAAGCTAAATTCATATCATGCACATCGCGTAAAAAATGTATGGTGTCGTAGAACTGAAGTCCATTACTCTGGGAAACATTCTGAAAAGTACCGATTTAATGGGAAATAGCTATTTTTTTAAGTTTAAATATTGTGCTTTTATTTCAAATATAAAAGCAAAAATGAACCATCATAATCATCACAATGACATATCACAAAGCGAAGTGATCATCATAGACCTTGTAACCTACGATCGTAGTTCCTCCAGAAACTACGCACACACCTTGCCCACCGGTACACTCTTCACGTCTTCCACAAACACCACCTCCTTGAGGTTCCACTGCTCCTCGTTGTGCTTCTCCTCCTCACGAGAGCTTGCCGTCGGGCGCTTGCGTTCTGGCAAAACAAAACGAGGGCAGCTTCACATTCACCGGATTCGCTCGCGTACCACCACACAAACACCTTGACACCCCTTTTCCACTGGCACAGCCGAGCCGTGCTGAGGCCATGCCATCGAGGGTTAAGGAGGCGGCAGGTTGTTTTGCCACAATAGAAACTGAGCGGTGCTGCTAATGCCGCAGCAGGCAATCTGCGAGGCTGAGACGCATGTAGATGACATTGAGTCGGCTTGTGTCCTCAAAGGGTACCGACGGACATCACACGGGGCAAACACGTTATTAGCATGGCATGGAAAATTGCCAGTGGAAAAAAAATCGCCCATACCGTGAAAGCACCGCGCTGGTTCGCAAGTGCCAGTACTTGAGATCACAATGGCAAGTGACAATTTTTATGGCTAAACAGTCCAGCTGACCGTCCAAAAGCCAAGGTTATGTACCAACAGCCCAGGTGACATCACAGGAGCCCAGGTAATGTCCCAAGAGTCCAGTTGACAACTCAACAGCTCAGGTGACACCCCCAAAGTCCCCAAGAGCCACTCACTGTAGGGCAGCGACGCGCTGCTCGCGATGGATGAGGTGTCACTGCAGGTTGAGGCAGGAGACGGGGGAGGTCCCATCTCTGTGCGCACGTTGTCTTGCTTCTGCTCGGACCTGCTTGAGATCACACATGGCAACATCCATTATTTAGCCGGGCGACGCTGCATTGACATTCACTGGAGATAACTATTTCCAAGATAAGAATGGATATTGTTATAGAGGGATGGTTCTTACTTTAAAATCTTTCAGTCGTCAGACTCAAGTGAGAAGGCTCCTCGAAATAAATAAATAGCTTTTTAAATAACCATGTGAGGGAGTGACAGAGTAGTGAGCAATTGAGTTCACGAGCTAGTGAGCGAGTTTCTGATCCATTGAGTCTGTGACCTCATGCTCGGGTAAATAAAGGAGTTCATGAGATAAATATTAAGTGGGTTAAGACACTAGTGAGCGGGGGAGTTAACGAATGAGCGAAAGCGTTAACAGAGCGAGCAAGTGAGTTCGTGATCGAGCTCGCGAGCGTGCGCACTTGGTGTCGGAGGCCTTGGCGAGTCGGTCGAGGGCCCGCAGGCCGTCGGGCGAGCACACGCGGAAGCGGCAGCAGTCGTTCATGTTCCACACGGACTCCTGCAGGACGCCCACCTTGGGCACGCCGGAGCTCACAGAGAATGCCACCGCACCCGCCTGGTACACTGGGTTGTTGCGCATGCACACCTACTCGCACACAACAAAGATGCCCCCCCCCCATATATAGCCAAAACATATTTTCGTGGCAAGTGCTGTTAAGCGAGTACCTATGAAGGCCGGCATGCCACACGAGAGGATGGGATGCTAGCACCACATACGGCTGCGTTTGTCTCCCCGGTGCTGTTTTTACACATCGCACCAGGTACTCATTTATGTCTAAATCTACGTAAACGATTATTATCGTTTTTACCACATCATTTACACATTTTGCACTCTCCATTTTTGTTTTATCCAGGGCACCCCTACTTTACATTTTCTCCAACATTTGACTTTCGTGTAACAATGGGAATAATGTTTTTTTTAAAACAAGGTAATCACAGTGAGGCCCTCTATGCAGGGCCAGATTAAAGCAGGAGGCTTTAGGTGCTGCAGCAGCCCAAGGCCTCGGACTTTGAGGAGCTCCTCAATGGACACAAACACACTGATTTGCTATCATCAAAACGCAATACAGCAGCACTATGATAAATCCTATAGGTCGCATGGAAATGAAAACAAAAGCATCACTGTGTATTACAACCAGTCACGTACCGATATTAAAATGGTTTTAGAGGTTTCAACTGCGATGTAGTTTTATAATTCATCACATCACTTTGAAAAACTAGAACTGAAATAACCAGGGTGAATAACAACGGAGCGTTTAGTACTGTGCATGGGTGGTGATAAAACAATTGAGGGGGGGGCGGGAGGAATTGAATACGCAAAGAGGCGGTCAGCCCCCGTAAAACTACAACAGCTCCGTAAGGCTCCCCCCACCGCACCCCCATCAAACCAAATCCGGCCCGTGCTCTGGTACGGCGGTCAGTGCCGACGAACCTGAGTTCCCACGGTGATGTTGGTCATGGAGGCGACGCCGGCGCTCGTCTTGGACTTCTTGTTCTTGGCGCGTGCCTTCTCCAGCAGCTTCTTGCGCTGGCTGAATGGCACCACGCCCCTGCGGAGGCCAAAGCAGAGGTGCACGCAAGGCTGCAATGTCTCCGGATGTGGAACGTTGAACAGGTTTTACCCGACAGACTCAAATTTATTTTTCGCTTATTTTTCTGAATAAAACGCAATTCAGTAAAGGGTTGATGCCTGGCCTGGCTCGCTGGAATTTCTGGCAAGCTGCTACATGGATGAAAAACTATGTATATGCATCACAAATACTTCTCTACATTATACCGCACATTATAAACACATCTACAATGCATAAAATATATTTTTATGCAATTATTATATCTTAAATACAATGAAAGAGCATAACATTTTTTAAATCTACATTGCCGTTCCGTGTATTTGTGGAGCTGCGCTGTACTGCGTGGTATGGTTACGTACTCACCACTGGGGTGTATTGCCCTCCAAGAGGTAAACCACATGGCATCCTCATTTCAATAAACCCAGAAATAAAGTGAACAAAAAAATGAGAAAAGAAAATGCTAAAAAGGGAGAAAAAAATAACAATAAACCCTGAAAAGGTGTGAAAAAAATAACTGACAGTCTAACTCTAACACTAAGCAAAGGTACACCGCAAAGGAGCGGTAATGTGCTGCAAAGCAAGTGGCAGGCCGTGGGTACAAGGGTAACGCTTCCACGCCTGCTGGCGCTACCAGCATTGTCCTCTCGTGGCGCAAGAGGCTGCGTTGATTTATTTCATTATTTATCCAGCATTGGTGTGGCTTCATGAAGTCTGGCTAGCCGGGTTTTACTGTAATGTGGAAAAAATATATAAGTGACAGAGCGCCAAAGTGTGTGGTGTTGGATGGAACAGATTCCTGAGTTCCATACAACAAATAAGTACAGTACAGCAAGCAGCATTTCGAATTGCTAGTTAACAAATGCATGAATACTTTCAGTTTAATTATCATGGGACTGGTGGTCCGGTGGGAGATTTAAGATTTATTTATTTACTTTTGGACAACTCAAACTTTGGCTTCAAAAGGTTTTACACTGTGGGTTCCATCCAGATGTCCAAGTTAATTTAATCAGAATGTATCTATATATTTTAGTCGGTCTTTGTCTAGCCAACAAAATCCTGTGACAATTTAGTCCAGTCTGTGGACTTTTTCTAATCATTATTTTAGTCTAGTTGACTAAAGCAGTCTAAAAAGTAGCTCAATCTTTGTACTTAAATTAACCACGAACTACCATTCGTGTTCATTATTTCATTCTGAGCTTCTGCAGAATTTTCCTTTGGAATATATCATTGTGCTTAACTGCTTCACATAACCTTTATGTTTACGAGTTCAATTTTGTATCCTCCTATTCATTTATATTATCTCCATATACAATGGTCATATTAATATCGTCTTCATCAGAGCAGTCTTGCTCTAGCAGAGCGGCTCAAGTGCCACGTAGGGCTAAGTGCCTCTTCCGGGATAGGAGAACGAACCCATTCCAGTTAGGCACCTGGCAAGAGGCGGGACTAAATGTGCTCCCTTCACCAACACGCACTGACCAGCATGGTAAAACACGGCCAACTCTCCGCCATGACCGACCGCACCTAAACAATGCCCCCCCACCCCCTCCAAATTTCCAGCCGAACTGAATCCACCAGCTCACGGCACCAACTGGGTAGGTGAAGCAGAAACGTTGGAAGCTAAACATTGTAAAAGATCCAAAGTGTGACCTCGTTGCTTTGTTAAGGTGCACGATAAGTCTTCACTTAACAGGTATTCACAGTATTTTCACTAAAGTGTGGTTCTTAGGGAACACCTTTCAAACAACGCGGAACGCGCCCGTTATAACACAGAAGGCGCCCATTTTAACATGGTTTCTGAGTGGCCGACAATGAACTGCTTTCTTGCAGTTGCGCGGCCGAGCAGTTCGGTACAGTACGCGGAATGATACAGTACGCAGCGGCATACCCTCACAGTTCCTTGTCCCGCAATCTCAATGCGTGTGCGTAATTAGTATCTTGCCAAACTTTATGGTTACATTATTTACGGCGAAATCGTTTGTTCAATGCATTTTTCGCTTAACGCGGCGCTTTTAGGGAACGCATCTACCGTGTTAAATGAGGATTTACTGTACAACAGGGAGGGGGGGGGGAGTGCGTTGGCGTACCACCAGTGCAGCGAGCCCGACTCGAGCCGCACGCACGTGTACAGGGCGCAGCAGTGCAGCGACGCGATGCGGTCGCCCTGCAGCTCGGGGAAGAGCTGCGCTGTGTGCTCCAGCTTGCTCCCCACGGGCGTCAGGCTCTCGTCCATCCACGTGGCCACCTTGCCCGACTCCGTGGCGACGGAGGCGCGGATGCTGCTGGCCGACAGCAGCACCACCACCTCGCTGGCGAGCGCCAGCCCCGGCGCGCGCGGGTGGTGCACGGCCGGGTTCTGCAGGCGACACGGGAACGCGCGCGAATAAGCGCCGGAGAATGACTGACGGGACGGCAAAGGCAGGAGATCTATATATGTTCAACTTCTTTCGCACTGTACATAGCCAACCATGCTCATCGGAGGTTCAAGGAAAGAGGTACGGAGGCACACACAAACGATACAGTACACGGAGACCGCCACTGCAAGATTGATACAAGACAGTGAAGTATCTACAAATATCAAGGATGCCTACGTACGATCCCGAAAGAAGTTCAAAATACATAGCCATAATAACGTATGGGCAAAGTGATGTTAGTGAGTACCTAATATAGCCGGCACTGAAGATAACAACATGCCCAGCCACCTTTGTCTCTCCAGTGCTTGAATTTACACATTAAACTACTCATTTAAGTCCAAGTTGATCTCGAAGATGCCGCGCACCAATTAAGATTTCACTGTTAGTCAGAGCCAGGAATAGAATTCAGAACACGTAACTATATGAAAGAACACAGCTATAAAAGATGAAACAGGACACCCAAACACAAAATGACAGATGAGAGATGACACACACAAGCAAGGCTTGGAAACTTATACCAGAAACAACGCACACAAAGGGTAAAAAGGCATATTGACAAAAGACATCTGCACAGCAGACAAGTCAAACACACAAAGGATATACGCACATCCATAAAACAAAGATCCCCCTATTTAATAGACTAACGACAAGCTGTTAGCGAGTTCCTATGAAGGCTAGCACGGCACACAAGGTGGGTGGCCAGCACCACGCCAGATCGATCGCCTTGGTCTCCCCAGTGGCCATGTTTGCACACCACACGAGGTATTCATTTGAGGCCGAGTCAACCCAGGGACGGTCCAGGACCGGTTCAAATAATCGTCACTGGTGTTTTAGCCGAGTGGGAATCGAACCCAGATCGCAGTCTTCATACAGCACAACTGTTCCTCCCCTCGTACACACACACACTGCAATACACATACGCAAGACCACTGGACACACAAAGCACAAGTAGACACACGGAGATCGAGGTGAGCGTGCTGCATGCCTGTGCATTGCGGTAGGGTTCAGTCTCCGCCCACTTCCACTGGTAGAGCTCCCCCTTGCTGCTCACGGCCACGAGCTCCGAGAAGAGCGCTCCGATGAGCACAAAGCGTGGGGCGCCGTCCTAACGGGACGAGAACACACACAAGCACGCATACATATAGATGACGCAAAGCGTTGGCGCAAGCGCTGTCAGCGAGCACGTGCCGATACACGCACACGTATACATTTACTCGGGTAAGCATATATGCACAGACATGTACAAATGCAAATTAACATATACAAACACCCCCAGTGTAGCCTTAGCAGACTGTTGGAGCAAGTGCTGTAAAAGCGGTCACCGATGAAGGCCGACACTGCACGCTTAGGGGGTGGTGTGGGAAGGACTACGCCTAGTCACCAGTCCCAATCGTTGCACAGCGCAGCTGGCACTCAACGAAGGCCGAGCCAATCCAGGCTTGTTCCCTGCGCTGCCGTACCTTCTCGTGCCACCACTGTAGCTCTTCCCCGAGCGACACAGGGCTCTGCGCGCCGTGCGCTCCGTGCTTCTTGTCTGCAGCGGCCGCAGCGGCAGCGGCCGCTGCGGCAACGGCGGCGGCCGCGGCGGCCGCGGCGGCCGAGTCGGCGTCGCGACCTCCGACGGCGCCACCCGCCCGCTCGCTGTCGAAGGACGCGCCGTCGAGCCAGCGGCGCTCACGCAGGCGCAGCACCGATTCGCGCTCCCGCAGGAGCTCCGAGTCGCGCTCTAGAGGAAGAAGAAGAACTGGTATGCGGGGGCGGTCACACCAGTGGGAGAGTTCAGGGTCAGCCGCCACACGGGCCACGCGCAAGCAAGCAGGCAAGCAGCACTCAAGTGTCTCCGTCAAGGGACCGTCCGCCCCTAGTCAGTCTACCTGCTGCTGCGTCTCCATTTGATAGTAGGCGAGTGTTTATGCGGGCGGCGAATTTGAGCCCAGGTTGTGTTCATCCGTTGATTTGTTGGTTGGCCTCGGTGGATTAAAAAGGAAATGTATGTTTACTCAGGGAGGCCTTTTGGTTTTCTCATGATTTTGAGAAGGATCCTGTGTTGGGATATATAAAAACGTTCCACTGGCTGTGAATCAAATTGCCATACTGCCATGTCCTGGCTGGCATACAAATCTAAGTAATCCACCAATGATTTCCTCCCTGAGCACTGGGTAAGAGAGATGTGCATCGCCATGCCTGGCCACGTTCACCGAGCTTGCGTTGTTTGTGCTCACGGAGTTTGTCAAAGGCATACCGCGATCTCTTTTCTGTACACTAAGCAAGGGAGTTAAGAGTTATTTTTATTTATGCTTTCTACTTCCTGAATGGTGGGGACACCACCACGTGTAACGTGCAGAGAATATAGAATCACACTTCTTGTCGCATCTTTATGACTAATGTATACAACACCTATCAGTGTGCCCATTTGATTTATTTCCTGATGTTCACACAACTTACTTGCTGCAATTGTAAATCTGCCAGAGTTGTTTTCTTTACTTATGTGGGTGTTTTAGTTTCATAAGTGCCAATGAACAAAGGCATTCAAGTATTGGTTGTAACTTTGCTCATGTTAATGTGGCAAACTAACATGTCAGGAGGTGCTGCAAGTCCTCTGTGCGGGTGGGGGATCATGTTGAGATGTGTGAAAATCCAAATCCGTCCAGGTTGTGAAGTGGCCACAATATTGCGGGACAGCAAGTGGGTGTGAACCGTTGAGCGATAGCCCCTCGGTGTATGGTGCATTTTCTCTCGGTATACCAATTTTCTCCTATATGCAAAACATTGCCTGTAAAAGAAATGGCTAAACAATATGGAACCACCTTGACAAGTAGTCTTGAGACTCTGTAAGGCGTTGCTGGATAAACAAACGATGGTTGTCCGAAATTTAAGCTGGTGGCCAACTAGTGGAGGTAAAAAATAATGTAGCTTAAGATCAAAGAGAATACAAATGTGCCGACCTAAATATTTTACTTTTAAGGCAGTGTAATTGATGTGTCAAGGTTTTCGTTACATCTGTCACCTCAACTTGCTTCTCAAGTGGGTTTTATTTTAATTCAAAACAAAGTTTTCTACAGATGTGCATCTCCAACTATTGCAACTCGTCAACGCACACACCTTGCATCTTACAATTAAAAATATACCTTCAAGAGCATGTGGTCTGAACTGTCCCACAACATTGCTAAATAAACTGTATTTAAATGTCCGCAGAGCTGTAAATGATGACCAAACACAATGCACAACTGTTACCGAGTCTCCATACCGAGTTTGTCAATGTCGGTCATAAACATTATCGTAATAGTAGTCTTCATGATCAACCTAACCTACCATCCAAAGCCACCTTTATGGCTATCAATCATTAATCATCACCATCCCCATCATATCAATCAGCAATTATTCAAGTGACCACGAGCCATCGTTACCATCAGCATCACGGCTATCATGATCATCATAATCACAAAGCATCGACACAATCAATCATGAGCACCATAATTATCGATTAAAGATTTAACAAACAGAATCACCAAGGCATATAAACAAAACTGAACTTGTAAAAGAGTTGAGCATCCTATCTGATCGCAAGAAGAAATCAGAGTCTCAACATTCTCTTTCAAACCAGGCCAGCAATGACAAAGACAAAGATCCCGTCAGAGCAGGAGGCTGGCACACACTGTGGTCCAACACAGTCAAGACACCGTTTAAAAATCTCATTGTGACCGTTTCCCTCGAACTGTTGTTTATCATAGCACACCATGGATAGATTGCGAGCGGTCTCCGTTAATCCCACGAAAAACTAGGGCAAGTTTAGGCAATCGCCTCCGGCAATTGTTTCGAGCAAGTTGATGCAACAATATTTTCTATCGCACTAAAATTACGTGCCCAAACGTAGACTAATATGATCACTGCTCCCCCTAGTGTGAAACTGCAGCAGCTTCCAATCAGATCGCAGAGGTCCGTGACAAGAGGTCTGTGATCAGAGGTTGTGTGCTCTTCTTTTTAAGGACAGGTATCTGAAGTAACTGATCATTTGAAGCACAGGTGGGATCTAGACAGATGAAAATGGAATATCGTATTAATAATTGCTCACAGGCAACATTATTTGTTAAATATTTCATTAATCAAAGTCACTGTGGCACCGACCAGCTAACATTGATAAATGCACTGTCAGTGACAACTGCCAGCAACCACCATAACATTGTCCTGGTATTACATTTACATGTATATATCTCATGGCCTGTATGGAGGGGTGTGCAGATACCCGATGGAGAATTCCATGGGTCAGGGGGTCACAGGGCTGAAGGGTGTCCTACCTCGGGATCCGAGTCGGGAGAGCGCTGAGCGACGGAAAGACGGGTATCCGAAGTAACTGATGTCGTCCGAGAACATGGCATCGGCGTCGATGATGACGCTTGGGTGCGCCAAGTGCATATCCGCGTCCAACAAGGACATCAGGTCCTCTGTTGCGCAAACATAAGCACACACGTGCACACACACACGAAAAGGAGGGGAGTGCAGAATCAAGTTGGACTTTGCGTCCGTCCATACACAGGAAAATCGCACGTACTACTGTGACCTAACGCATTTATTATACACTTTTTCATGCAAGAAATAAGAGAACAAAACACCACAACGCCCAAGAACGAACAATGACCACTTCACATTGTAATTTAACAAGGTTATGGAACAAGTATTTTTTTTAATTACTCATGGAGCTTTAGAATGACTTTAGTTCAAGAGTGACCCGTGCAACATTAGTCGCGGAGCAGAGCAAATGTCACCACCGTGATTATTAATGGTGCCTTATAACAAACATAGAGTACTGTAACGTTTCAGGCAAAGGCCACAGCAGGCAGCACAGATGTTTTAGCAGAGTAATGCACTCCTTCAGCAAATCCGCACCGCCCGTTTTCAACTGCAATATAAACAGTCAATTCGTTTATTAGATTTGGCAACCTCGGACCGGTTTCGACTTCACCAAGCCTCATCAGTAAAGAGGGGAGGGGGGACACTCAAAAACCAATGCCACTTGTTTCCCCAATCTCATGGGCTGTGGCCTCAAGAGCAACTCATCTGGAACACGGCCCAGAGGTGATTAAGTTCAATGTAATTTTCTCTCCTGTGATCAAACAAACAAACCCCCCCCCCCTCTTTACATAATTCATAGATGGGGAAAGCGAAAGAAAGTTAACTTTGAGCCCAATTCATGTGTTGGTAGAAAGGACATCTTCCGCCAATATTTGGATTTTCCAAAAGGCCACAATGAAGCTATTTTCTGCCAACTGCAACAACCAAAAAGATTTTATCTTGTGTATAAATATACACATGCACAACTGGGCTGTGTCCCAAACGATAGACACAAGTTTGAAACTATGTAAAAAAATTATATTTTATGGTCAAGCGTGCCACCATGGTGCTCCAATTATGTACAGCAGTGGCACAGCAGCAATGCCACCAGTCTGCCATCGCTACATCTGAAACCACATTTATAAGGTCTCCATTTATTCTGCAGCTTCTGCCAACATCCTGATCGCTATTAAGAGCTGCTTTCATCTGGTAGATATAATCTATGTGCTGCTATTAGGTTGCATTATGTTTTATGCCAAATATTAGCGGAGATTTCCGTAAAATCAGCCGAATCTTCAGGGGGTTTGTGCTGCATGTTTCCCCCGGGAGCGCAGACGGGCTCGCACGCACGCACGCACGCACGCGCGATACTCACCGCCCGGGAGGTAGGACTCACTGGCAGTGTCATCGCCATCATCGCCGTCATCGTCGTCCCGGCTCAGCAGGTTGTTGACGGCGAGGTTCACGTCCAGGTTTGTCCTCTGCAGTTCACGGATAATGACGTTGCGCGACTTCCCCTGTAATACCATTTGTGCCTGTGTGGGGGAGGGGAGGGCATGAAGCGAGGGAGGTGGGAATAGTAGGATGGACGCAGTGGTGGAAAGGGAGTGGGGGAGCAAGGGAAGGATGGAAGGATGGGGATGGAGAGATGAGAATGGGAGGGATAGGGTTAACATGCAGTCCAACCTGAAAATACATCAGAGAGAAACTGGGATGGCCGCTTGCAATCAGATCTGAGGTCACATGACTACTATTGACGATTGCCCTGAAGTTTCTGAAGTGTATGATCGCCTTTAGAATGTACTAAATCCCGCACGAATGTGGCTCAAGGAAAACGCAATAAATAAATGTGAAAACCGGCAGACCACAGCAAGAGAGGAATAGTGGGAGAAACCGAGCACGAGGCGGTGAGAGAATGCGAACTAGAGGAAGAGAAAGAGAGACAGAGGAAACAAGGGAGAGCACAAGAACGAGAGAGACTGCGATAGAAAGAGTGAGAGGAAGAGAAACACAGCGAGAGAAAACGAAAGCTTGAGTCCGTGAAAGAGCAGAAGAAAGAATAGATGGAAAAAGAAACAGTGCAATGGAAAAACCGAGTGTGAGAGAGGAAGAAGCGAGTGTGAGAAGCGAGTGTGAGAGAGGGGGAGAAGCGAGTGTGAGAGAGGAAGGAGCGAGTGTGAGAAGCGAGTGTGAGAGAGGAAGGAGCGAGTGTGAGAAGCGAGTGTGAGAGAGGAAGAAGCGAGTGTGAGAAGCGAGTGTGAGAGAGGAAGAAGCGAGTGTGAGAGAGGAAGAAGCGAGTGTGAGAGAGGAAGAAGCGAGTGTGAGAGAGGAAGAAGCGAGTGTGAGAGAGGAAGAAGCGAGTGTGAGAAGCGAGTGTGAGAGAGGAAGAAGCGAGTGTGAGAAGCGAGTGTGAGAGAGGAAGAAGCGAGTGTGAGAAGCGAGTGTGAGAGAGGAAGAAGCGAGTGTGAGAAGCGAGTGTGAGAGAGGAAGAAGCGAGTGTGAGAGAGGAAGAAGCGAGTGTGAGAGAGGGAGAAGCGAGTGTGAGAGAGGAAGGAGCGAGTGTGAGAAGCGAGTGTGAAAGAGGAAGAAGCGAGTGTGAGAGAGGAAGAAGCGAGTGTGAGAAGCGAGTGTGAAAGAGGAAGGAGCGAGTGTGAGAAGCGAGTGTGAGAGGAAGGAGCGAGTGTGAGAGGAAGGAGCGAGTGTGAGAGTGGAAGAAGCGAGTGTGAGAGAGGAAGAAGCGAGTGTGAGAAGCGAGTGTGAGAGAGGAAGAAGCGAGTGTGAGAGAGGAAGGAGCGAGTGTGAGAGAGGAAAAAGTGAGTGTGAGAAGCGAGTGTAAGAGAGGAAGGAGCGAGTGTGGGCCGGCTGGAGACGCGTGCGAACACGTCCGACCTGTGAGATGAGCTCCTCGGGGATGGCGGAGGCCGGCACGACGGGCTGGCTGCCCAGCAGGGCCGAGCTGCGGTCGCGCCCCGTGCGGATCACCCGCGTCTGCCGCCGCGAGTCACGTGCTGCCGCAGACGAGCGGCCCGACGTGCCGCCCACTCCTGAGCTCCACCGCCTAAACAGGGGACACGTCCATCACTGTCATCGTCGTCGTTTTTGTCATCTTCACCATCGTTGTCGTCCTCGTCATCATCGTTTGGCATATGACGTCCTCAGCGATTCATATTTATTAGAATACTTTTCAACAGCGGACCACACATCGTAGTCAATGTTGCCATTAGGCTTGTAACATGGACACACTACGCGGATGAGAATCCAAAAGTTAAAACCGGTCCAAGATGTCACATTTATCAAGTGGAAAACAATGGCAAGACTGAAGGACCTCAACGCTATTTTATAGTATTTTCCAGTGGCATCTTTAATATATCATTAATTATATCCTTACTAATTATAACTTATAATCTACAGCCTTGGCCAATTCACTTTTTGAAGGCCTCCTCATGCTGTACCTGTCATGGGGTTGTTGGACCACACTTCACCACGTTGATTAGAGCGGGTTCGTGAAGGGACAATATTAAACGGGTTTCTAGCATAGTGCACTGAAAAACTAGGCACTGTGCAGCCCCCCACCCCCCACTATTATATTCAACTCATCAATGAAGGATTATCATGAATAACTAATTTGTCTGAATAAGCTCCACAGCACCAACAGTAATGATGAGTGCCAGGGCTGGGTTACCCGAGGGGGTGTCCAGCAAGCCGGCCCAGAGAGTCCGACCCCGACAGAAGCCACGGAGATTCGTTGTTTCGACCGAGGCGAGACGAACGCCCGGCACCAGGGGCCCCACTCGGCTTAGAACTGACCACACACGCACGCATGCACACAGCAACAAGTGCAGCATCCAGACACACACGTGCACACATGTATACAGACACGTACACACATGCCAACACACACGGATATACAGACACATACCACGCATGCAGACACACCCTCAGAGCACACGGAATACATATACACAAACACCCAAGCGCAGACACATGCACACGGGCAGAGAAAAGGGAGGAGAGACACCAGAGGGAACACTTTCACTGAAATGGCGTGCGCGGAGATTGCGACGCAGTGCCAAGGAATTCCCGCTGCCGATGAAACCGCTTGGCTGGGCGAACGGTTTTCCAGTGACAAGCGGAAAGCCTGGCAGGACACGCCGGTGGTCCCGTCTCAACGGGGCATCGCGCACGATGCACGTGTCCGCCGTGCACGTGTGTGTGTTACAGCGCCGATAAGGGAAAGGTGAAAACGTGCTGGGCACATTCGCAACAGGCCAACGCTGTCAAAGGGCATCCCACACCGCCGTGGAATAATGTGTGTGGGGGGAACTGGGATAAAAAGGGTGGGAATATTCTGAGTTATGGTGGTCAGGGGTCATATGCACAAATCAAACTATCAACCCCGTTAACACAAAAAGTTATATTCTAGGCTGAAGTATCGGCCAGTAGCCACCCTTCCACAGCATTGAGAAGGCAAAGCGAACGGCTGATATAGATGGATATTATGCAAAGAAAATTTAAAATTTCTAAGTGAACACAAAGTGCTTTCTACTAGTGTTAATAATTTACTATGAGTAGACAGAGAATTAACAAAACACTTTCAAAATTAAATCACTTTCAATCAAAAGTAACAGTATTCAATTATGCATTTTGAGATTTTTTTTTAATATACTTTAGTGCTTGTGAACCACTGGCAAAGCAGCTCCTTAATTTTCTGTGAGAGTGAAAATACATCACAGCTGACGAATGGCAGCTCAGATGACCACACGCCTATACCACATGCCTACTGAGTTCATGCACTCTGAGCTGTTGGTATGCGACAATGCATGGGGAGCTGCGTGTGTTTGGAGTCGCATTGCCCTTTAAGGGCTGATGAGGTGCGAGGGAGGGCGAGCGTGCGAGAGAGGTGAGTGCAGCGAGGTGCGAGGGGGAGGGAGGCTAGCGACTGCGGGCGTGAGAAAGTGCAGGACCAAACCTGGTGAGCGAGCACTTTAGCAAGGGGGTGAGAGCGAGGGCGGTGAGCTAATGCAGTGAGTAAGTGAGCTTGCATATGAGCAAGGGTGATGAGCGAGGCCGGTGAGCGAGTGTGGCGAGGGAGTGAGTGCGCGAGTGAGCCTACCCCTCCGAGCTGTCCGGCTTTCCAAGCTCCAGCCGCTCGGGGTGGATGGAGAAAGAGATCCGGCAAACGCGTCCATCCTGCGGTGGGGAGGGGGAACATGAGCATGTGCGAGGGAGGGAGTGAGGAACGATGGGAGAAATGGACGAGGAGATGGAGAAGCAAGATGTGGAGTTCAAGGGGGGAGAGTGATGGAGGGAGATGGGGAGATCGAGGGAAAGGTGAGATGAGAGAACCAGGAGGGGGACGGGATTTGATCAGGGGTAGGGGTAGAGACAAGCAGGTGACGAGGGAGAATATGTTGGGGAGCCAATAAGGAAATGCGAGTGAAGACAAGAAGAGATGTGGGGAGAAGAGGGGGAGATAAGGAGACAGGTAGGAGAGGAGTGAAGGCGATTCGATTTCTGTAGCCACTGCTTGGGAGTTCCACAACCAGGGGCACCCGTAGGGAGTTCCACAACTGGGTGACCACCACAAGAACATAACTGAGATCGAGTTCAAGGTTCACAAACATCCTGCCAGCCAAAACATTGCACATTCTTTGTCAGCGAGTCATCCTTGCTCTTTTATAATGGGAGGCTGCTTATTGCTATGCCTGGGAAATATCATGTCTTTTTCTCCAAGAACAAATCATGTTTTCACAAAACCATAAAGGACAAAATTCACCACATAGCTGACCAACACCAATGCCCAGGTGTTAATTGTTTTGTAGTGTCAAAATAAATATTTAAAGAAAATCTCTTTTTTTATCTTCAAAGTGTAATGCCGTGTCGTGTACCAAGACAATTATGAGCTGTGCATTTAAACGCTAGCGCGTAGGTGGGAGCACACTTATTTTTAATGCATGATCATTTGTGCGCTCAAACCCCTAAACAAAAGAAATGTTTCGTTAATGGCCTCCTTTGTCAGCGTGCATGTTATTTTGTCCGAAAGCTCTTACCTCCAAGAGGAACGCGGCATGATTGGGTCCAACGACACACTGCTTGATCGGGGACTGCTCCAGACAGCTGAGCGCATGATGGCTGTAAAACCAAAATAACAATTCCCATTAACCTACACCCTGTTTTAACGGTTGAGAGCAAACAGACATGCATTGACTCGTGCCACAAGTAGCTTTAGTTTGACAATACAGCTATGGATTCTTCAAGCTATCTGTACAGAGCATTGAGTATTAACCTCTGGTATGCTTATGTTTTCTCCAATATGCAAAAAAAACAATTATTCAAAAGCAAAACACATTGCCTGACCCCAAAAAATCTATTATGAATCAATTATTCAAGGAATTGCCAAAATATCCCAGTTAAAAACACTCCTAAAAAAGTCGACTTGTTTCAGTTTTTGTGGTATTAAATAATGGGAACTTTTAGCCAAAAGTGAGATGCAACTATGAGATTCAAGGCTTTGGATTACAACAGTGACAAAAAGCGTACATGAGTGTTTTGCATAAAAAAATACCCAGGACACCCTCGGGTTGCTATCGAAAACCAGTGGTCGTTTGTGCGTCTCGATTGCGGATGCTACAACCTTCACTTCCGGTTTTTCCGACTTGGGTGACCTATGCAGGTGGCTTCATTAAGAAACTGGCACGATTTGGCAGTGGCCTCATTATCAGTGCTTTCTTCCCAGAAGAGCTGGTCTGGCAGGATACCAGAACTGTTGGCACTGTTGTCTTCAGACTTCATGTTAAAATGTATCTGAGAGTTTTATTCCTAGCCATGACTAAAATCAGTGGTCAAGTAAATCTGAAACTATCCAACCACACTTGGAGAAGCAAGAACTATGGTCAAACAACACACAAGATCAATAGTGTGAAGCCTCTATCCAGCAGTGGAAATACAAAGGATTGTACATTGTTACTATTCACTTAATATAACCATAAGCATGGGCAATGAACATACTTTTTTTAAAGGGTGGACAAGTCAACTGAGCAGGCATGGCAAGCAGGAGGTAACAACCGGCTACCCTTTTTGCATACACTCCAAATCACAATAGGAGGCCCCCAGCTTCATAAAAAAGTTATTTATAAAACAGGCAAGGCATGTGGTTGTGCAGGGACTATTTAAATGTGTGCATGTGGCAAGCACTTGCCTCACAGACGAAGACTTGGTCAGTTTATCTGACACCTCCCTCAACCTGAAAATACACACACAACGCATGGGAAGGCTGGCACGGCAAAAGTGCTTCACTCAGAAATTAATTTCAGTCAGGTGTGTCTGGGTTGGTGAGCCAGGAAATATGTGCATCTGACAAACCACATTCATAATACCTCTTGCTATGGATATGGCTAGTAGCAATATACCTACTCCAGGCCTAGCAGCAAACTAAAATATTCCGGGAGAAATTAAGGCTTGGTTGTACTTATTGTTATGACATATGGTTGATTTACGGCACAGGCCGAGTAACACCTTAATGATTAATGACAGAAACCTAGCCTGAACATCTATGAGCTTTATAGCTCATCGGATTCCTCCAGCATAAATAAACATTCTGATCCTGATAGCCTGGTGTGGTGGTGGCTCGAGCACATTCCCTCCAAATTGGAAGCCATGAGCTCATATTCCAGTTTTGGGTCAACTCCGTTGTGGCGAGATGTCATCTCCCTGGCATGGTATGCAGGCATGGGTTTGATCCTGGATCCTGACGATCCCTGTATATTTGGAGTTTGCATGATCTCTCCCCAATGGTTGCACAGATTTTTCTCCAGGTCCTCCAGTTTTGCCCTCCACATTTAGAAATGTGCTGCTCTGAATTCTCACATATGATATAAGCCACTTCAATAAGCTATTATGTGTGGCCAGTCACCTCTGAAAAATATATAATAGACCATTGGGCTTTTCCTGGTAAATTAAAAATTTAGTTTATCTTGGTTCATGGTCCATCCATCGTTTATAAGATGATTACTCACTTTGTGGGAATCAAGTGGTTAAATGGAATGGATCGCAATATGGAAATTCCACAAGGAAAGGGCTAAACACAGGAGATTAGCTCCACTCACAGTAATCCCAACTGGGAAACCAATTACTTTTTGAAGAACAGAAATTTATTTCAACAGTATTAGGAAAGGACCTTCTTTAGAGGGCACTTAGAAAATAATGACCGAGTTTTAGGATAGTAATTTTGTAACATGTTGCAAAAACCCTAGAATTCAGAGAATGAACACATTTATATGAAAATGTTTTAGTACAACCAGGGCAAATGCACAAATAGTGGCATTGAAAGCCAGAAATGGGGTTAGACAATGTTTAGCAAGATTAAACGACTGACGTCAGAATATTTATCTATTAAGCATGGAAAGCATGTGGTTAGGAAGACCTGAGAAAACGTTATCATTGTAAAGTCAGATTAAACATTTAAACAAGGTGACGAGATGGCCTATTGAGACCAAAAGTCCAATTTTAAGGTAGACCCACATTACAAATGGTATATAGGCTAAAAAAACAGCACATAGGGCAAGTAAACATGTTTCTACTCAGCCATGTTTAGGGTTTTTTTGTCACATTTGGGCTCTGACAACACACTTGTGGCCAATGATTAAAAACGATGACTTGGCTATCTTTAAACTCCACTGCCCCACTGCAAGGTGGACATCGGTGATTTCCCCGCAGAATTTACTCGGGCTGAAGAAGCAGGAACTCAATCACTAAATCGTGACATATACTCAGTGTCATCTGCTCCATGAGCAGATGAACATCGGTAAGGCAGTTTCTCATCTCTCTTCTCAAACAGACGACCACCGATTTATTAATACGGTGTAAGCTGCTCAAGTGGGAAAGAGGCTCAACACAATCACTACGGTGATGATATCCATATGTATGTTTAATGAGGTCATGAAATGACCTGGGGTTGTCAATTTAATAATTTACCATTGTGAGCTAGGTTATGTACATATATAACTGGGTGTCCATTTCGAAGAAGGCTTAAGCTGAACACTCTTAAAATGAGCCAAAGGTGTCAATAGAGCAGTGAGCAAACGATCATGCATATATCAAGTTCGAACCTATTCAGAAAGTATATATTTTTAAGACAAGTTGAACACAATCCTAAAATAAGCAGGTATTGATTTAATACGAGGAAGGTAAAGTTGTTATGCATATTTGACCAGGTGAAATCGCATTGAGAAAGTCTCTTTTTACAATTAAGACTAAGGTAAAAGTGCAGCACTGCAATTACTTGCTAATGTTGTCTATTTAGCCTACTCTTCTATTCTGGCAAACAGTCTTGGAAGAAGTGTAAATACCCACATTTGCCCCTATAAACTGTGAACTGCCGTTCCATTTAATGTGGGGTACCCATTGATACTGCAGAGTGGACAGAGGCAGGGAAATTAAAGAAACTTGCACCATTGTTTCAACTGCCTCGTTAGGACGTGGAATTGAACCGGTAAACTCTGCTAGTTCAGTGTGCTAACCATTACACAGCTTCTGATAAAGGAAGTGTTAAATCAGATTGTTAAAATTGCTGGCGCTGCATTTTTATTGTAATGAGGGCTTTAAGGGGGGGGGGGGGGAACAACTATTTTGAGCTGAACACTTGTCCCAGATGCCTATTTAGAGAAGTCACAGCAGCGTGATGTTATGTACTTATCCAGGAAAGCCTCACCAAGTCCGTTGACTTTTTCAGGATAATCCTGCATTGATAGGAATGCTGGACCATTCAATTTTAAATATTTTTGTTAACGAGCTCTGTGTCTGCGTGTACACGGTGAAAACTAATCACACGCATGCCAGGGAATGATGCACAAAGGTCGGCAAAGACGCCTCTAGATTTTACATCATTTGGAACCCCTTACGTAACCAAACGGGTTTACAGATGTAAACCAAAAAACTAATGTTATATACGCGCTGGCTGTTCCGTTAAAGAGATACATATTTTAAACGGCTAAGCAGGTATAATGATGGGGACTTCACCGACACCATTCCGATCAATTTAACACGTCAATACAGTGGCGTTCAGAGGGTGTAACTTAGGAGTATTTCTGCTGAGTAACGAAGCTTCAAAATCATGGACGCCAACCTGGTGGATCCACAAGAGGTCAATCTACAAGAGGTGAATCTACAAGGGTTGTTTCCTGAGCTGTCTTGCATTAACATCGATGCTTCTGCAAAACTCAGTGAAATTAGGTCTTTGAATATTATCCCTTCGTTTGCGTTGATGATTTTATCTCGGTGGTCCAGCTTCAATGTCCACCTCTCTGATCCATGCGGTGTAGACCAAATGCGCAAACTACCCAACAATTAATCAAGGATGCAATGCATATATAAATAATGGGTGACTTAATTCAAAAGGAGGTATAACGTGCAGCAACGTGATGAGGGTGTGTAGATTTGTCAGTGGAGTGAGAAAAATAGATACGCGTCTAATCCAATTTTCAGCCAGCAAAGACGGAAAAATAATGAATACATTTCATATGTTAGAGAAAATGGGAAATGGGCGTGGATACGACAAAAGTATTACATTTGGAACGAGATTAACTTGAATATAACCGACAAACCTCAGATTGTCACAGGCCTGTCCTAAATTTGTTTTAATAAATCGATGCAAGTTGCACTGCACTTCAACATAGCCAAACTGTGTTAAAGCAAAACCATGTTAAAATTAAAAGTGTAAGCGGGTTTTTTGGGCTAACTCTTAGATTCAAAATTGACACGGAGGTCTCCACCTTCAATAATTAATTACGAAATGCTAATTCACAAATGGTAGCCCAAGGGGATAAAGATGGGACAATGCAAAATATAGATAATTAAATAACGAGGGTATATGTTGTACGCAGATCTCTAAACCTAAAATCATATTGCACCAGAATGAGACAGTCTTTGGTATTAAAGGGAAGTTCTAAATGTCATACGAAGCAGCAATTACACATTTCCTACGATTAAAAAAGGTTATAAAAAAGGGTTTTGTGTGCACTCCCTTATTCCATACGGATCAGAAACATGGTCATAGACGAAAACTGAACGACATTTAAGCACGCAAAGCATGGGGTAGAAGCAGCTTTGCAATCACACCGAAACGGAGGAACGTATATGGGATCGGAGTAAACGCTAATGTTCAAGTAAAATTGGCTTGGTAAAGAAGAAGGATGGAGCGAGTGGAACGCCAAGGGGCGGAACGCGTCCGGGAGGACGTTGGCTGACAGTTTCAAGGCGATTTAATCATCTCGACGCGCCGGCTGAATTGCTGCAACGCAGGATGGCGAGAGAATGCGACCGCCTCATGCAGCACTGGAGACGTATCCCTGTTTACTGCGTGTATTCCGAGACGGAACGAACGGGTGGGATTCACGAGCAGAATTTTTTTTTAAAAACAAGATTATATAGCCTCGCGGGACCACGAAGAATGGCGACAGCATGTGGAGGCCTTCGTCGAGCAGTTAATAGACCATGGACTCAAGGACGAATGTTGAATCCGGATTCACAACTACGCGCGGCAGCAAAACACCGACGACCGATAGCATTCAATCCCCAGTCGCATCGTCAAGTCGCGCGTCCATTAATCAACGCGAGCTCGGTCCAGCTCTTACACCAGCTCCCGAGCGCTTTCCTGGGCAACTCCGCCGGGCTGGGGACAAGCAAACCCAGCGAGGCCGCTCAGGCAAGACGGGCGAGAGCGCGAGACTGTGCCCAAAGGCCTCAAGCCGTAAAGGCGGCCGCCCTCGCACTTGCACTTCGGCCTCCTCCGTCCGAGCGCTCACCGGTCGTACAGCTGATCCTCGGTGCCCGGCAGCGGGTGCACAACGAAGTGAACGGACGTCATGGTGAGTTTAAAGCGGGGCGGACGAGGCCACGCGATGGCGGCCACTCTCGTCTTAGCCCAACGCCATTAAGCAAGCAAACGCCAGCTCGACCCGCGCGGATGAAACGGCGGCTCCTATTGGCTGCCGGGGCCGGTCAGGGGCGTGGAAATGTAACGCGAGGCACGATTGGTCGAGACGCCAGCCCCCCGTGCGGCGAGGTGTTGGGGGGGGATCACGGCTCTACCTCATTGGCCGGTGGCGGCGCCGGCTTGCTCGGTCTGCGGTGCATGGCGACGCGACGTTGTGATTGGGTGAAGAGGCAATCGGGGAGAGCGGCGATACCCATTGGTTTGCTTGCCAGCCTCTTGGCACGAGTAGAGGAAGGGGGGGGCGCGTTGTGATTGGGCGTGGCAAGCCGACGCGGGCTTGCTTGTGGGCACGTACGGCGAGCTTTTGATTGGCTTTGAAGGGGGCGGCGGGGGGGGCGATCGGCGTGATTGGCAAAGGAACGCGATTGGTTGATTCTGCAAGGCGAGGGTTGGAACGTCAGGGCGGCGATCTATTGGATGATATCTACGGGGGGCGGGCGTGCGTGGGATGGTAACGCGAGTGGTGATTGGACGAGATGAACGCCGTCACGAGCCCCCGTGAGTTGGGTTGCCCGTGTTACCGTGGCAACGCTCTCAGTGCTCACAGCGAGCAACTTCCTCTTCGTGTCTCCAATCCGAACCTCCTACAGTGTTATTGGTCTCTTCCCAATAGTCTTGCACAGGTGTTGGCATTGTCAAATCTTGAGGAGCGCATTGTGGTGCTTTGCAGGGCATCTCGGGAGATGATGCATGGTTTGTTTCTAACAAAGCGCATTGTGCCACACTGTGCCAAGCACATTGTGCCACCTAACAAAGCACATTGTGCCTTGTTAGCTTGCGCAGAAGATCTGCCGAAACCCACTCTCTGCGCCATGCGAGCCATTGGGAATTGGAGCCAGATGCGACCTCCTGACTCACTGGGGAAGATTTCTCGCCGGCTCCATTCAGCAGTTTCGTCACTTAATTTTTTCCCGATTCCTTTTGCCAGAGTGAGCAGCAACATCAAGGCACTTTTAAAAACCACGCACGTACTCACGGCCACTGACAATAAAATACTGGACACAATCACACTGCGGTGTGCGACAAACAGTGGCGCTCTTCCATAATAAAGGTCTTTTTTTTAGGGGTTAGATCGCGTCAATATAAATGTGTCGTCGTTAAACCCGCCACCACCCGACACAGCCAATTAGTAAGATCCGTCACGTAAACAAAACATGTCAATTCGTTACGAGTACAGCACACCGGTGTGCTGGAGAGTAAACCCACTACAGCATTTGCAATTCGAGTACGACGTTTCGCCAGTAATTCCAACTAGCATTATCAGGTGGCAGCCAGATTTGTGGAGAAATCTCGTGGCTCTTGTTTGCATTACAAACGTTTATCCGATCACTTGTTGATCAACAAATACAAATGGGCACGAGTAAGGTGGCCCACATTTTCCACTGGTGATCAAATCCGGACGTATTTCTCAATCAGCGCGTGGTCTATTACCAAAACTGCGTAGTCTCCTCTAATTAAGGTCAACCCAATGACGGAAACCAGATCTCGGCACAAATTAATTCCTGCTGTCACCCTAACACAGATGACGCCAACTCAGAACCAGAATATTTATACTGGAGGAATCCGATGAGCTATAAAGCTCTCCCCCCCACCCCCTCACACACAGATTTCCAACAGGGGGAGGTCAGAAAGTTGCAGATGGCAACTCTTGTCAAGCCCAATAAAAAAGCGTAATTCGTATACGTTAGTACATGTGTAGAGGGGCGTGTATGGGCTATGTGTAGCGACGTAAACGGAGTGTGTCCACTTAGCTGTAGGGGCTGACACAGTCCAGCAGGGGCAGTCGCAATATCCCTAGCCCCGGAGCAGGAGGGGGCTGTGGGGTGTCCTGTGATCCCCCGGGGCCCTCCCAACGGGAGGGGGCTGTGGGGTGTCCTGTGATCCCCCGGGGGCCCTCCCAACGGGTGGGGGTTGTGGGGTGTCCTGTGATCCCCCGGGGGCCCTCCCAACGGGAGGGGGCTGTGGGGTGTCCTGTGATCCCCCGGGGCCCTCCCAACGGGAGGGGGCTGTGGGGTGTCCTGTGATCCCCCGAGGGCCCTCCCAACGGGTGGGGGGTGTGGGGTGTCCTGTGATCCCCCGGGGCCCTCCCAACGGGAGGGGGCTGTGGGGTGTCCTGGGATCCCCCGGGGGCCCTCCCAACGGGTGGGGGCTGTGGGGTGTCCTGTGATCCCCCGGGCCCCCCCCCAACGGGTGGGGGCTGTGGGGTGTCCTGGGATCCCCCGGGGGCCCTCCCAACGGGTGGGGGCTGTGGGGTGTCCTGTGATCCCCCGGGACCCTCCCAACGGGAGGGGGCTGTGGGGTGTCCTGTGATCCCCCGGGGCCCTCCCAACGGGAGGGGGCTGTGGGGTGTCCTGGGATCCCCCGGGGCCCTCCCAACGGGTGGGGGCTGTGGGGTGTCCTGGGATCCCCCGGGGGCCCTCCCAACGGGTGGGGGCTGTGGGGTGTCCTGTGATCCCCCGGGGGCCCTCCCAACGGGTGGGGGCTGTGGGGTGTCCTGTGATCCCCCGGGGGCCCTCCCAACGGGTGGGGGCTGTGGGGTGTCCTGGGATCCCCCGGGACCCCGTCCCTCGGTTGGGAGGTGTATAAAAGCCGGACCTCTCTACAGGCTCGGGGCCAGTTGAAGACAGAAGCAAGAAGACTGGTCAGCTGGGACCCTGGGACCCCCTAGCCCCGCTGCCCTTGTCAGGGCCGGGACTCTGTGTGGCTCAGTGGTGGGACTCTGGGAACCCCCGGGCCCGATGTCCTTGTAAGGGCCGGGTCTGAGCGGGCCAGTGGTTGGAACCCGCACCCTGGCTAGGTCGGGTTAGATTAGCCTCCCCTATGCACCCGTAGTTGGAGGACCCAGAGTAGTAGTGCTGTGTTAGAGCACGTTAGCCCGGAGGCAGTACCTCCCCAGGCAGTGGTGTTAGAAGGGCCGCTGCCCTGAGTGTGCCGGGTTGTACTGCCGAATATTGTGTGAAATAAATAGTGTCGCCTGCATACCTATCAACCCATACGGTTTAACCGTATTCTTGTACAGGGAAATTTAGTTTCCATGTCCACATGGCCTACAGCCTTTTCAATATGGTCAAAAGAATGTCTATGTGTTTGTGTTTCTTCCTTGTGATGATACTTTGTAAGATGAACGTTGAGATTTGTAAGGGCACGGTTGACCAATGAGGTCTGAATTGGTCTGTATTAAGTTAGGCACTGATAATGGGTTGGCAGGATATGTATGTATGTAAACTATGTTGATCTTCTTTAGTACCGTACGTAGACAACCGTCCTCATCGGAGCTACATTTGGCTGTTGTACGAATCTCCAAAATCCTGCGCTGACTACAGGTGGCTTGCTATATGGTCTATAGTTTGGGTTGCTTGACCACAATCGCACGACTGCGGCTTGATTTAAATTTTCTATTCACGAAGTAGATGTGCGCATCCGCCTGTTGACGTTCTCATTGGGTTCGTGGCTACACCACTTGTGTCTTCAAGGAGGAATGTCAAAGCCAGGCGGTGTGCTACCTCTTTAAGGCCACAGTGTTATTGACGAAATGTGCTGAGTTTTTTCTTTGTTAGAAGTGGGCAGTGGCGTTACTTTTGTGATCCATGGTTTTGACATTGGTGACCAGGCTTACAAATTAACTCAAGCCATGTAGGTCCTTAGCACAGTGTGCTGTTCCATTTGAACAAAGAGCTTATTCACACAAAATACAATTACTCCGCGAATTACGGTAATTATTTTACATGTACAGTACTGTATTTCTGGCTTACCAACGAGAATTGTGCTGCTAAATTTCACCGATAGGTGGCAGTATAGTGTAAGACATGTGATCGAGGTGTATTGTCTGCTAATTTGTGTAATTACTGGACTTTTATTCTCCAAAACGAAAATCGTATGTCTAGTTTAGTTGTGTGTACAACTAGAACCAAAAACCTTTATTATGAATAGGACCCATATTTTAAAAAGAGGGTCCTTAGCTACAAACATCTGACAGTTTAACCGCATTGGGTTTAGCAAACCTGACTGCGGATGAGACCCTGAATGTTCAAACCGGTCCAGAGTTTACCCGTATTACACCAATGCTGTTGAAAACTGGCACTTCCCGAAAGCCTTGTATGGACGATGGGATGCGTAAAAACTACTTTTAATTATTTATGTAGAGAGACAGACATGGGAAAGAGGCGTAATATATGTTTATTGATTTTGCTATGATAAATGTAATTATTTTATGATCATTACTCCAATAACCCATTTCCTCTCCATCAATTTTCAGAATCCTGCTGCAATATCTATCCCAGCCACACACATATCTCCCCTGGTCATCCTCGTGTTTTCTTCCGGTAGTGTTTTCCTCTGGCAGGCAAGAATGTGTTGTTTGAGCCATGTAGCCCAATATGTCCAGCCACTGCATGACCTAGCAACTTGGGAGATGGAGCCATGGCATCAGTTCGTGTGCAGGTACTAGGCGGATTGTTACATCACTGAACCGTGAGAGAGGGGGCCTTCATCCAGCAGTGGATTGATCACAGCTGATGATAAATCCACTGATGATGACAACCTTGTGTATGCAGTGCATTTGCATTAACATGAACGTATTGTTGTTGTGTTACTATATATTGCACAGTCGAGTAACAAAAATAAGTTCTGAAGTGCGTGGTGCTCTAAATACGCGGTAGAGTATTTACTTTGTGGAAGATTAGTTTATTGTCTCATTGAGCGGTTTCATATTTTCTTTCATATCTTCAGAGTATAATGGATTTCACTTTACTTGGTGAGAATCCATGAATATTCGCTACCTTTTATTGCAACAGTTCATTCGTGGGTGCTGTCAGTTAAATGTCATTATTCTCACCTGTATTTCACGTGATATTGAATGTAGCACAATATTCACCTTCATTTTACTTTCATGCGGATTATTAGGCAGGGGACAATGTTCCTGCTGTTATTGAAATGTCAAAATATAAACTTGATGGCCAAAGCCAAAAGTATCATGTTTAATGTGAGTATTACCAAT